CCTTATCCTACACTTCACGCGTGTTATTAGGTGTACACGTTTTGGCCAAGACTGCTGCCTGCTGCTTGATCCTTGAACCTCACCGACATTACAAACTCTAACGTTGCAGCAATTTCCTCGTATGCAACCCGGAATTTGATACTGTGGCATCGTGTGCGCAGGATTTTTTGTTTTTGATTTATGAATACTCGTGGGAGCCTCACGGATACGCCAACTCCAAGTTGAAATGGGAATCTGTAAGACTTGCTGCTCTATGGTTCGGCGAGTTCATCAAGACGAGCGAAACGTGGTTGTGACACTCCCCAGTCTTCGCGTTAGGCGTTCCCGTAATTGTTGGATTTGCAACAAGTTTTCACAGTGGTTGAAAATCAACGACCCAAAACATTTCAAGGTGTGGCATCGCCGATCACTGCGAGTAAAAAGCACCCGCTATGCTCAAATGTTGCACGAAGAGCCTCAGCAGAATACTCTTCTGCCATTATGGGTCGATATGAAACCCTCGGACTATGGAGAAGATAATGATTCATGCTTCGTCGAATTAAACTTCATCTCAGCTACTGGTAATACTCCTCTCTCTGGCTCCGTTGCGCTCCGATAGAGAACAGAGCTAATTTGGGGTAGACTTGGCTAGAAATCCACAATCCGCACCCAAAATTGGGACAGCAACTCGAATGGACTTGAGTGTTCTCGATGCGTGGATCAGTAAATGCACCAGAGACCACAAGAAATGTTGCCAGAACGGCGAAGAATGGCGCCCGAATCGACTATTACGGCTCGCACCAACCGGGCGGAAAGCGAGGCTTGTGTTATCAAAAGACTCTCATCCAAAAGGTCAGTACATGACATTAAGCCATCGTTGGGGCGTTGAGTCGTATCAAATTTTAAAGTCGACCACACTACAAAATTTACAGACATCTGTCGACATCTCTAGTCTCCCACAGATTTTCCAGGACACCATCCAAATTGCAGTTCACCTTGGTATTCATTACCTTTGGATCGACTCTCTATGTGTTCTTCAGGACGATCGATCGGACTGGGAACAGGAAGCCAAGAACCTGGAGAAAATATACTCATCCGCATTTCTGAATGTGTCCGCAACCATGTCAATCGATGGATCGGAGTCCCTCGTTAGAGGCCATCCTTCGGTCTCTTATTATCCTTCGCCGATTGAGTTGGAGTTGAATCAAAGACTTCAAAAGTTCCTTGTCGTGGATGGTGATATGTGGGTCGACGAGATTGAAAATGCTCCGCTCAATAAAAGAGGTTGGGTATTCCTGGAACGTTTTTTGGCTTGTAGGGTCTTACATTTTGGACAAAGTCAAATGGGATGGGAATGTCGCGAGCAGGCCACCTTGCAAGCGTTTCCTAATGGTTTGCCTCAGACTTGCCCGATGCAGCAAATGGCGAAGCCTCAGTTTGAGAGTATGATGAATGAGTTGACACGAAATCCTGTCCATGATTATGATCATGGGTTTTCCGAGAAGTGGCAACAACTTGTGCATCAGTACTCAAAATGCGCATTTACTGATACTGAGGACAAGCTCATCGCATTTTCAAGCATTGCCAGTCGCATCATGCAAGATCGGGACGATTATTATATTGCCGGCATGTGGAAGAAATCTATGATCTATGATCTCGGGTGGTGGAGGCCCACAGAAGTGCGCGAAGCCTTCCCAATCAGCAAGACGTCATCCCGTGCTCCCAGCTGGTCGTGGGCGTCTGTTGATGGTGAAATTCTTTTCCCGAGCACCCTTGGCGGGATACGAGCTCGCTTTGCAGATATCGAAGAGATCCTCAAGCATGTCGCAGTGGAGAACAATATCCCTACAACTAGGAGTTCTATTCGGATCAAAGGTCAGCTACTACCTTTAAGGGCCGAGATGTCCGAGGAGAGAATTGTCAGTTTTGTGGTAGCTCATATTCGATTCTTCGTGGGCGATTCACCACAAGGCTCATTCATCGGCTTGGAAAGTCCTGAAGAAGAGGTACAAAACCTGCTTCAACGAGGAAGATTACTATTCTTACCTCTTTTTGCTACTTCTTATCTCATATCTGGAATAGCGCTCACAAAGATTCGTGGAGTATGCGCGTATCGTCGACTTGGGGCTCTAGAGATCCCGGTGATGACAGATTCGGTCTCCATATCAACGGCCGAAAATGAAAACATTGGTCAAAACCAACAATGCGACGGCCTTCGGCGGAAAGGCTGGGTGGAAATCCATCAACCGATGTCTCAGTCCAACGCGAGAAGCCGGGAATGGAGTGTGGCTGCGGTAAAGCTGCTGCTACATTTCATCAATGTACGACAGACTCCTCGTGTCATTGAGCTTTTCTGAAGAGCTTCTTACGCATCCGAACCCTTCCCACCTTCGGCTCCCCCGGTCCTAACATGTGTTATTACTCTTTTTCGATCCTTCGAGGTAGAGCATTCAATACTACCCATTTGTTAGCCTAGACACCTAGTCAAGTCATCTACCACCTCTGGCTTGACAAGACGCGAGCCACATACAACACAGATCTAACCCATGAGTCCATTTATTTTTCCCGTGACCTATTCTCGTCTCAGGTACGCCCCTCTCTATATTCCTACACCTATTTCTTTCTCAAATATTCAATTAGATTCTCCATTCTTAGTACGGACCAGGCTGTTGCCCAGGACACAAGCTGGCCTGGGCCGCGACTGATCTTATTATGAGTCTGCATTGGAGGACATGCACGACATTGATGTGGGAGTAGGTATGAGCTTGAAGACGAGATTTGTCAGAACGCCCCATAGCGCTACCGGTCGAGCATATTGCTGAACTAATAGTGCTAGAGAGATGGTGGATGGCGGGAGAGACAATCAGTGCACGACAGTGATTACTCACCGTGTTAGGGGGGAGGAAGACTGCCCCTAACCTGCGAAGAGATTACCATAGGTACGCTCACGTGGCCAATACTAGCACTAGTATGTAAACGCTTGACATTCCCTAACACCACCATTTTTACTTGATTAGATTCCTTGCTCTCGGTGCGACGTACGATTCAACCGCGTACCCTATCGTACCGCCAGGCCCAAGGTTACAAGGAAATTTAGGCAGCAGCGTAAGGGCAGGGAGATCTACTAGGTTCCCTAACGCCCGTCTGAAAGAGATGCCCAGCTGAGAGGTGAGCATAGCCGATCGCGAGGGGGCCAGATGAGGCCCCTAGTGTGTTTACTCAGGGAGTGCTCAGGGAGCGCGCCCAGTGATGCTCAGCCAAAGGGCACCGTCAAAGCTCACCCTCGAGGATCAACCCGTAAATGGAAATTGGGTTTTTCGTTCTCGAGTAATCCAGGTACTCACATCTTACTACCCACGAGCAGGAGTCCCTCGGGTAGTCGTAGGGCCTTCCATCATCCCCGCCCCGTCCCTTCCCTTGCCTGGTTCTTCTGAGTAGAAGCGGCCAAACGGGCGCTCCGGCATCCGATGTGTTGGTGTTTGTGTTTGTGGCTGCTTATAGTACTCGCGAGAATGGGCATCCCCCTCCCTACTCGTTAATCACTGGGTCTTCCCACGATGGCGACAGGATGGCGACAGGATGGAGAACTTGATGAGACCACACGTACCGAGTTCTGGCGAGTTCAGACATGTACATCTACCGAGTACAGAGGTGGCAGGGTGGGTACACCCGGTCGGTGACTCGGAACCCGTACCGAGGACTTGTTTGGTCAATACTTGGTTATTTAAGTTAGTAAACTCCTTATGTTTCCCTGCCCACTATTTACAGTATATACCAAGTACATACATACATGTGCCATACCAAAAAAAAACAAACGACGGGGTTTCCAAATATGTCCCTCGGTAGTCAGATACTGAGGAACTCGTGCTCCGTTATCCAAGGTGACTCTCTCTCTCTCTCTCTCTACCTTACCTAGACAACTTGGGACCCTGTATCTCGGGCCCGACCTTGGACCCTGGATCATGCATGAATCATGGACCATCCCTGCCAAACGCGGCCGATTGAGGAATGGAATGGACAGGGTAGATATATACATGCTGTGAATACATAGTTCAACAAACATGGTCCCCCCTCACAAACCCCACGACTCTACCTTTAGAAGAGGAGTGGAAGTTGAAGTTGAGCGAGACAGCGGGAGTCGGGGAAGGTCGATGGACGATGAACGAGGATGAACGAGGATGATAATATCAATAATGTTACATATCAATATCAACCAACATCTCGGCCACGTACTTGTCCCTTCACCTTCTCCTTCACGGCGTCCCGCCCATGTGCCACCACGACACTATTGACTATTACACAGTACCTATTATGTTGGTGAGGCAAGTACGTATCGAGTCTAGATGCATAGTAGATATTGGTAGGGTAGAAACTCTTCTAAACTGGGCCAGGAGTGAGTCCACTGGAGCGCCGCTCCCATCCCATCCCATCACTGCTCACACACACAACCTCACCCTCACCAAGTGACTGCCTGACTGCCTGAAGGACTGAATGACTGACCAACAGATAGACAGACACTCACCGAAAAGACTCGTCTTTATCCCAGAATCTCCTTTGTATGTGCATTAATTACCTACCTACCTAGATGATGCCTAGATGCGATCCATCTTCGTCTACCTGCCTGCCTCTCCAGCTTCATGTCCCCCCTTTTTACCCTCTTCTTTTCTTTTGGCCTTCACGGACTCGAACGTGCCGTCGATCCATTTTGGAGGTAGAAGTAAGTCAAACCGTTCTGTGTGTTCCTTGTCTGTAGGTAATCCTCCGGAAGAGTAGTCCTGTGAATCCTCCATTTCTACCCATCTCCATCTCCTGATATCCCATCGCCGAGCACGTATGTTTCTTCAACTCGAGACATTGGCGCGCGGCCAAGGCGATGACGACGACGATGATGTCCGGCGACCACCAGATCTCAGAAATGCTCCGATTCTCCTCCTCGGTTCTGACTCGCTTCCCGTCTAATCTCTTGAGGCCCCTGGGCAATGGTGACGGCGACATCGCTCCCTTCTCCTCCTCCTTCTCTTTCACGGTGTCTCCGCGTTCGACTGAACAATCTGCTCCAGCTCGGCGACTCTTCTCAACAACTCAGCCTCCTTCTTCGTCGCCGCGGCCATCTCCTCAAGAAGGGTCCCGATACGGTCCACAAAAGCAGCCTTCTCGCCGCGCAGGATCCGGACGGTGTTGGTGAGAGCGTCGATTCTGTCGTCACGGCCGCCACCCACTTTGGACGAGCTCGCCGCGGGCGCATTTGGTCCAGACTGTTGGCGGGAAAATCCCTCCACGGCGCTCTGAAAGGAGCCGTCTCGAACGGCGCGCAGGATCTCGACGCCGAACTCGCCGTCTTCTTCTGTGCCAGTGCCGCGTGGAGGAGTGTCTTTTCGCACTGCGACAGCTGCGTCGAGACGTTTGAACGCGTCCGAGACGTGTTCGCCAATGGCTTTCGCCTTGGCTTCCGGTGGCGGCACTGGGGATCTTACTGAATCGCTTTGGGAGCCCGATGATTCGACGCTGGATTTCCTCGCAAGGTCTATGCTGTGATGATGTGGTTTAGAACTCTGCCGTAGCTGCGGTTGACGACCCGCGGCGTCGGTTTCTCCCCCCTCTTCGGCTTTTATGCCTGACTTGTGAGGACCGCCGTTGTCCCCTGCACGACCGGCCGCCTTCCCGTGTGTGTTCTGTGTCGCCATACTCATGTGGGCCATCATCGCGATGCCCACTTCTGCCTTTCGTCGAAGCAGAGCCTCTGAAACTCCGCTTGCCTCTGCTGACGACGCAGACGAAGATATGGCTCGTCCCTGTGGAGTTTTGGAGCCAGTCTGCGCAATCGCCGGAATTGCAGATCGCAACGACGCAGCAGGGAATGGGCTGACCGTTCTCGATTCAAGCTGGCTTCCGTGCTTCCGGGTATCTCGCACACGCCCCAAACGGGGGTTCTTCACCCTTCTCTCCCCGACGATATGAAGATCGTCATCGCTACCGCCGTCGTCCCGACCATCATTTGCCCGTCGCTCTTGTTTTTCGTCCTTCTCGTCAACATGTTTCCGCTTCGCTCCTTTCAGCCCGCTCGTCTCTCCGCCAACCATCTGCCCACCTCTTACTCCAGCCGTACCATCACCTCGAGGGACATCTCTGACTTTCCCAACCGCCGACAATCCAGCTTGAGGCGAGTCGCAAAAAAACTTGATTTTCTCAGACCTCGACGGCAACCGGCCCAACATGTCGTGCGCAAACATGGTAGCTGCGCACTTTGGGCATCCCCTGTCGGGAACACACTCCAGGTACACGGCCTCCACGATGCCCTTGATGATATCTTCCGGGGGCGGGACCGGGTCATGACGCATCACCACATAAGGACACGGTATCCGGACCCCAAAACTCTGATGGATCGTTTTTCGAAGCAGGATTACTTCTCGCGACGGCTTCGTGCCATTTGCACCGGACCAGGCCGGCCGCGACGACCGGCTGACAAGGCCAAGTGAGGATGCTGCGCAGCTCGTGTACGTTGTGGGCGGGACAGTTGAGGATATTAAAAAGGCACATGTTGTGAAGGATTCGTGGCGAGTCGAGTCACACCTTTGCGTTTGGAACGGGGTCTGGATGGGTCACTCGAAAATTTGAGGAAGCACCGTCCGACGACCTTTGAAGGTAACTTTGGCAATGTCAGTCTCGTTCACGTATTGCGAGTCGCTCGTTGGGATGTGTCCCATTTGAGGTTACCGTTTTAAATGCTAGAAAGAGCGCAGATCAGAGCCAAAAGGCCATTCAGTGGCGAAGGAGCACTCAGCCTCCGGACCGCAGGTAAGTGGGAGACTCTTGAGAAGCGAAGCTAAGCTCTTATCATGGACCAGAGATGTCAGGACCTAAGACTGCTCCGGTGAGATGAGTGGCTCAGACCAGTGGCTCTTTGACGACGACGAGGCCACGTGCGATCCAGGTTGAAGAATGATAAAGGCTGTGCAGGCAGGCTTCCACTAGGTTCCAAGAAGGTGAAATGGGCAGCACCGAGGCAGGTCACTGCGCGTGAAGCGGGGTTCGGATGATGGTTTTGGGTCTGAAACCTGGCCGGGCAGGGATTGAGAGGGGCGGCTAAAGAGGCAGGGATGGAGATAAAAGGCGAGGGAGAGGCAAGACTTACTAAAAGGTCGGAGGTAGAGGGGACGGGTCTGTCGTCCAAGTAACCTGGCATGTGCTTTGCCAAAGTGAGATAACCTTGCTGCTGATACTCAATTGAGTGAGAAGATAGGAAAGACCCTTGCATGTAGTGGTCGCACTGACTTGCAAAGATGAAACTGAAGATGAAACAGAAGATGAGGATGCAGGAAGATAATGGGCAAGAGAGGGCAAGGTGGTGAGACTAAATATCAAAATCAAGGAGTGAACGACCGGGAATGAGCCGACGGCGAAGCGTTTGGCGGCTGTCCAGGACGAGGAAGCTGTAGTAGAAGAGCCAACACAGTCGGGAAATGTCTGTGAACATTTTCATTTGGCAGATCCAGGGTCTGGCGCTTCGAAGCGCTCGACATGTGGCGTGCCATCTGTTGGCAGCAAGAATCTGTATCTTTCCGGGCTCATGTCTCTTGTTTCGTACGTTCCGTAGAAGTGCACGGCTCACCTCAGATGCTTTTCTTTTTCTTTTTCTTGCTTTTTCCTGCTTTCGATCTTCGTGTTAATACTCGGTACAGCTTCGAGAGACCAATCCAGTCCCAGTCCAATGACCACCCAACTCTGCCCGTCTGGGTAACCCAACGAACGCCTTGCGGCCCCAACACTGGAAAGTGTCCAGCCATATCAGCAGGTCCGGCGCCAATTCATGTGACTGAATCACATCACTCCTAGATATCGATGTCGATGTCAATTCCCAAGTCCATGCTGGCAATAATCTCATCGTCCATGGCTGCCTTGCGAATGGTCGGCAAGCCTCTCTTCTTCTGCTGTTGCAAAATGACAGGTTTGAGGGAGCTGGGAGCGACGGGGGTGGCACTCCGGGGAGTCCCATTAGCCAGCGAAAGGGGGTTGGGTGACGCAGTCCGCGAAATGCTTGCTGACGCCGCAAGTCTCGGTGTGCCCAAGCCATTGACCGGTGTGCCCGAACGACTGATATCACTGCCACCCTCAAACAATTCGTCGACGCCTGGAGCAAGAGTCTTCTTCGCCTTGCGGGCCCTCATCTCTGCAAGTTGCGCCTTTCGAACATTCTCCGCATTCAGTCTCTGATTTCGGCGATTGAGCTCTGCCAGACGCTCCTGTTCAGGGTTGACGTAGGCCGTATCTTGCTTGGTCAAGCTCGTACCAAAAGCCAGTTTCATAGGCACAATAGCGGCAAGCTGGTTCTCCAATTCTTCGGCAACATCATCTTTCCCGTCAGCGCGAGCTTCAGCAATCTTCGCCTTGAGGTCCTCCTTCTCTTGGCTACGGGTAATCTTCTCAACGAGATCGTTCTGAGTCTTGATCTTTTGCGAAATCTCGGCTTCAGTAAAGCGGTGGTTGATCAGTCGATTAATTTGGTCGAGCTTGGAATTGATGAACGCTTTGGTAGGGAGCTTGCAATCCTCATTGGCCATGACAGATCGGTAGCGGCGCCATTCGTCATCCGTGAACTTAGACATGGAGCATTCGAGGAATGACCATGGTCTCTCTGCTTTTCCGTGCGCTGCGATGATGTACATATCGACGGGGAATGGTCTTCCGTTGGATCCAATCATGGCGTATGGCTTGCCGGTGGTGAACCCCTTAATTAAGCACAGGCGGTATTCGTTGACACCCGGATTACGACCAGGACCAAGGCAGACACGGGCATAGCAGTCGGTGATAGTTTCTTTGAAACCAGGGGTGTAGCAAACTTGGGCAAAATTGTCGCGACCAACACGGGCTCTCTGGATGTCGGCGAGTTCGGCGATGGGGTCGTCTCTCGGTGGTGTGGGGGTTCGTCTCTTGTAGCGACGGTCGTCGTAGTCATTGTCACTCTCGCCCTCAGCATCCGCATCACTGTAGTCGTCTCGTGGCGATACCGCTCTTCTCACCAATCCGTCCTTCTTGCGCTGCTCTTCACGGAGACTCTTTTCTTCGCGCTGGCGCTTGTAGGCTTCGATGGCGCTGCTGGCTTCTCCGACACGACCACCACCAACCTTTGTGCGCTGTCGCGTACTCTTCCGCTGGGTGTCCTCCAGTTCCGCAGCACTAGCCTTGCGCTTGTTCTTCGCGGCGTTCTTTGCCTCCTCACGAGCGCGAGAGGCGACAAGGCGGCGAAGAGTGAGATCTTGTTCATGGCGCTCCACCTGTTCGCTGCGCTGCGCTAGGATCTCCTCACGTTCAATTTCCGGTTTCGCTTCGATCCTAGCCTTGTCTTCGGCGTCATAGTAGAGCTTTTCGTAGGGGAAGATGGGCTTGTCGTCTGCGCCGGAGCTGAAGTTGGCTTCGGAATCGGACTGTGACATGGACGCAGACTCCGAGTGTTGCGACAGCACAGAGCTGCAGACAAAGTGTGTCAGCGATCGCGGCATGCAGGTGAACAGAGAGAGGCTTACACTTCATCCTCATCATCCGAGTATGTCTTGCGACGCTTAGTGCGCTTGACGGCCTTTGCGACACCCTTGCGAGCCATGTCTGTGGAAGGCGATTCTCTTGTTTGTTTCTTGGAGCGTGGTGGCGAAGGTGACTTTGGTTTGGGGGATGATGGCATGCTTTCTTCACCGGAGGAGTCGCCTCCAGCGAGAGCAAGTAGTTCCGCATCCAGGTCGGCCATGGTGAGGCAGTTAGTGTTAGTGAATACTGACACTCGGCGTTGTAGATGGTCAAAGGAAGAAGGTGAGGCGAATAGCCGGAGGAGGAAAAACTGCCACGGGGTGCAAAGGCAACGTTGTTGAGTGAAGCCTTGGTCGTTAGTGAAGGAGTGCTGAGGTGCGGCAGAAAATGTTGAACATCGACCACCGATCTAACCCAACTCTAATCTAGTGGAAAAAAAGAACCAGATGAGAACAAATAAATGTGTCAAATGGTACACAGGCACAGCAGAACTAGTAGAAACCTTTTGATATAGGACAAGTGGACGGTGAGAGGAAGACAGGTGAGGCGTCGTTCCTGAATCCTCCAGGGAGCATAGAGCAAACCTGCCGGTATGGGAAACTGCATGACTAGGTTGTCGGCAAAGTTTCCCACGTTATGACTCGCAACGCCCAAGTACCCATAGTTCTCTCACGACCTGCGTTCATGGAGAGAGGCAAGGTTAGTCTCTCTAGTCACACTTATCCCCAGAGTGATGACCAGATTATTGCAACAATGATGCTCAGGAGTCGTGCCAGAGCCGTAACTGGTGTTCTGAGACGTCCAAACTCATGTTTACCGATCTCAAGACAAATCACAGTCCGACAGATGTCCACCCAGAATACCTCCGAACCAGATCAAGACTCCGCTCAGCCTAGAACTGTCCTTTCCAATGAACAGAGGAGATTCCTCGACAGTGCGCTGCGTGTGAACCAAGCGGGAGAACTCGCCGCTACTCTCATTTACAGCGCTCAGACACCGCCTGTTGTCAAAGCATATCCACATCTCCGTCCACTCATGAAACACATGTACGACCAAGAAGCTGGGCATTTCAAAGTCTTCAATGAACTCCTTGCAAAGCACCGCATTCGCCCCACCGCAATGTATCCGGTTTGGCAAGTGGCAGCAACTGTACTAGGATGGACTACAGGCATGATGGGAAGAGAGGCTGCGATGGCTTGCACAGAGGCAGTGGAGACAGAGATTGGGAATCATTACAACGGCCAGGTGCGGGAGCTTTTCAAGTGGATGACGGAGCTGAAAGAGAAGGGAGAAGAGCTTGATCCTGAACTGAAGGTCTTGATTGATGAAATTAAGCGCATACGCGATGAAGAGCTTGAGCATCTTGATTATGCTGTCGAAAATGATGCAAAGGAGGCTCAGCCATACCAGCCGCTGACGGATGTCATCCGATATGGATGCAGGGGAGCTATCTGGGTCAGTGAGAGAGTATGAAAACAACAGACATTTAGACATGGTCGTCTACAAGCAACAAACCAATAATATGACGAGAGGACGAATCGATGTCAGTCTCAACATGCCACCTGAGAGGCTACCGCCGGTCCTATTGTCGCGAAGGGATTGTCCATGGTGGCCATCTTCGTCCAGACTGATATGATAACGTCTCCCTTTGACAGCCGCTGGACTGTCGATCCCCGACCCTGGGAGGCTCTGCACTCACTCAGTCCAAGCCCTACCAGCGGGCGCTGAGGGCATACCGAGAGATGGATAATGGGCGAACGCTGATCTCGCCACGTTGTCATTGTCGATGTCCGATGCGACAACGTGGGACTCATCGCAGTATTATATGTTGTCGATGGGTCGCATCTTCCGAACAAGTTAGGAGATCCGGTGCCGTTTTCATTAAAGGAATACGAGCGGAAGACGGACGCTTTTCCCAGTTGATTGAAACATGCTTGTTATCGAAGAATCCTATCGCCATATCTCGTTGACGCTCCCCCGGCCTTACAACAAGGCGTCAATTGCCGCCTTGGGCCTATCTGCGTCCAAAGACGCCGCCCGGGCACGACCACCAGCTCCTCCCAACGTACGCCGCGATTCAAAATACTCCTTGCAAAAGCGGCAAGGAGACATCCTCCAGTCCTCCACTTGCTTCACCCCCTTACATGTCTCTTGGACTGGCATCTCCATTATGTATTCCAGCCCGCCCTTGCATCGAACCACGGCATACTCCACGTGCTCCTCCCCATCAACACACCCGAAATAGACAATCTTGATTGCATAGCACATCTTGCAATCTTGGTGTAGTACAGGAGGCTTGGTGTCGTACTGGTTCTGATTGAAATGGAGAGAGGCTGGGGAGACTGAGGACAGGGATATGGCAGGCAGACAGTGTGTCAGATTGGCTCTTTGGCTGATGTTTGAAGTGATTTCAGTGGATGTGAGTGCTGCAAGTTGCCGTCTGTCCTCTCGGATGGCTTTTGTGCAGTAATTTGTTCTTAATTATGTGGTTTGCTTGATGTGTGACCGTGGAACTTGGTGATTGCTGGGATCTCTGATGTTTCGTGGTGAGGTTCTGGGATGTTGTCGAGATGAGAAAGGTTATCCAAGAGATCCAGCAATATTCAAGAGAGTCTGAGATCTGGGACAAAGTGGTTTGGATGTGCTCTTGGTAGGGACAGGGAGTATCTGTTTGATGCCTGTTGACAAACTGTGGAAAAGGGAATCGTCGCTCTGATCACCTGCTGGGGAACCAGGTTTGAGACGAAAGCGTCAAAACAAAAGGCAGTTGTGTGCCCTCGTTTTCGTTCTTCCCTCCAAGACAATCGCGGCTGGAGAGGCTGCGCTTTCCTGGAGTAAAGAGGATAGAGAATCGTGGCATAGACACTATGCTTCGCAGCGATTGAACCATCTGTCTCCCTCCTCTCCTCTCCCAATTGCTCCCAGCATCCATTCACTCAACTTAGTGTCAGCAGTCATCCATTCACGACATCACAATAACTTTCTCCACCGCATGACCAAAGCAATCATTCACAGCAGCAAACAGACCTTCACATCTCTGACTCGCTGGGAGTATAATACCTCATACCTCTTCCCTGCCCTAGTGGAAGAACATCAACACAGTCCCAATTCATCTTTCCCTGTGCGAGTCCTGCAAGTCCAGAACCTCTGTCACAGCACGACCAGCAGTCTCATATCCAGAACTTTTCATCACCATGTGCCGGATCACACTTCACATCTGTCCTTATCCTGACCACGATCCGGTCTCCTCCCTCATATTCAACCCGAAGAATGGTCCTCTGTGGGAGATCTGCAACAGACCACGGCCTTGGGGTCGCCTGTCCTGCGGCACGCTTGAGGTCGAACATTCCAAACACCTGCCTCGGTCGGGAACGTCTCTTTCCTCCTACAACACCCCGATCACCAACTCGTCCAAGGCCGAGAAGCGTGAGGCTCACAACCAAGATCTCATGCTAGGCGATCCAAACACACCCAAGACTACTAGCGGAGCACAGCTTCCAGGAAACCCCTGTAAATGGTGCACTGCGGTTCTCAGACTGACAGCAACAAAGTCGAAGGAAATGCAGAAGTTGGCGCAGAAGGACATTGCAGATGTGGAGCGCAAGATGGGTGACAACGCCGAGTTGAGGAAGATGCACGAAGACATTGCGACCAAGGAACAAGAATTGAATGGGTTGAAACATGATGCCTGGACGAAGGCCACGTTGTTGATGAGTGATTCGATAGACAGGGCTGAAGGGGGCGAGACGCAAGGCTGACATTCTCGGCTGTGTGACCTGATTCTCGATCTTTCAATAGTCAGGAGTGTTTTGGCATTCTTGGGAAGGTGTCGACTGCTGAGCATATGGCGAACCTGATATAGCACAAGCCTCGGGCATATTACTTAGGTCTGACAAGCGTTATGGTTCACATGCATCCCTGAAACTTCTACAATGACTGCCATGGTGGAGCTTGCGGCAAGGCTGCGCAGCGTGTAAATCAGAGGATTGTCGCTGCCCACGTAGCACATACACTTCTACCGTACATGTATTCTTCTCTTGACCGGGTGCCCGACCATTTTCTGCAAAACGGCTCGAAATCGTAGCAGAGAAATGTGATGTGGTAACAAATCTAGCTGGTTCCGAGTTTCACTACATACTATGCCACTATAGCCTGGGTGGCAGTGAATAACATGAATATCAAGAATAAGAATAAGATGATGATGATGATAATGATAATGTGCAGGTGTCTGGGTGTCTAGGTGGCGGCACGCATCCCCCAAGAGAGAGGAGGCGAGCAAAGCAAGAACAATGAAGTCCCTATATCGAGTCGAATACATACTCCATCGGATCACCACCTTGCCCGCTTTCGAGGACGGTCGTCTTCTTCGTGCTGCTGCTCCCCTGACGCTTGTGGTGGAAATGGGTCGTGCGGTCTGGGCCCGCTTGCTGGGTGGGTAACGGCTGAGACGGGGCCGCGGCCTGTTGATGTTGATGTTGATGTTGATGTTGACCGAAGGTAGTGGTCACTGCAGGTGGTAAGTGATGTTGTTGCGGCTTGGGCCGCTTGGGCTTGGGCTTGGGCCATCTCCGCGGCGGCTCTTCGATCTCGTTTCTGCACCGCCCGACTCCATCTGTCGTTGAATCTCTTGCGCAGCGGAACGGGCCACTGGTCGTCAAAGAGGAGATCCTCGGGCGCCGAGGGCGGACAGACGAGGTCGACATCCTCGGGGCTCCAGAGGAGATGGTCGGCAAAGTCGTCCCAGAAGATGGGCTGCTTGGGGAACCGGGCGCCGCCGTCGGGCAGATCGTTGATGTTGTCGTGGCCAAAGGCCACCTTGAGGGGCGTGGGGTCGCCTGTGTGCAGGAACACTTCCTGCTCGCGCTCGAAGCACCGGACCAGGTTCTCGAAGATGTCCTCCACCAAGCGGTTCGGCTGCGGTCGGCCGCCCGGCTTCAACCGCGTGCATTCCCGGATGAGCGCGATGAGCTGGGGACTGTAGCGGCTGGTGATTTCCGGGCCGACGCTGCCGACGACATTGACCCCGTCAAAAGCCCGCCAGGCTCGTCCTTCGCTCAGCAAGATGTCGTCGACTCTCTCGCTGAGTCCATCAATCTCCTCCATCGTCAGCAAGGTCCACATGACGGCGCCGATGGGCCAGATGTTGGCCTCGGGCCGGATTCGATGGAGACTGACGTTGCCGTCGATCAGGAATTGAGGGTTGACGTCCTCTTCAAAATGATAGCGGACGCCGCGCTGCATGAGCCGGATACGTAGTTCCTAGAAATCCTGTGTGAGAGCACGAAAAGAGACTATGAAGATCTCAACAGATTGAGGACTTACTGGTGGCGCCCACACTTCCGTGCCTCGTTGCAAGGCGGCGGCGGTATTTGTCGTCAGTTCGTCGGGGTTGGTCGTCGTGGCCAAGCCAAAGTCCCCGATCTTGGGTACAGGATACCATATAGCCCCCTCGTCTCTGTTCGTATGGTTCGCCAGGAAGATATTGTCCGTTTTGAGATCGTTATGCAGGAGATACTGGCCGGGCAGGGCCTGTCCGAAATTCCAAAACTTCAGACTCCGATACGGACCCGTAGAGAGATCCAGATATGCATGTGCCAGAAAATAGAAGGTATGCCAGAGGAAAGGCTCGGGAAGGTATCGACTGCAGAGATAAGATCCCTCGTGGTTAGCATTGGTTCCGTGCTAACAGGATGAACGACAACATACTTCCATGCTTTGTATCTCAGCCTGAGAGTCTCCAACGTGCCAAACTCGCAAAATTCAAGGTAGTATCGGCAGTATTGCTGGTCGACTTTGTATTGACGGAGGCGCACGAGATTGTCCGACCCGAGATCGTTGGTCTGCGCCATGATGGCCGCTTCGTCAGTCAGGTTGACCTTCCTCCCGTTTGCTGGAAGGAAGATGCGTGGTTCGACATCTGCGACTTTCAGGACGAATGCCTGGTCCAACACGATCGTCAATTCTCTCCCCCGAAAAGAATTACCAAGAAATGTGGACTCCTTACATCTGTTTTTTCTTGCCTTGCGTTCCGCTTTGTATAGAGGGCTGCCGCACCAAACGATCCCTAATGTCTCGACAACCCACGTCAGCCTGGGGTTCTTCGGTGAAGGAAGGGAAGGGAGTCATCGTCCCCAAATGCAGGACACGGCGTCGGCGTGTCCAAGAACATACCTTGCCCAACGGTCTTTCAAAGTGCCACTCGTGTTCATCAGGAATATCTAGCCTGGAGAAGAAAAGATGCTGGAACCTTGAGCCAATCGACCTCGTCCGACCTGAGGAATCGGTCTCCTTCCAGTTAAAAAAGTGCAGAGTAGGTGACTCAGGCACAGCATCCCGCTGGTCAGCGTCATTGAAAAATGTTTGGAGGGAGTTTGGGTCCCAGTCCACACGAAACTGATCCAACGCCATGTTGTGGTATCTAGTTTGTTCCGTACCAGAAAAGATTAGCCCTTTGCTGGTGGTGGAGAATTGTTAGAGTATACAAAAGGGCAATAACGAAGGCCTAGTCAATTGAAAAGCAGTCAGCAAGATCGAGAAAGCGTGGGCAAAAGGCCATTGAATTTGTTTCGGTTCGTCAACGCCGTAATGGCATACATTATGTTTCCCAGCCGCATCCGGAGCACCATTATCCTCGCTCAAGGCGAATTGGCGACAGACAAAGTTATCTTCCTTTGTTCTCTCTTTCCATCCCGAGTGATCGAGCAGCAAAGACTCTTGACAGTGAGCACAGGGTCAATGCCAGCCAATCATCCCCTTTGTTGTGGCTCGCTTCGGAATCGTCTTCTCAGCACCGCCGTTGAGTCCACGTGATTTGCCACGTGATCTGTTACTCCAACATAGAAGACGCTTTGTTCGGTTTCATTCAGGCAAGAATAGAATAGCCCGAACCCCTTTGTTTCATTCTTCTGCTTCTTCTTCAAGAGCTTCCAACTCGGCTTTCTCGTACGTTTCCATGATCTTTGGATCCCACAGTGTAGTGCCCTTGGGAGGAATGCCGTGGTTCATATCTTTGAAGACCGGACCGATGCAGTTCTCCCATCTCTTTCTGCGATCCATAAGCATCCGGGCCGAGTCACCAATATCTCTTGCTCTGTTCACGCTCATTGCTGTTCCAGGTCCACCAATGCCGTGGCTGCCCGGTTTTGGTTTGTTGGCTCCTGGTCCACCCTTCTTTGTCTTGCCCAAAGTACGAGTTCGCTTGAGGTAGGCTTGTTGAACTTGGCTGTCAAGGTCTTCATGGATAGTGCTGTATTCCTGAAAAGCGAGTCTTTCCTTGGCCAGATCCAGCAGACGGGATTTGCGTGCCCCGTTGACGACCATGACGCGACGCAGCTCACCCTGCAGCAGACGTAATCTCTCGCTGATATCATCGTCATGGTGGGCGTCATAATCGGGATTTTCATCCTGGCCCAACAAACCAAGATGCCGAAGTTCACCTTTGATTCGTTCCTCACTCTGCACGTAGTCGAGGCGCTGGGAGTTAGACGATTTGGCAGGTGCCTGGTCTGCCACAGCTGCTGCAGGAGGCAGTGGCTTCTCAGAGTTGTCATGACCATTAGTGAGCCCATCCAAATCCATAGTATCGTTGCCATCATTCATGAATGTATTCAAGTCGCCAGTAGGATTGGTCTCACTCGGTGGGGATCGATGCTCGAACTTGAGAAGGGAAAGCAGTCGGCTAGCGAGTGGTCCCGTCGAGATCTGGTCTGTCGCGACGTTGTCATCGTTGATTTGTTCCAGATTCCCTCTTGGATGGTTCAAGGATTTCTCATTGCCATTCTCCACGGGAACGGATCCCGAATCTTCTTCTGCCCAGATCTCTTGATAGGAACGTTTGCCTCGGGGTACTGCGAGAAATGGAGTAGTGCGATCGCCCTGCTCCACGTCAGTAAAGACTTATTCTGGTGTTGATCTCATCCACTTACTCGTTCACGCAACCATGCAATGTCCTCTTCTGTCAGAGGTCGGACATACGGTTCCACATAGGTGAGGAAAGTGTTAGCAGCAACTTGGTTGGTTGGCTTAGCGTTGCTAAAGTCTTTGTCAGGTGGTGTGCCGGCGACTTGGTCACTCAGATCCTTCGTCGGATACGCCGTGACACTGTAAATCTCCTTCTTCTCCTCGTCCGACATGCTTGGAGTCACTTCGCGAATGTGGTAGATTACTGGGTCAGGTGCCAGGGGGTCGGGGAAGAAACCTTGCTGGGGAATGGGCGGCGGAACAACGCGGTTGTCTTCTGCGTCTGACATAGACACGTCCGACTTGGTTGGTGAGGCGTGTGCGCTGGCAGCTGCGGCGTCTGGAGAATCAGCGACTTCGGACAATGATGATGTCCCAGGGCTGAGTTTGGTCTTCTTTGAAGGAGAAGGACTGTCCAAGGGACCAGGTGTGGCACGGGACAATTTCGTCTTTGAAGGTTCTTCTAGACATATGTCGTTAGTGAATTCTAGTCGTCGTATAGAGCCTCAGAGGACCTTTGATAACTCAACACAGGAAGTTTGCCGGATGAGCGCCAAGATGGCATGGAATATAGAATTATAGGAGTCAGTAGATGGACAACAAACATACCTTCTTTCTTGATCTCGACATTGTCCACCGTCTCAGGTCTGTCTTTTCGTTTCTTCGCCTTGGGATTCTTCTGCGACTGGCCTTCCTCTTTGCGTGCTTTAGCCCGGCGAGCCTGCTCAGCCTGACGATCGCGATCTTGCTGGTCTGTTTCCACATTCTTCTTCTGCTCATGGATGAGCCGGATGGCTTTCTCGCATGACTCGGCGCGTTTTTCGGCGGATTCACTGAGATGCTTCAACTGGTCAATGATATCGTGCAGCGACTTGGGCTCCAGTTTGGAGCCATGAGTATCCAGATGGTCTATGATCTCTGCATAATTCGGCTTCGAAGACACCAAGAGTTTGGACACTTCCAACTCGAGGAGCGGAGTGGTCGTTGGTGCGGGCGGGGCAGTTCCAGCACTGATCACCGAGCTTGGTGTCGTGTTTCTGCTTCGAGACCGTCGCCCGTCTCGATTCTTCTTCTTGCTAGCACCTGGTAAGGGAGGCATGGTTGGATCGTGTCCTGACTTAATGATGGTAGGGATGATCGGGGGAACAGGATGTGGCTGAGAGTGGCGTTTGAGCGCTCGATCTTCCCATCAGTAAGATGTCTGTGGAAGTTCCTGACGAAGGTTTCAAGCCATTGCCGACGCGACAATCAATGAGGTAGTCGCTGCAGGCTCAGTGGCTTCTTTGCGCTGTTCGATGTGGTTCTGACTCGATACCAACTTCTAACACTACTCCTCAGACTTGACGTTGGTACCGCCGCAGGTGAATGCCAAGCATGTTGTCGGCTAACATTCCGCTTGTTGTCTGGCGAGTTTACGAGGGGGACGGATCGGATTCTGCTTAAGCGGAATGGCCTAGTCGCGGTTGGAGAACCGGTCCAAGCCGGTCCAAGCCTGCCCAGGCCTTTGCCCAGGCCTATTACAGGCTGTGTGGCCCTTTACGAGTGCTTGTAGGTTTGCCCCCCTCCGAAACAAACAAACTGTTTTAGCGAGGGAATCAGCCGGATCTGAAGGAATCCCCTCGCCCCCCTCAGCGCCCACTCACAGAAGCCCAGCCCCGGAAAAATCTGCATGATGCTGAGACAAATCTCAAGAGGCTGGGCATGCCTTGGATGAGGAGCAGCCCGAGTGGGCAGAACCGCTTGTATTGCTGCATTTATTCAAAGTCCGCAGATCGTCGGAAGTCGATTATTCAATTGAGGTGGAAAGTCCGTTCCTCGCTTCCCTTCCTAAACGTTGTTTCGCACCTTTGGTATACGTCGTCCCCCTCGGCCTCGACGCGGTCGCAAGGCCTTCTATTAACGACGTTTGCTTGATGAACCTGATGCGTGCGTCATCCGAATATCGCAAGCCTCTCTCCAACTCCATCCGTGTTTGCCGGCGCCCCGTGTCTGGATATTCCTGTCGCACATCCCAAGTCATGTACCCGGCCGACTGAGCCTGCGCAACCGTTCCCTTTGCAGTCTGTGGCAATCAACTGTTTCAAACACTCTAGATAACCATGTGTACGTATGACCTTTTGTGTTGCTGTCTCACGCAAGAATAGGCGCTTACCCGCAGCACAGCCGCACAGGACTTCGGCGTTGTTGCGATTGTCTTGCCCAACCCAGATTACGACCCCTCCAATGGAGCCCGCATTGTCAATGTATGAAACATCAAGACAGCGTACTAGACTTCCAAAAGATGACTCTGCTAATACTTGGAAGGACTCACTTGGCTTTGCACTGAGAGCTTCGGGTCTCATTCGCACCCTGTCGCCCAACAATCCTCATCATTACGATGTCATACAAGGCCTTCTCTATACTCCCGCTCTTCCGGCGTCTAGTCCTTGTGACAACTCCACCAGATCCCTGATTCCACTTAATGCCACGACACGGGCAGAAATACCTCCGGGCGACTTTCCATTGATTGCGTTGGCACCATGGACGGAACCCGAGTGCGTTTTCTCCTACCTCTCTGTCATGCGGTCCGATCAGGTCCGAGGAGCAATATTTTTTCAGCCTGGGGCTTCGGATTCGCAACCTCCTCCCGTCAGCGATCGCTCCTGGACACTTCGTGACGGTGGACAATGGAAGTCCAACAATGAGTATCCAGTATATGCCGTACCTGGAATGCTGGGAGCTTTCCTTTTGAATGAACTAGCACGATACTCAGGAAACATGTCAGAGGTCCCATTTGGTAGTGAGCTGGTGGAAATTTACGACCCTCACGATACTGTCAGGCTGTATGCAAGAATGGACGTCAACTCTACCAGCGGCATACCTTCGCTATGGGTGTTTTTAATCATCGTCTTGGCTATCCTTCTGGCAGTGGTCCTGATGACTTCGATCGTCATGCACATGATTCAACGACGACAACGACGCATCCTCCAGCGCCGAGTGGCAAATGGAGAGGTCGATCTGGAGGCCTTGGGGATCAAGAGGCTGCAAGTGCCACAAGAGCTAATTGACAAAATGCCAAAATACACGTACCATGCCAGGTCGGAGCCAAATAGCGTCAACGGTGACGGGCCAAACGAATCTGTCGAGCCGGAAACGGTTGAAACAGTCAAACCGGGGGTGGACAAATCGATGCACACTGACGCAAAAGACGCTGATAGTGCAATCGCCCCCGCAATTGTGGTCCGCCCAGTTGCGTTCTCTCAGTCGACTTGTCCAATATGTCTGGACGACTTCATCAGTGGAGAGACCAGCGTTCGCGAACTGCCTTGTAACCATGTCTTCCATCCGGAGTGCATCGACTCGTTCCTCCGAGACAACAGCTCATTATGTCCCCTATGCAAGAAATCATCCCTCCCACCAGGATACTGTCCCGTCCAAGTCACGAACCTCATGGTCAGGCGGGAGAGACTCATGCGGAGGATGCGGGCGCGAGCAGGTGCACAAGAAGATTCAGCGATAAGCATCCCGATGACTCGACTTCCTGCCCCGGTTCTTGCGCTAGCCGGCCGCTCCCTTCGGGGCATGACGATGCCGATTGTGTCTCCTCAAATTCCCCTGGATCAGGCCAGGAGTGCTGGTGCGCCCATAGAGGATGGACCACCCACTCGCAGGCGAAGTACGGCCGAAGAAGAGGTCCCTGCTGAGATTCGAGCCCAGGGCGTGTCCGCGAGGAGAGCGTGGTTACGTGAACGGCTGGCGCGTAGAGAAGCTCGCAGTTATGAACAGCGGGCTGATCAAGGTCGGGCGGCTGAGGAGTCAAGACCTCTCTGTAAGTATTTCAATCTACATCCCAAACCCACAGGAACTGTCGCTGACTCATGATCCAGGGCGCCGTGTTGCTGGTCGATTGTTCCCCAGTCTTTGATGAGGCGATGATGTTCGGGCCATATACCCTTTGGTAGATTTGTTGCATAGCGATTGGCGTTTGTAAAGTATCTTTACGTTTGCTCCAGGAGGTACATGCGTTGATATATGATAGGATGGTTGGAAAAACGCAGGGGTAATGAGTGTTTATGTGAATGATGTTCTGGTCAAATGTCCGTTTCAGGTTGAACATGCAAAGTCTGTCGTAGCTTCGTGGTCACATTTGTGATAGGGCCAACGATGTATATCAACTGGCAAACTTATCATGTTTCCCTTTGACTCTGACGTCCAGGACCTCCTCGTAGAAATTCCCTTCCTTCTTAGCCTTTTTCAAGCGCTTCACTTCGTGCTCCTCCAGTCTTCGCCCGACTGCTTGTTCGAGCTCCCTCCGGCTGACCTTTTCCTTTGCTTTTGTCTCTTTATTCTGCTGCAGTCGTGGTTTGAAGCGGGCCTGCATTTTGAAGACGAGATGGGTCGATTCCGAGGAAGCCTCGCCGTCTCCACGAAGTGAGACGTTGATTGATTTTGCGTTGTTGGTCTGCTTCGTCTCTGTGACGGCGCAGAGATATCGCCTGCCCTTGTCCCCGTCTTCAGACTTTGACGCCGCAGTCCGTAGCCGCCATCTCGTTTTGCCATCTGTAGCATCGTCCACGGCCTCTGCTATGAATCCCTCCTCGACGCCTCTGGCCTCTCTCTTCGCGCCTAGCACGCCCACTGAGTCACAGCTCAGATACCCGCTATGGCTCCCCTTGAAGCTCAACTCTCCCTTCGACAAACCCGCCACGGAGCTCGCGACCCAGACCTGTCGCACGTCATGAGGCTCTGCGGTTTCAGCCACGCCCTCGACGATATTTTCTAGGGGCGAGGCAAAGACGTTGCCGTGCGCGTCGGCAGCGAGTGCCGTGGGGGGAGTGGTGGGGAGAACAAGCACGACGGGTCCGGAGAGGTCGCTGGGCTCGTCGGGGGTGGTCCAGGAGTCATCGTCGGAGGGATCGACCGCGAGTTGACCACCGGCGTTTTGGGCGTCGTCGACATCTTCGTCGTGACGATGCTTGCGCTTCTTGGGCTTCTTGTCGCCCTTGAATGTGAGAGGTTTGATGGGCATGGCGCGAGAACTCTGGGTATCCTAATCGTTGCACTATACGTTGTGGTGGACTAGTAGCTTGACAGCTCAAGGAGGTATTATGGGCGGCAAATACCGTTCTCAGCGTTGGTAGTGCTAGCACGGGCTGGTGTGTCTGGAGGGTCTTTCGCGTGCACCCACGTCAGAGGGATGAGGCTGACGAGGCTGCCCTTCAGCCTTGCCAAGAGAAATAGTGTTTCTAACCACATTCCTCCTGTGAACTGGAATCAAAGCATTTCTTGATCTCATAGCTGCATGTTGGCTTATTCCATTCTCCACTGCCGTTTCCACCTCTCATGGCACGAAGGCGATCGATACCGCGGCAGTCAACCGTCACCGCGGCGAGTCCTGCCACTATGAATCCCATTTACTCCCTTGCCAATGCGATCAACAGCTTCTTTACGTCTCCATCAACCGTAACGCGGCAACAATGCGATGAATTTGCTGTCTCTCTTGTTGGTGAACCTGTCATCCCTGCACCCATTCAGGGTGCGTTCAGCTATACTGTCATAGCCGGACCCACGCAAGCTAGGATCGTGCAATTTCGGGCTCAGAACTCGGTCCTAAACATGGTGATCTTGAATCTGGCTCAAGCAATTTATGGACAATTTGTGGCGGCCTGCACTTATCACGGAACTATTGGCCAGTCGTTACCACTTTCTGTCTACGTGATTGAAAAACTTCCCGGAATTGCCTATATCCAAGCGCGATGCCTGTATGGCCTTTCCACTAACCCGTCGTTAGAGGTAGCTTCACGACAGTCAAACACCGTGGTGGATTTGGCGAGGTACATCATACCTGTACTACTTCAGGATGAGCTAAATTTATGGGATAGATTCTTCGCAGTGTCGTGGAAACATAGGCAAACACTGCTCTGCAATGTCGTCGAAGCCATCCATCATGATTACAAGCAGAAATTCGACCTCCTTTCTCAAGCCTTACCCTCCCGATTCGCAGAGAACTTGAGACGAGTTCGCGCAGAACTTTCATTGCTCTTTACATCGACACATCCTTTAGTCCTGAGCCATGATGATCTGTGCGAGATGAATATCTTTGTGGATCCCAACACTGGGCATATAACTGGGATTATCGACTGGGCAGAGGCTAGCATCCTTCCTTTCGGCATTTCTTTGTGGGGTTTCGAGAACATACTCGGCTATATGGATTCTCAAGGATGGCACTATCACGATAATCGTCACGAACTCGAGGACTTGTTCTGGCAAACTTTTGAGGTGACTGTTGGTGGAATCTCAGAGGCCGACAGACAAGCCATCCATGTGGCGAGGACGGCTGGCTTCTTCTTGCGTTATGGTTTCGTGTGGGAAGATGGAGTTAGAGAAGTACCTGCGAAGGAGTCGGATTCCGGGCTGAGATATCTTGATGCGTTCTGCACAACTGGTGACGGAGACCTCCTCTAACGGGGCGAGATGGGGCGAGCTTTAGAAGGTCTGCTGGCTCAAGGAGGAACCTACTATACCACGCCAGGTACGGCTGTTTGGTGGGAGTAGAGGCCGTATTTGCTTAAAGATAGCCGATATCCTAGTCGAGACGGGCAGTGGATTCAGTGTTTCTTAGTGGCAACACCAGAATTGGATCTAATGGCCTCTGGAGGTATACAAGGGGCGACTGTAATGAACATTTTAATTGGAGGTTGATCAAGGGGGGGGGCGAACTCAGATGAGCGGTAGTTGCTGACTAAGGAGAGATCGGCCTTAGACCTACATACTTGTAGCTCTCCACCATCTCTCTCTTTCTCTCTGTTGGTGATGTCTCATCTACAGGATTAGTGTCCCTTCCTGTGTCAAAGCTAAGGGCACGCCACTACCAATAGCGCATCTCTCATCTCTTCTTTTTGGGAAATGTCGCACGTCAGCATCTTCCACAGAAGAATCACCTGATGGCAGCCTTGGCCCGAGACCATGTGATATCACGCGCTCAATTATCCTCCTTTCTAATGTTGATGGAGAGAGTTGTCGGGTCCCGCCCAAGGAGCTGCGGTGGGAGCGAATAATGAAAAAGAGGTCTTTGTGGCTTGGTGCTTGTTCAAGTGGGTGTCCCGCAATCTTCTCGCGCAGCAACATCACATCTGGGGTAAGTCGAGTCTGGTGAGGATCGGATGATTCGCCTTGTCTTGTCTCGTCGTCGGTGTGACTCAATGACGGACAATGAAAAGTCTCAATGATCGATGCTATTATTTCTCGCAAGGGTCATCCCAGTGTTGGATTGGTATCCAGGTCTTTCAACAGCAGAAATTGAAAACATCACGGATCCACATCATCGAATCAAATACCAGACAGTGTCCCAGTGGAACAGAAGACACCCAACACAACAACACTCAACTCATATAGTCTCACACATTTTGAGTCAAACGCTATGAGTCGACTATCATTATCACCGTCCGACATCCTCCTCTACGTACTCGCCCTCTTCCTCCCTCCAGCGGCGGTATATCTCAAGTCGGGGTTCAACGGAGACTTCATCATCAACATCTTACTGTGTATATTATGGTGGTTCCCAGGCGTCATTCATGCCTGGTGGATTCTCTACAGATACGACAGGTCATGGGCAGAAGAGGAATCATATATCCTCAAGCAAACGAGGTGAGGGGATCGGTTTTCTGGCGAGGACGCGCTCCTTTTGTGCGTCTGACACCTGGTTTGTCGTCTACTCGTGGACAAGTGGGGAGGCGCTCGACATGGACGGAGCATGATAATACTTGGGTGGGAGCTGTGTCTATGAAGACCGGCTTAGGGTTACCAAAGGCTTCGGAGGGTGAGGAGAATATTGGGTCTTGTAAGTGTGGAACTCGAGGTGTGAGAGTATTATCTCCCTCGACGGTACCAGGATAGACCATTGAAAGGAGCCCTAGGAGAAAATACTTGCGAAGAGTTCAGGTGGAGCTGCATCTCGGCAAGATTAAAGATCCATTCGCCAGCTGGTTTCGACTGCAAAGTTGTACAACAAAATACCCGCATACTACAAATTTCGCAAGCACAATTCGTGATCAAGTGGACTCTTTACCGCATTTCTAGAATGATGTCGACGACTGTTCAGCGAAGCCTCAGTAGCCTCTGATCTTGCCGATTCTTGAGTGTCATGGGGCGATCAATCCTCCCCTCACTTGCTCAAAGAAGCGGGGAGCCAGGGAACCTGCGTCGGCTCATGAGGGCTTGGAACCAGCTTCATGGTCAGGACGTCCTCTGTTGTCGAACTACACAGAATTGATAAAGCGCACGATACCACGGCACAATAGCGGGGGATCGAGAACATGGTCACAGTGAAGAAATACCATCTCCCACCAACCTCGCTCGTTCCGAATTCGCCACATCCCCTCCTCCACTACCCTGGTCTCCTGTCATCCACGAACACGACCGACGAGAGCATCGCAACCAAGGCTCACGACCTCTTCGCGGCGAACGGGTGGGAAACGCAATGGATCTTCCGCTACGGCCCATCGCAGCGATCGCACTACCACTCCGCGGTGCATGAGTGCATGGCCGTGCTGTCGGGGACGGCGACGATCCGATTCGGGGTCGCCGACACCGTCGCCGACCTGGACGAGAGCACCTACGGATCCGGCAGGGAGGAGGGCGGCATCGAAGTCGAAGCGCGGGCGGGGGACGTGTTCATCCTGCCCGCCGGCACGGCGCACAAGACCTTCAACACATCCCCTCCCGCCGAGTTCAAGCTCCTCACGCCCGGGGACGGGCATGCGGTGGCCGGGCAAGGCAGTAGCACCAAGGACACGTTGGCCGGCATCGAGCTCACCGGGTTCACCATGATCGGGGCGTATCCCAAGGGCGGAGGTCACTGGGACTTTGCAAAGGGTGGTGAGGACGTGGGGAGGTTCGACAAGGTGTGGTCTGTGCCGAAGCCAGAGAATGATCCTGTGCTGGGTAAAGCAGAGGAAGGCCTTTGTGGGCAGTGGCATTGAGTTTTCTATTGTCGGCGACTTTTCTGTTCTCTTTTTTTCTCTCTCTCATGACTCCTTGTAGTTGTCTTTTGTCTTTTCTTTTTCATTGCTCGTAGCTATGTCTCCTACATAGCTATCTTGAGTGGCCACCCCTGCATGATTCGAGTCTGCGTACAAATCAACCACCACTCATCTGCCCGCAAGTGTGCTGTATAAGGTCCAGGGTTCTCGGTCGTAGTTTGGCAATGGGGTTGATAGGCCCGAATAGCTTCGCTTGTACTTTGTACAACAATATACGAGGTACCGGTTCCACGTCTGCGCAAATCAATGTCCGGTGTCGGGGCTGTAATGCGGTGGGGACCCAGCAAGAAAGATTTGATCATCAGATAATCGGCCGATGGCAACAGCAAAATCTAATCTTATCCCGTCATAAGATTGATAAGCCTCGTCAAGAAAAAGAGGCCAACAAGACGCTACCAAGTCGGCTATTTCTTTTGTGGTTCTCGTGGCCCTCGTGGCTCTTGAGCTTCCCATTGACAAGCAGTGGCAAGCCGGTATCCATCCCGCAACTCAAAATCCCGACATCGGGTCCCTTGCAAGTACATTGGGTCATGGTTGGTGCATCGGTAGCAAACTATTTGTGCGCCTCCCAGAACCCATGACAGCAGAGTTGCAACCATGCCATGAGGGGGGGACCCTCGCTTGCGAATTATCATGCTGGCTTTGCTGTTTGGAGGTTGCAGCTTGCAGCTTGCGCTCCATGTGAAAAAGGTAGGTTGAGGGAGATCTGCAGGGCACATCAGCTAGAAGCTCTCTCTTTCCTTTTACCTTTTTCCTCAGTCTCTACCATTCCCCGCCGTCTGTGGTTGTTTTCACCCAAACAGAATGCCAGTATTTCCAAAGCTCCGGCCTGGATTCCGTCGAACGACCACCGACGATGTGGTCACTCCTGTCCCCATGACTCCGGTGGGGAGAGATGAGAAAGACGCAGCGACAGACAACATCGAGGCCAACACAACAACCACCAACATCAATGACGAGGACCTGAAGGAAGAGGGCCTTGACGAAGCGGCCCAAAGAGGTGTCCAGGATGTCCAGGCCGTCACCCTGACCTGGTCCAAGAGATCTCTCGTCGCCGTCTTCATCCTGTATGTTTGACTGACCTTGCCAGCGGTGTCTCCGCGACGCGGTAGATACTCAGAGAGTGCTCTGGGCTGACTGTTTCCTCGTCAGGATGTTCCTCCTCTACTTCGTCAATGCCTTCCAGTCGTCGATCCTGTATAACTTGGTCCCCTTCGCCACGAGCTCTTTCGAGACGCACTCCCTATTGACCGTCATTTACATTGTCGCCAACTCGATGAGTGCCGCAATCTATATTCCTCTGGCCAAGATGCTTGACATCTGGGGTCGTGCCGAAGGGTTCCTCCTCATGGTCGCCTTTGCCACACTGGGTTTGATCTTGATGGCTTCTTGCAGCGGTCTGTCCACATTTTGCGCAGCACAGGTACGCGAAGCACCCATCATGCGGAGGAGTCAGCTTCTGGAGGAGGGTCACACGAGGCTAACCACGAGACGATCTTTTAGGTGTTCTACTCCATTGGGTTCGGGGGCTTGATATACAGCATCGACGTGATCACGGCCGATGCGTCTAAGCTGAAGAATCGAGGGTTGGCGTACGCATTCACATCGTCGCCATACATGATCACTGCATTCGCCGGTCCCAAAGCCTCGGACGACTTCTACTACAACCTCAGCTGGCGATGGGGATTCGGCTGCTTCGCCATCATCTTGCCGTTCGTGGCGGCGCCGCTGTACATCATTCTGAAGGTCAACCTGCGCAAAGCCGCGAAACAGGGCCTCCTCGCCAGAGAGCGCAGTGGCCGGACCTTGACGCAAAACATTTGGCACTATGTTCAAGAATTTGATGGTACGTGGGTGATTCGGCCTGCCCGATCCATTTCCCAACATGTCATGTAATACCTTTTGACTGACACTCTTTCTTTTCTATTCGCTACGAAACAGCTCCCGGAGTGATTCTCTTCGCCGGCGGGCTGACGGTCTTCTTGCTGCCGTTCACTCTGGCCGACTCTGCTCCCCACGGGTGGGCCACGGACTACATCATCGCCATGATCGTGGTCGGGTTCGTGGTGCTCGCGGCGTTCGGACTGTACGAGGCGTACGTTGCGCGGGCACCGTTCCTGCACGTCAACCTGCTGGCCAACCGGACGGTGGTGGGCGCGTGCCTGCTCGACTTCACGTACCAGGTGTCGTACTACTGCTGGAACAGCTACTTCACGTCGTTCCTGCAGGTGGTCAACGACCTCACGCTGGCCGAGGCCGGGTACGTGGGCAGCACGTTCGACGTCGTGTCCGGGGTGCTGCTGCTGTTCGTGGGCCTCCTGATCCGCCGCACGGGCTACTTCAAGTGGCTGCTCTTCGTTGCCGTGCCGCTGTACATCATGGCACAGGGCCTCATGATCCACTTCCGCCGCCCCGACAGCGGCATCGGGTACATCGTCATGTGCCAGATCCTGATCGCGGTGGGCGGGGCCATCTTCATCATCGTGCAGCAGATCGCGATCCTCGCGGCCGCCGACCACCAGCACGTCGCCGCCGTGCTGGCCCTGCTGTACGTGGTCGGCAACGTCGGCGGCGCCGTCGGCAACACCATCTCCGGCGCCATCTGGACAAACACCTTTGCCGACGCCCTCGCCCGCTACCTCCCCGCCGACACCTCCCCGACCGACCTCGCAGACATCTACAACAGCCTCGACGTCCAGCTGAGCTACGCCAAGGGCTCCGCCGAGCGCCGTGCCATCCAGCACGCCTACGGCTACGCCCAGGCCCGCATGCTCGCCGTCGGCACCGGCATCATGGGTCTGTCGTTGATTTGGATGTTCCTGATCCGGAATATCAACGTGAAAAAGGTCGCGCAGGTGAGAGGCACGGTCTTTTGATCTCTATCGTTTCTCCCTGAAAGAGCGTCATGGTTGGGTACGTACATACCTAGGTAGGTTAGTAGTATTGGGTAGTGTGATGGGTAGGTAGGGTAGGGTAGGATACCAATAGAACATGAGGAAAATCAAAGCGATTCTTGGTGTTTTTTTCATGACGCCAACGGACGATCTATGATGGTCCATATGACATGGTACATATGGGGAACAGCAAAACAAGACAAAAGGGTGATTAGGTCTACTGTAGGTATTGATACCCAGCTGGGCAGTAGTGATACTACCCAAGTACATATGTGCCGCCTGGCGATCCACGATTCGTCATTCTCTCCCAAAATCCTCCGTTTTTTTTGGGTTCATTCATTAGGTATCATGTCACACCTCGAACTCGATTTCTTCTTCTCCTCCTCCTCGTCGACCACTATTCAATCTAAACTGAATCTTCAACCCTGAATCTACAGGGCAAGAGGACATACATAGTTCCGAAATCTAGCTTTACGAACCCCCTCTGCGCCTTTCGAGGAATGGATCAAGGGGACCCGGTCGGTTTTGCAAGCGTATTCTCCAAGGTGGTCTATTGAGTTGTCCTGCCCTGCCCTGCCCTGCCCTGCCCTCATGAAATGCAGTCTTGGTTCGAAGGAGAAGCTGTAGGCGGCGAGGAGCCAGGCTGGGTTCAGACCGAGGGAGAATCCATCTGGGGAGGAGCAGAGGTCGAGCGGCTGTCGTTCGAGGGAGATTGATCTGAGGGAGGTTTCACAGCTCCGATAAAGTTCCTACTTCGTTCCGAGTATGACCAGGAGGTACAGCTTGACCTCGCAAGAAAGCCCTAGCACCAGTTCCTCCGTCGTCGTTGTGCGGGAGCCTCCAGACGGAATCGGGGAATCGAATCTGATGCTGAGCCGTACACCGGAGTGTTTGTTGTATAAGAACAAGCAAGTGGCCGTGAAATGACAGGAGGTGACTTATCGGTCACCGTTCGCGGGGCCATATAGTAGGAGGACAGTCTTCTCCATTGTACAATCAATGCGCGTTGATTTAGAGAGGTCGTTTTCCATGACAGAGGTCGAACTCAAGGCGGTCTAACTATTGGATGTTGATTCGGAGCATGAAAGGCCCGTTGCAGAGCCATGAGCGACCTCTATTTGATCTTGCCATCGTTACGTCCGGATACCCAATGCAGGACTTCTAGGGCCATTCGGCTTCTTTCCAAAGCAGCTCCTTTCAGCTCAGGGTCAGGGCCTCGCTCGGAAATAACGACCAAGATGGCATTTCTTGCTATACCTCATGACTTCGCGGCCGAGCTGTTCAAGTCCTTATCCAGAGAGATGTTGCCTTCGGAAGAAACAGTGGCTTCACGAGCCTTCCGTTCCAGTTCTCGTTTCTCTCGAGCCCGTCTAGCTTGTTGCCGCCGGATGTTGACGGGTTGATACACCTCGTTGAAATTCATGACCACTCCCAAAAATCTCAGATCGACGTCCGGTTGGTGTGCCAAATCATACAACAGCATGCTGAGCCGCGATCGAAAATCGGCCGATAGATGCAACTGTCGTGCCCTCAGAGAATTCAGATGAGTCTCGTCGTCCCCAATGTGTATATTTTCATTGGGTGTAGCAAGTGATGAATCATTCTCTTCGACGAGGAGTTGATTGCCCCTGAGAGCTCCTGCACCTGCTACGGAGGTGGGTGTGCTGGCCCTCGAATCACCCAGGAGATCCTTTTCGGTGATACCCCATTTCCCTTGAGCAGTTCGTCGCTCTATCTTCGCACTGAACTGTTGACGTCGAGTGTACTCTGCAACACTGTACGAGTAGAGGGAGTCAATGACTTCTCGATAGGCAAGCATGCATTTCAGGATGTGGTGGACTTGGACAATAAGGCTGTCCTCTTGCTGGCCTGTTACCGGGTGCCTTTGCTGCCCGATCAACCCCTTTTTCGTAATGTTGTTCAGGTAATTGGTGTGAGCTTCGATTAGATCGTCAAGGGTGGCTTCCGGCTTGTGCAAAGCCTCTTCGAGCTTCTTCCAGCTGGCCTCAATGACCTCAAACAAAAGATAATATTGAAGCTGATTAACGAAATGAACCATCTCTGCGACAACACATCTCGACCGTTTCCAATCGTTGCCCAGTTTGTCACTAACTGCAGCAAGGACTCCTCGACCGCCCGTCATGCATCGTTTGCAGGTCGAGCTGAGGGAATACTCGACCCGTTTGATTCTCCAGAGCAGGTTAAATATCTTGAGATACTGTGTGTTGGCCCATTGAGTAATGACAACGTCACACGGGGCACTGATTTTGTATTCCAGGGTGAAACAGTCCCAGCCGATCTCGCCGCTCGACAATTCAAGCATTCGGGCATCCAATCGTCGCAGCACTTCGGCGTCGTCATACTGGGCGTTGGAGTGCCGTATGGCATGTTCCAGTTGCGACGTAAGGTTGTGTCGGTACATTGAATTCACGGGACGATCGAGATGTTGAGCCAACGACTCGATGAGGAGTTCAAAGAAGTCACCCTGGGCCAGCAACATATACTTCTTTATTGCCGTCAAGTGTGTGAACAGGCCAAATTTTGTCGACATCAGATGAGTCAATCGCGACATTGTCGTTCGGTAAGCCACATCGATTGACTGTGCGAGATTGGCCGTGTTTGCGTAGTCGAGTGACTTTGAATTTGATTTGGAATATTTGATGACCCAGTCCGAGTCTCCGCAGTTGTTGCGAATGAAGTTGAGAGATTTGCCAATCAAGAAGACCTTTCTGGAGAACTCGGACGATATGATCGACGGTACCATGCCTGAGTCGAGCTTGTATTTCTCTTCCCACACGGAAGTCGCAACGTGTCTATGATCGACCGGAGGTTGCGCAGTCGGATCGGGCTGTGTTATGAAGAATTCGTGGTATGGGTCAATCAATTCTCCATCATAGATCCAATGCCTGAGCATCTCATAAAACGGACGTGCAACATGTGCCAGAAGCTTTTCCGCAAATGACGCCACAAAGGGATCGCCATGGGATGAGGACAAGTTGTGTATGAGAGATAGCACTTGCCCTCCTCGCTTCTGCCTCGAGTCCTCGACAATCAGTTTCATCAATCGAAGGGCCATGGTGGCCTCTCTTGTCCAAATCAGACATCGCTTCAACGTGACACCAGTGAGGCGCACCACTTTCGGGTCTTTCGCATTCTGAATAGAGGCCAAAGCTTGTCGAACCTCGGTCTCCAACGAGGCGACCAGGCTCAAGTAGGAGCGTAGCTCATTGTTGATGGCGGAACGAAGGCTCTGATCAATGAGACCTCCGTCCTGACCTGCAGCATACTCTGCCAATCCCCGATAGAGCAGACAAGGCTCTGCGAGTGCATGGAGGAGAGAAAGAATGGGAACCGGCAGACTAGGGGGCAGTTTGAGAGAGCCATTGTCTGCGAATTGAAGGTGTGCGGATGACACGCCTTGTAGATTGAACGGCAAGTCACGCAGCAGATCTAATTCCGAAGGATAGATGACTCGAGGCTCCTGCTTCTGCGCGGGAGGTTTCTCTTCAACTGGTTCTTGAGTCTGTAATTGTTCCTCCTCTTTCACGGCCGGTTCAATCTGTTCATTGGCTTTTCGGGATCTGGTTGACAAGGCACGATGGCTACGGGTCGACACCTTCGGCAGTTCCGGCTCTTCTTCTCCTTCTTCATTATCATAATCTTCTTCTAGCTCCTCCTCCGCCGTAAAAGTGGTTTCGGGGGACAAGGTGCGTCGCCGCGGAATATTTGCGAGGTGCTCCGAGTCCGCAAGAGGGTTTCGAGGACGCTCAGGGAGAGACTTGTCCGACAGCTTGTAGAGGAGATACAAAATGGCCCATTTCTGGTTGAGAACGGGAATGGCGAGTAGTCTGGAATACAAATTGCTAAACCTGGCCGCTTTCTCTGGAGAGGCATTCTCTCGCAACAACTTGCGCTTGATCAAGTCTTGCGCCTGATTGGTATCTGGGGGCAGTCTGCCATCGGCTCCGAGGACGGTCTCTTTTGCATACCGAATAGCGCGTTCAATGCGGAACTCGGTATCAGTGTCGTCTTGGTCGGAAGAAAGAGCTGGAACAAGGCTTTCAAGGAGAGAGGTCAAGGTGCCCTCGATGCGGTTCAATCGTGGGTCCGCCATTGGCAGTGCGAAAAGAATGAGACCCGGGGTGCATGACAAGGAGCCTACGTCAAGGCCGCACTGACATGGAGAGAAATCGGGCAGTGTCTAGACAAGATTTCTCGCAATGCATCTCAGTCCGTTAAACAGATTAACGCGGGGTGGTTTTTGGGATAGTGGCTTTACGTGCGCCAGCGTTTGTTTTCGCATCACCAGTAGACGCGTCTGTGGCTGCTGGTGTGGCGGTCCCCGTCATCTGTGGCTGGTGAGGGCTGCAAGGCTGTGTAGTCACCGTCTTAGAGGGGCTTAGTTTACGAGTTGTTCTGGCATCGAGGGGGCGAGACGTGTACCTGCCTGGGTGCCTGCTGTGCAAGCACATTATTAGCTGATTAGGTACTCGGTAATTACTGTAAGGGGCACCTTTAGCGATGTCTCCCCGGGCCCCCCAACGTTATCCGAGAGCCCATCAGTGCCTAATTCTTACCGAGCGTAACCTGATGGAAACCCCACAGACATGGCTTCCTCTACGTACAATTATCCAACTTTCAAGTGCTTCTACCCATCCTGCGCCGCTACCCGGCCGGTTACAAGTGACAATTCTAGCATACAACATTGTATAGCGTCGGTCCTTCACATCTCTTTCCCCCGACTTCTTCAAAGCTCCCGAGACGCGCCCTGATTATTAGTCTTACATGTTTCAGCACCGCGTCGACACATTTCTTGAAACGAGCAAAACCGCTCGCCGTCCTCACCCTATTTTCAGCCTTTCTACTCCTTGTAACTTCGCCTAACACCAATCGTCTGGCGAAACACGCTCGATCAGACGCCTCCACCCACACAATGGGAAGGACGAGCCTAAAGATGAAAGACTACCGACGATCATCTCGCCGCATCTGTTCCAGATCAGATCCGGCTCATGTTCGCTCCGGATTCTGGTTCGAAGACCCCTGTGATCCTTCCTGTATCCTGAACCGAGGTGTCTGAATGGCTTTGCCACGAGGAACGTGAGTGATCTTGCGCCCTTCTTGAGCCGCCCGGAGTGCTGACATTCCCAGTGAACAGTTCGGTCATATCCCGAACACTGCCCCCGGTCAAGTCGGCCGCTGGATGACATTCCTTTCTGTCAGCTCGATATTCCGTTTGACCCAACGACTGGACAAACCATATGGACGAAGGCTGTCACGTCAGCTCACATATACGACCCTCGAGCGCTGCGGTATGCTTAAGAACGAAGGAGCGCAACCCACCGCACTGTGTTCTGAACCGTGTCTCCATCAAGTCTGGTGCTCTTTCAAACCGCCAAAGCTGTCGGATTGACCTGCAAGTATGATTGAATACATACTGCGGCCACAAGTCTCGGCCGTCCTTTTCGTTGTGGTGCTTGTTCTCCTGCTTCTATACAAGCTCCGCCAACCGAGACCAAGCCTACCCGACCTCCCTTGGCTTAATACCAAGGAAGGCGAACTGTTCACGTCCTTGCGTGCCAGACTTCGCTCGACGATCAACTACAGGGAGACGATCCATCAGGCTTATGAGCAGGTACGGCGACCTGGTTACGTCTGGGATTTTCACTTACCAGTTTGCAGTATTCGAAGAACAACAAATCGTGTATACTTGCAAAATTCGGCGGGGACGAGATTCTGCTCCCAGTGTCGTCAATAACCTGGCTCATCAATCAGCCAGATGGCGTTTTGAATGTCGACGAACCCCACAAGGATGTCCTACAGACGGAATACACGTTTGTTCATCCAGTCGTTGTCGATCAGCCACTACACCATGAGACCATCAGAAATGAGCTCACTCGCCAATTGGGAGCTCTCACCATCGACATTGTGGACGAAATAGGTGCTGCTTTTGATGAGATCTGGGGCACGGATACAACCGAGTGGAAGGAAGTCTGTCCTTTCGAAACCCTCATGCTCATTACTGCTCGAACTAGCAATCGTGTTTTTGTCGGCTTGCCCTTGTGTAGGAACAAGGCACTCTTGGAGCATGGGATCGGTTTTGCCAATGCCGTCCCTGTCGCATCGACTCTCCTGAAACTATTACCCGCATTCCTACGGCCTCTTGCTGCCGTCCTGATCGCACGACCTAACCGACGTCACACGAAATCCTTCGCCCGCCTTGTTCGACCCGAGATCGAGCGACGTCAGAGGCTTCTTGAAGGTCAGACCGGGGACATAGAGAAGAAGCTTGGTGACCCCGAACCCAACGACTTTCTGCAGTGGTCGATCCGTCGAGCTCGTGAGAGCCTACACCCTGGCGAACGCGACCCGGATATCATTGCCGAAAGACTGCTGGCTGTCAACTTTGCCGCGATCCACACCACAACGTTCAGCATCACAAATGCGGTCTTTGACCTCGTCGCCTCTGACCCATCGAAGAGATACTTGGAACACATCCGCGAAGAAGCCAGCTCCATCATTGCCGCGGATAACGGCCACTGGACTAAAGCCGGCATCGCAAAAATGTACAAAACAGATTCCGCCTTGCGGGAATCATCTCGCCTGGGCTCATTCTTGGGAGCCGGCATGATGCGTCAGGTCGTAGTGCCAGGAGGGATCACTGCACCCGACGGAACATTTTGTCCCTATGGCAGCCGTGTTGCTGTCCCAACCAATGGCGTCCACAACGACCCAAAGCTTTACCCCGATGCCGCGACGTATAACCCCTTCCGCTTCTCTGTGGAACGAGACCTATCGGCCGCAGAACCATCGGAAACCCCAAAGGACCAGAATAATCCCACTACCACCACCACCACCACCGAAGAATACATTAGGAAAGCAAACTTGTCCTTTGTCAGCACTTCCCCGATATATCATCCCTTTGGACACGGAAGACATGCCTGTCCAGGGAGGTTTCTGGCGGCGAATGAGCTGAAGCTGCTGTTGGCGTACATGGTGCAGAACTACGAGTTTGAACCTTTGCCAGAGAGGCCGGCGAGCAAGTGGATTGGGACGAGTCTAGTGCCGCCCATGACCGCGACCATCAAAGTGAGGCGGCGAAAGGTGAATGGATATGACAGCGGCGAGAAATAGGTGAAGTGGGCGGGATAGACTCGTCATCATGATTGATGTATCATACTGTCACTGCACAGTTGACTTGACACGGGGTCTCAAAAGTTCTTTTTGCTACGTTGACAAACATTAGACTGCAGGACCAGGCTTAATGTGTACTATGTATGGATCAGATACAACACAGCTGTGAAGATCGATAAGATTGATCATCAGTCCATTCATTCGAAGACCTTCTTCCTGTACTTCTGTCATGTTGTCGCCGCGATCGCAACTAGATAGTAGTTATGAACCATTGCATCTGCGCCTTGCGTAATCGCAACGTCCAGGTATCGCTCGAGGCTCGTAGTTTAGTTCATAAAGTATAGACTGCACTGCCCCATCCACCTGTTCCATAGGAATGAGTACAGGGTATCAATGTAGACTGGTTGGTCGGGTCGGGTAGATAGGTACATAGTGACAGGGCGACAAAGTCCGGAGTTGGTTCATTAGGTCTTTGGTAGACGTACCAGGGATATCCAAAGAGTACGAAGATGAAGATAGGCGGGTCTTGCAAGCAGCGCGGTTCTTTGCATCGTACTGTACTCAAAATCTGTTGTGGGATTCACTTACTTATTGCTACCTAGGCAGATAGCTGCTTGTTCCGAGTCATATCCTGAGCAACCTCTAGAAAGGCTCACCTAGGCAAGTTCATATCAAGCTGTTCATTCCAATGCGCGGGTGGATCTTGACTAGAGGGGAGGGGGAGAGGGGCAAGCAAAAACAAGGACAGGGAGTTTGGCGGGGGTATTACTGCGTAGAAAATCAAAAGTCTGCGTTCGACCCGTGCTGTCAAGTCTTGTTCAGACTTGGGCCTGGTGCCGTTCCAGGAGTGGCAGGCCACTTGCCCGTCCGTCGTGCCTTGTCGCGCCACGAAAGGACATGGTCTCTCTTCTCTTCCCAGCTCCAATCCGTGTCATAGCGTTCGTAGTCGAACCCAAAGAACTTTTCCACGGCTCCGTCTGATAACATGTCACTCACAATATCCAGTGCCGGTGTCTCGACGCCCTCTAGGTCATCGAGAAGAAGGTCGATCACTTGAAGTCTGTCCGCCAATGGCATTGCCAGACTCTTGTCGAGCTGATACGACAGCAGCAAGAACTCGGCGATGTTGTTCCGGACGCTGTCGTAGGCCACCAGGGCGGCTTTCAGAATGTCGGCGCAGAGTTGAGGGAGAGACATCTTGTAGTCGACACGGATGGCACTGCGCATGCTCGTGCTGTGCAGGATTGCTCGGAGCGAGAAGATCTTGTCCCTAGGCTCGAGGCACTCGGTGTTTTCCGCGGCGTACAGATATCCCTGTAATTCGCGGTGGCCTTCCCATTCCACATCAGACAGGTGGGAGGGGTCTTGGGCAAACTTGTGGGCGACTCTCGAGTCGTCCAACTTGGTTAACTTCCTCGTCCAGCCCTGATCGAATCGCATCACGTCGGTGAATCTATACTTTAGAAGATGCCCCCACGAGATCTTGTCCGGGCCGCAGCAAATCATTAACTCGCGGGCACAGACAATCTCGGCCACGATCCAAGTCCTCTGCCAGTAGCGACGATTCATGAACTGAGCCAGTGCGTCGTACCTGCGCCGGAACTCGGTACGGTTGGTGTCAAACAGGTTAGCTGCAGCTTCTTGAGAAATGTCGAAGAGAATCTCGCTCGAGTCAGCGTGCTCGCCCAGCCAAGCCAGCACCGTCGCGGCGTTCTGAAAAATATCGCCTATCATTTTGACCTGTTGGGCCTTCTCGTCCGGATCGTCCTGGCGGATACTAATGGCATCGACCCAGACAAGCCTGGGCTTTGTGGGGTAGCGAAAGCGTCGAAGAGCTTGGTCCAGATTCAACCGGAGGGGGACCTCGTTCCCATCCACTCGGACGGAGTTGGGCGATGTCTCGTCACCCCATGTGTAAGATATACATTCGTACTTGGGGCACGAGGGCGCGGCTATATCCACCACAACGAGCGAGGCCGCGAGAGGGTCGTCGTACGACCCTGGCTCGAGCCGCAGGAGTCTCGTAGAGGAAGAGGAGGGAAGGGTCGAATAGAGCTTCTGTGCTATCGATGGGTCGAGTCGGGCGTCTTGGAATATTGTTTCCATTTTCGGTCGACAGGTACGCGGAGCACCCTACATATGACTGTACAAGTGGCGATTAAACCTCAAGGGCGTATATAATTAAGAGGGCTGGTAGGTTGGTAGGGTCAACAGGGTCACCCTAATGTGCCTGCGCTAAGAAACTTGATGAGACGAATGATCGGTACGAGTACGAAGCAAGATGCAACTGTACGAGGTACACACTCGTAGGAAGGGTTACAAGCACAAAACCGGTGGGGCCTGCGTGTGTGTTCGCCGAGTCTCTTTGTTATCCACGTGGTTGCCTGCTCTCCACACCGCTATCACCACTACCAGTACGGAGTACGCTACCGCCAGGATGGCACCCAGACGCGGTAGTTGTTTTTGTGACTAGCGCCTGGACTTGGGGAAAAGAAAGATACCAAGTAATCAACCAGGTACTTGCCGAGGAATGATAAAGGATGCCAAATGGGTCATGCGTCCGGACGACGGGATGAGGTGTGGTGAAGGAAGTGGGGAAGGGAATTTCTGGTTCTTGCCACCGAAGGACCCAAGTTTTATGCGTGCCGCGTACAATTGCATAGCGGTTTTTTATGAATGACTGGAGAAATCAACGTCGATCTTCCTGGTACGGGTGACGGGGTATTATTATTCCAGACACGGATGAGGACGGCGCACAGATGCGGTCAGCATGAGAAGAGAAGTTGACACAATTAAGAATGTCTGGGAAAAAGAGTTCCCACTTTTGTTTTGCCAATCTCGCAATTGAACACGCAAGCCCCCCTCCTGGCAAACCTGAAAAGGTGCTCGCCCACAAGGTGTTTTGCTCAGCAACGAAAAGAAACGGAAAACGTAATCTCGTTATCACTGGTCAGTTGATCATTCCGTGTCATTTACGGGTCCGGATGTGCCAAGTCCAACGCGGCTTGGCTGATACCCAAGCCCGCTTGACTGGGACCCCCGTTCGCTTTTTGACTTTGGTGGCTGCAATCATGCTTAACAAGAGGCTTAAGCCTAAGCGGAGATGCTCCGGCATTGCTTTGCACGAGGTAAAGCCGAGGCGACTTGGGGCCTGGCCATCGCCCGTTAAAACAAGTCAATGCTGCCATCATTGTCTTCCACCAGTTTAAACAGTCCAACCTGTGAAGTGAAACCGAAAAAGTCGGCTGGGAAAGGGGCCTGTGAGAGAGAGTGGAATTTGTTCCGGATCATGGGTGGGAAAATGGGCCAGGGAGGCAGATGCCCAGAAACGGACCAAGCATTCAAGGGGGCGTCTGGGAAGCCGCCGAGACACGACATTACGCAGATGCCCAGGCGCCCAGCGGCGAGTCAGATTGGCAATTGGCACGAGGGTCGTCAAAACTAAGAACACCAAGCGAAACCCAAGAGCCACCAAGACTATTGGCGCCTTGGCTAGCGTAATGCCAAGCCTTTTGCATTGGCGATGTCGGCCTGGTGGAAGGGAAGTGTGGCTGTCACCTGGGTTGCCTGTTATTGAGAAAATATCGAGCAGAAGATACGAGTAAGTGTCACCTGGATATCTAGGCAATAATGCCAGAGACCCTCGTGTCGGCATTACCTATGGTACATCGTCGATGCGCACCTGTCGAAACAAAAGGGCGTGGTGTCCCTTCCCCTTCGCTTCCGAACCTTTCCTGATGCCAAGCCCTTGGATGGGGTGTTAGTTTGACTCAGGCTTTTTGCCCAGGGCGTCATGCCACGACAATATTTCTCCGTGCGCAAGTAATATTGGGGAGTCACTCCGAAAATTGCAAGGCCACCAGTTATTGGCCGTCAAAGGACACGGAGTCCTTTGCCAGGAAAGACCCAACAAGAATTGGGAATCAATTTCCCATTCGGTAGGCAGGCAGACGCGCTGATCCCCAACAAGGGGACGATCCTCGTGATTTGGATTTCAAGGGTAGAAGTTTAAAACGATAACTCGGTACATGGATTTTTCTTGGAGGGATTCCGTGCATCGGAGTACGACTCATCTCGTCCCCAGTTGAGTGAGAGATCGATTGAGGGCCAGAATTTCTTTTTCCCGCGGTTATCGGGCCCTCTGAATACCGGGTCTCCCTCTCCCCCTACGAAACGGTGCCCTGCTCGCTTACAGCGCCCAGCGATCGAAGGCTGGGCGCTGACCCAGTAAAGAATGGCGGTCACTGGCCCGTCTCCAGCTAGTGCTGCGGGCATTGGGTTAAGCATAAGCCTAGTGTGCAAGCTTGACCCGCTGCGGAAGTGGCATACCTGTAGGAACACCTCTCCAAGGCCCAGGGCCCAGCCAAGGGGTCCACTCGAAAGGCCAGAGTCCCTCCCACACTACGGGCTTGAACTTCTTCTATTTGTCTGCCTCTGCTCTGGGAGTCTGGTCATTTTTCACAGCTATTCTCACGCTCCCAACTTTGTTCTCACGAATCGGTGCTGCCGGCCGTGCCAGACTGTGATCTCCCCAAGACCACAGACCACGTAATATCCGACCGCGAGTCTATCCTTGACACCGCAGATATTCCCATTGGCTCCACGCCGCTCACCAAGACTTGTTTGAGTGTGCCCACTTGCCTTGTCCATGGGCCTTTCCATTCGCATTATTAGAAGCCGTCTCTCCAGCATTTCCTCGTTTTCTAACTTGGACCCTTGTCGATTTCCCAACCCCCGAGCAGTTTACGCCTAGCCTTCTCCCCCAGTCTCAAACACTGTCCAAGAGACAGTTCAGTCAACTGAGCCTCCGCTATCAAGCATCGCGACTTAACGAGAGATAACTTTTGCGCCAGGGAGAAAATAGTCAATATCTCAGAAGAAGCACGACGGGCAAGACTGGGTTGCGTCTTGCAGTTGCAGAAAGGGAGCGCGTTGGACTTTGGCAAATGGGCGCGGCGAGCTGAAGTGTCTGCGCCAAAGCATTCAGCCCGCCGCGATTGACGGAACGAGGTTCAACTTGACGATCACATACGCGACAGTGAGCGGACCCCTTCTGGGTGAACTAGTCGCTTCGGCGGAACTGGAGAAAGGGTTTTTCAGATCATACACACAATGGAGACATACAACGGGCTCGTTCGTACGCCAACAGACGCCATCATCCTCTTCGAAGCCTGCAGGTTGGGCATACTCCCTCGAGTCCAGCGGAGATTGTCAGAGAAAGAGAGACAATCCATCAGATCCGGCTCGGTCTTTGTTTGGGATGAGCGCGAAGCGGGAATGCGGCGATGGACCGATGGCAAGAGTTGGAGTGCAAGTCGTGTCTCGGGCAGCTTCTTGACTTATCGGGAAATGGAAGGCAAAAGAGGAGGAAACTCATACGTGAATACGGCCAATCGAGGCGCCAAAACCCCCGAAAATGGTCAAGACGATCCTTCGCAGTCTGGTGAGGGCGAGGAGGGACCCGACGGCTATCGGTACAAGCCTGATGGCCTGATGAAGCAGTCCTTCAGTATCACCACTTCCCAAGGCCAACACCTACATCTCATCAGCTACTACTCCCGAACACATCCAGCCTCTCAGGTCTTGCGACAGCCAAGCACCGATCCCAATCTGGCCTCGATACAACCCGCGAAAGGCATGTATCCAGAATCCACCATCAACGATCAATCAACGGTCCCTGCCGTCACTCGATCGCCCATGTTAGGGGCTCCAGGATATGTCATCTCTCCAGGTGCCCCAGGGTATCACCGCCCAAGCCCTGGTCCGCCGCAAGCATATATTCCACCCGGCTACATCCCTCACCCAGCCTACATCTACCCAATCAGTCCGATGCACACCCCTCCTCCCGGACACTATCTACAGCCATATGCTATTCAGGCCGGCTTGCCCCCTCTTGCATTCACCCCAGCGCCATATCCTCCACCACACCATCTATCACTCAGCCAAGCACCACCGTCCTCTTTCGATCAGCGTCCCTTACGAAACTCAGACTCGAGGTCGTCAATTCCTCCCCCTTTACCGCCTGCCACTTCCCCGCAGGCTCCCCTGAGCACTTACACTGTCAGCCAACCCCCTCCGCCAGTATACCAATCCAGCCCTGCTCCACCAGTCAATACGCAAGCTCCTGAAGCTGCTAGTGAAAATGCGGGCACGGGGATACAAATAGATCCGCGCTTGACCACTCCTACTACCTATGGGGCTGAAACCCAGACGAACGGCGCTAATGGCAAGAGCGAAGCAAATCAATCTGGAACGCAGACCTCTGACACCATCGCGGTGAGTGCCAGCCAGGCACCCACCATCACCGCCCTCGTACACAATATCGATACGAATGTTGCCCCGGCAGAGAAAAGCCAGAGTGAGGCCGAAGCGGACCGACAAGGCAGTACGAGTCCAGGTGGAACCAAGAACGGGGCACCACCGCAAGACATTCCCAGCGAGAAGCTAGGGTTCCGAGAGGATAAGAGAGCCCTGAGCAAGCTAGACCGCGTCTTTGCCAAGGTATAGGACGGAAAGAGACCTATTCGGGTTGTGGCATCACATTGCATTGCACGACATGCTGGGAAAAAGTCGGCGTTTCCAACCATATCGGATTTAGCGTTCGGGTCAAAAGAGGCGGCGGATATGCGATCGATTTCGAAAATGAGCACGAAGTCACGAGTTTTGATGACTGCAGTATTCGACTTTTGCCATTTGTTGTTTTTTTCTCCTATTTTCTCAAGAAAGGGTTCTGAACTGGCCGGGTCAAGTCCCGGCCGTTGATAGGGGCAATGTTTGACTTTGAAGAAGCAGGGATGGTGACGATGGATTTGCGGAGATACTTGTGCGTTAACATTAGCAGTGGCATGAGGCTCAAGCAGTAGAGTGTACTGTACGAAAATCGTATTATTTCGGTTGCGTTCGATCCAGAGTTAGTCGCCTGACATGATTTGATTCCATTAATGTGGCTCCATGTGATAATCGGAGAAAAGTCTGGGCCGAGTGACGACAAGGACCCTGCGGTTGGCAGTTGATCCACCAAATCATATCGGCATCACTCAGCATCAGTCCATCTCCAAGCACAAGTAATACTCGACCTTTTCACAATATTTGCCAGCCTCATCCTTCAATCATCAAAGCGAGTGCCCATGTCGAACGATTGCCCCTAGCAGAATTGCCCTCCTAGCTGCCTGTGAGGCAAAAGGACGAAGCCCTCGTCGCTGATATGCTGGGTGCGCAATCCTCGGCAAACTCCACCACCTTCATCAATGGTGTCGCTCTCAACGAGACTGCACTGAAGTTCTGGAATTACACGCTCTACGACAATGGCACACTGTCCAACGGCTCGCGCTGCTTTCTCGCTTTTGGCCCGCACAAACCCATCCTTTTCTCGAACGGAACGTTCGTCAATACGACCTCATGTTACACACCCATCAATCCCATTGGTGCTCGGGGCATCACCGGACTTGTCTTTGGCTCTCTCTTTGCCCTGACGATTCTGTTCTCCACGATCAACCTGAGGAAACATGGCCGCACATACCTACCTCGAGAAAGAGGGTGGAAACCGGTGGGTAGACGCTGGCCGTGGTATTGGACCTTGGCTGTCGCCGCTTGTGGCATCTTGAGCTCCTTTACCGCTGTCGACGTGGACAGAGACTACATTGTCAACACGCCCATCATCCTCCAAAGCTTCTTCCTGACCTTGATGATTCCGGTGTTGCTGGCTTGCGTTTGGGAGGCTGCGAGAAACTGGTGAGCACGACGGCATATACTCTGCTTTCAGACGCCAGAAGACTTGTGGTCGGTCTAACCTCGTGCTTAGGAGCTCATACTGCCATCGTCAATTCCAAGAGGCACAAACATATGCCTTGTCGGCTAACGCATTCCACGAAAAAGCCAATTTCTACCTTCCCTTACTCTTCTACGCCTTCGACTGCGCGGTGTTCTTCACCCTTGTTCCACGATCTTGGTCGTTTGCCCAGAAGCAACGCTCGCCCACGCAGACTCAGGGATTGGCTAGACCTGTTGCCCTCGATGCTCGATTCAAATCGGCCTCTGTCCTCGCGACAGTCTGTCTTGGACTTATTGTCTTTCGCTTGGGTTATGGCAGCAGGGCTTACAGGGCAAAAATCCCTACAACACTCTTGCTGACTATCATTTGTCTCGGCCTACGCGTTGCGTACGTTCTTGCGGGATCTTGGGTATGGGAGCTATCCCCATTTCGTCGAGACTTGAGCGTTGGCTTGTTGTACGGACTCGGATACGCACCAGCTCTTCTCATTCTTGTGCTGCTCAACATCCATGGATACATGAATGAAAATGAAGACAAGGTATTGATTGCCCTGCGCGCGTCGAGGGGTGAGGAATTGGGCGATGGTCTTGCCTTAGCCGCGCAGTCTCATCAACCTCACAGTCGCAAACCGCCAGCCTGGTGGTTCAGGTCCCAGAGCCACTCCGCATCGCCAGGTGGAGTCTTCAAAATGCCCAGCTCCTCCAGAAGACCTCCACTGGAAGAAATTTCTCATGCGACAGATACGAACCGGGCAGAACAACAAGACGAAAGTGGACACGCTTGGTGGCAGCGGCGTAGGCAAGAAGAAGACGCGAGGTACAGAAAACCAAGGCAGAGTGTGAACAGTACCAGGTCCGTCGGAAGATCTGCAGTCACAGACAGTGGCACTACGGGCATAGACTCGCGATTTACAGACACGGAAAGCTCACTGCCACCTCCACAATATCAGAGGGACACACCCTACGAATCCCGCAGAGACGGTCTGTCGCAGCCTGAGTCGTCCACCCACTCGCTACAATCGCCACCTCAGGTAGTCAGGAGTATGCTTGACGTCTGATCGATCGAGGATCACAGTCAGAATAGGCATGGAACAAGGGTGTGACCTTTCGAGTAAGAGGCTTTATAAGGAAGGCATACAGACGTTTTGACAAGTCAGAGGGATGACTGAACATTAAAAGTTGGACTGCTCAGTAGTATACGGTAAGCCATATCTCATTCTTCAGACTATTTCTGACAAGAGGGCAGTTACCGTATGGTACAACCCCAATCGATATCGCATCTTGAGCTCTGCAGAACTCTACCGCACATCCAAAGTCGCAGACACCGCATGCTGCAGACTTCTTGCTCAAAACCACGATTGTTCCAGGCTCCCAGAAGGACTGACTACCCTGAAATATTAGGATCCCAATGTTGCTTTTCGGCCCTGACCCAATCTGCACTCACAAAAGTGATGTTCGGGATTGAGGAGTTGAGGCGTTGAGGAGTTGGGAATCCAAGAAGAGTTGAGCGAATCCAGACATGGTTGATGGATATGGACTCGACGACGTAAGGGAGAAGGCTGTAGCAGGACCAAGTGCCGGGTTGGGAACGGACGGCGACAGGTTTTTGATACTGTGGTGGCTGACGTGGTCAGTGCTCATCTGGTGCAGGTAAAGTAGAATCCTCTCAAAGGACGGTGATTGAATTGGGTTACCTCGACACGATCTTCTGTGGCCGCGCCCATGGCCACATCCTACGCGGCGACGGCGGTGATGGGAGCGTGCATGAAAATGCTGAGCTGCTCTCATGGAATGAAGCTGGCTAAGGAGGAAATTGCGGTATTCCTCAAGGAAGGGAAGGCTGCTCGAATCAGGGCTGGGGGAAGACCCAGACCTTGATTCCCGACGTTCGCTGCTCGTGCATGGGTCGAATAACCCGGGCGTATTGCACATGTGCTGATCCCTAGCATGGTCTGGTAATTGTTCATACAAGGCTGAGTGAGATGATACGCGGTTTGAGCTGTAATGAGACGCCATTGCTTCGCTGCAAGGTTTTATAACATCAAAATTGTTTGAGATGTTGCACGAGAGGGGAGGGCAAATCTTTTAAGAAAGCAACAGCCTAACTGTCATGCTCGGTCAATATAAAACACATTGGCGCAAATCCTGTCGCTGACGGCCCCCGGAGTCGAATGGGTGATCGATTGGGTCCGAGCATGACATAAAGGAAAGGATGCTCGGCGTCTGACAAAAGGACAAGGCGGCGAAGATGTGATTTCTGACCTACAAAGGGCAAGTCCTCAAGGCCGTCAGCGACAGTAGCTGGACAGGCAGACTGAGCGAACAAGGCCATTCGGCTGCATCTGGCAAGTAATCATAACCCAGGCAGGGAGGAGAGGAGACTTGGCACTCAGGCGGCGCAATTACATTTATGATCAAGGACATTTTGCAGGTTTTGGAACACCTCCGTGCGTTTCTCATTTGGGAAATTGTAAAAGGTTCGCCCTCGGATCCCCCACCGGGTCGTAGGATGTGTCCGTTTTTCTAATTGAGTGGCTGAGTGGCGATTGGAATCGTGGAGTAAGATTGATGAGAAAAATAGCATGGGTGCGCATAGGCTTGGTGATGGGGTTTTTTAATCCTTTGCGCTTTGGCGAGGCTGCGGCAAGAATCCCGTCGGATAAACACTTTTACCGCATTCCGCGGGCGGACCGCGCATCCTGCTCCCCCTTTGCGCTAAATTGTTACAGCATCGTCTGCGCGACCTGCAGCTCCTCTTTGACTTTCTCATACTCTCCGGATACTCTGCGGCCTCTGCTGTTGGCTGCTGTTTGTCGCCCTCCCCCTGCGTGATGCTATGGCGTGTTTTGAAGGCGCCATGGCATCTCGGAGACAGGATCCTGCCTCGATGCTCGTCCCTTGACATTGCAAGACTTCGATATGACATTGTACCGTCCAGCATTTCCGTCCAATATCTGCACGGTCAAAGCGCACCAGCTACAGAAACTTCACCGGCCCTTGTCCGCCATGCTAGACTCTCGAACGATGCCGAGTACGTCAACGGCTTGCGAGCGGATGAATCGGTCAAAATTGCAGGCTTAGTGCGCAGTATCCGGAAGCAGAAAAAAGTCGCATTTGCCCGGATCGGAGATGGTTCGACGCTCGCGAATGTCCAAGCAGTGTTTCCCGATCCGCAGTTGGCGAAAGAGTAGGTGGATGCGCATCCAAGGAGCATGGACGAGTTCTGACACCCAGCAGCATCACCAATGGCGCCTACGTCGCCTTGGTGGGCAAGTGGGTACCGTCGAAAGGAGCTGGACAGAGCCATGAACTGCAAGTCGAAGAGATCGAGACGCTGGGTGATGGCAATACCTCTGTTCGTCTAACCGTTCCTCCTTGCGCGCCGCTGCCCCTGCTAACGGCGACAGGACAACCCCATTCAGAAGCAGTCGATGTCGACTGACTTTCTCCGAACCGTTCCTCACCTCAGAATGCGCACGGCCTTCCACTCTCTTGTTAATCGGACTCGCAGCCAATTGATCTCGGCAATTGCGTTGCATTTCTCCAACCAACCGGACCCAGTCTATCAAGTCCTTCCGCCACTGATCACCTCTTCAGACTGCGAAGGAGCGGGAGAGGCATTCACAATAGCCCCGCAGAGCCATGAACAGCTTCCCGGCACAACACCAAATACTTCTAAGGGACAAGAAAAGCTTTATTTCCGAGAGCCAAAATACCTTACTGTGTCGTCACAGCTTCATTTGGAGGCGCACGCCGCCGAGCAAGGGGATGTGTTTGCATTCTCCCCGACTTTCCGCGCCGAAGAAAGCGATACCCCGCGGCATCTGTCTGAATTTTACATGCTCGAGGTTGAGCATCGACACGTTTCTTTTCAAGAGCTGCTGTCCCGAGTGCAAAGCCTTGTGGCATACCTCACACAATCACTACAAGAGCATCGCACGGGGAAAGAGTTGGTTGAATACTACTCCGACCAGAAACACCGACCTACGGACGCGGACTTTGTGGATCTGCCAGCTCGGTGGGCTAGACTTACTGGACGGTGGCACCAGGTGGACTACACATCAGCTATGGAGGCACTGATAAAGGCGCACGAATCCAGCGATGGCACGCTTTTCGTTCACCGTCCTCAATGGAAGCAGGGATTACAACTGGAACACGAACGGTGGATCGTGGACAATCTGGCAGAGGGAAGGCCTGTTTTTGTGACGCATTATCCAAAAGAGGTCAAACCGTTCTACATGCTTCCGTCGTCGGCAACTCCACTGGAAGGTGGGGCTCAATCGGAGTCGGACGGAGACACTGTGGCCTGTTTCGACCTGCTGCTTCCCTTTGGCTACTGTGAAGCGGTTGGAGGAAGTCTCAGAGAACACCGGTTGGAGCATCTCATTCAATCGATGCGCCAAAAGGGGTTAATCAAGAGAACCGAAATATCGAATGGCGACAATGGCAACGGTTACCCGTTTCTGGAAAAGGGAGAGACTTTGGGGAACATGAGGTGGTACGCCGACCTTCGACGATTCGGAAGCAGTCCCCACGGTGGCTATGGCCTGGGATTTGACCGCCTGCTCGCATACATGACGGGTGTCAATAACTTGAGGGAGGTCGTTCCGTTCCCGAGAACGTGGGGCAGGGCAGATTGCTGAGCCGCGGGTGATGGCCGTAGCGAACACTATTGTACGAGATACAGGTACATGTAAGGGTCGAATGTACAGTGTACATTTTGGTTACAAGTCAATTCCAAGGTTGGGAATGCAGTGGAAATAAATAATAAACTTTGGCACTCTTCCTATTTTAGTAAGGGTTGATCCACATATATCCATATCGCTTGGCCTTGTTTCCCCCAACCCTCCAAAATCATCCAGACATGGCTCGACAGGAAGAACAAAAAATGCTTTTCCACCACCAATTTTTCGATTCTTGACACGAGATTTGGTCTGGAGAATCTCTTCATTTTTCTCTACCCAACGACATCAAAAAAAGCAAAAACAATCAACAATCAGGATTCCCACCTGGTCACCCACGGTAGTACTAACTGATCGGCATATGGCTTAAGTACGGCTGAGCGAACGGGAAGCCCTGTATTCCATATCCTATGGTCGATTGCGAAGGAGAATCGTTTACACTAATTAATATAATACAAACTTGTGCGTTTTACCAGCGATCCACGAGTATGCGATGTTTTTTTGTAGGTGCGGAGTTTATTCGGTATAGGATCTTAAGTGAAGGGGATGGGGCCGGGTGGCTATGTTATCTATGAAGGGCTTAGGCATTACAATGGACATCTGAGGCACTACTATCATTGTCTACTACCTAATTAATATATTTGTTCCGCTACTTGTTTTCATGATCGTGGGTGTTAGCTACCAGCTGCTAGTCAGAAGTACCTACCTTGCGAGCTCGTATTGAAAGTCATCTTCCCGTGTCTCCCCCAGTGCGGGGGTGCCAAGAGGCTAGCCAGTTACGCAGTCAAGATCCCAAAGTCTTACCTTTTCTCTTGTATACGAGTACCTCAGGCTTCACCTACTCTATACAGGTGGTCAAGGTAGACCCGGCGATCCATCTTCCTACTTCTCTCCTTCTCTATTCACCCGTTGACTTTCCCACCATCCTCGGCGATACGGCGAGCGCGGGCAAGTTCCCTGGATCCCCCTCGTCCGCTCTCTCGACCGAGTGCAGCATGGCAAAAGCCGATTATGATGAAGTCGCGTCACCAGCGAGTGAATGCTAGCGGTTCAAGATACCGAGGATCAGACGCGCTTGAGCGATTCATGGCTCGCTTCGCACTGCCCTTACCTGACCTAGGCAACGGTGCGATCGTGCGGCATGATCTGGAGTCCGACCCATGTCCAGACTCGGAAGAACTCGAGCCCGTTTCTGGATAGAACCCACTGGGCTTCGCAAGCATCTACCCGCCAGTCCAAGGGAGAAAACATCTCTGTATCGCCGATTGGCTGTCCCCCGTGATGGTCCCCGATCTATACCGAACACAGGCAGTCCTAGCATGCAAGCTAATGTGGCCCAAATTGCGGAGAAGAACCAGGGGGATCTGGGCAGCTAGCGAATGTGCCTATCTACCAATACCCGCGTTAATGCTTTTCGCTGGCCAAGAGGTATTTTGATTCGGGCTTGACGACGTCGACTAATTGCACATATTTTTACACCCACCATTATGGGCGATTTCAAGCCATTGGGAATCAGTAAACATTTGAACCTCGGCATACCGATACGATGGACACATTGTCTGGCTGTGCCTGGCAGAGGCGGTGGGAAAAGAACGGCTATAGTCTTCGTCATGGGACTATATAGTCCTGGCTTCCTCCGGCTATGGCAGTCGACTTGAAATCAGTCCTCTCCGCAGTTACTACAGCGTCCGAATGAGAAGGCAGCAAGCTATGGAACCCAAACTCGTTGTTGTAGCACTCCTCTATGCCTTTTCCCGGCTCTGCTACTCCCAAGGCTTGCCCACTGTCGACCTAGGTTACGAGATACATCAAGCTATCAGCTTGGATGTTCGTGCTCCATACCAACAGTCCAGCACTGTGTGCCGTGCTAACACATTCCTAGGCGACCGGCCAATTCTACAACTTCAGCAACATCCGCTTCGCCCAACCTCCAGTTGGCGATCTTCGCTGGGCCGCTCCAGAACCCCCTACCGGACGAAACCCGGTCGTCCAGAACGGCAGTATTGGTCGGATCTGTCCACAAGCCAACCCAACCTGGCTCACACTGGGTTTCGCCAACTTACCCAACGTCGTGGCTGGCAACGCGTCAGACTTCAACGTTTCCCTTGCAGAACAACAGCTTCAGGCCACTCCTCCCGGCGCAGTTCCATTTGACAGCTTCCGCAATGGCAAATTGCCGCCGCAGGATCCACGGACGACCGAAGACTGTCTCTTCTTGGACGTCGTGGTTTCCAAATCTATTTTCGACAAGGTCAACAACGGCACGCTGAAGCCGGGACAACAGCGTGGGGCCCCTGTCATGGCGTGGTATGTATACTACCAAGCTATTTTCCAATCTACAAGACAACAACATGGATTGTCTGGTACTAATGCGACTCCAGGATCTACGGTGGCGGCTATACGATCGGTGAGAAGTCATCGGGGAACGACGTCCACGGCATGATGAAGACGGCGAGTCAGATGGACGGCCTGGTCTTTGTAGCCATGAACTATCGGCTCGGGGCCTTGGGGTTTTTGTCCGGACCGACCCTGCAAGCCGCTGGTGGTGTGTCCAATGCTGGCCTCCTCGATCAACGTCTCGCGCTGGAATGGATCCAGAAGTACATTCACCTCTTTGGAGGCGACCCGGACCGTGTGACCATTACTGGAGAATCTGCTGGAGGTGAGTTGCCCCCTGACCCTAGCCCCAGCACTCATATCCATGCCACATACTGTACATTGATTTTGTTATTATGTTTAACCCATACATCATGGACAGGTGGTTCGATCGAGTTCCAAATCACTGCGTACGGTGGACTCAAACCGGCGCCGTTCCAACGCGCTATGCCGCAGTCCCCGGGCTTCATACCTTCAACGTCAACATTCCTTCAAGAGAACACCACACAGACGTTTCTGAAGATGATCAACGCGAGCTCCATCGCCGAGGCGCGAAAAGTGCCCTCGGACGTGCTGATCAAGGCCAACGCGATGCAGATCGCCACGTCGAACTGGGGTACGTTCACATACGGGCCCGTGGTGGACGGGACCTTCGCGCCGGCGCTGCCGGGACTGCTGCTGAACGCGGGCTCGTCGGCGCCGAACATCAGCGTGTTCAACTCGCACTGCGGCAACGAGGGCGCGCTGTTCACGCCCCCGTACCTCAAGACCGAGGAGGACGTCGACGCCTGGTTTCAGATTAGCTACCCCGAGGCAGTCGACGAGGTGCGCGAGTACGTGCTGACCACGCTGTACCCGCCCGTGTACGATGACGCAACCAACGAGGCACACCCGTACACGTCGCTGCTGGAGCGCGTGTACCTCATGATCAGCGAGTCGGCCTTTCTCTGCAACATTGACTACACGAACCGGGCGTACGGGCAGAGCACCAGCAACAGCAGTAGTAAGAGCTACACGTACGCGTTTGAAATCGGCCCGTCCTTCCACGGCTGCGACGCCGGCTACAACTTCTACACGGGCCAACCGACCAACGCCACCACGGGCATGTTCGCTACCTACGCCCAGCAACTGCAGGACTACCAGCTGCGGTTCATCACGACGGGCGACCCCAACGGGCCAGGCCTCCCTGTCTGGCCTGCCGAGCGGGCTGGGAAAGCCAGTGCGAACCTCCTCACCCCCAAGGGGTGGAGCACCGTACCAGACCCGACCAGGAACCACAGGTGTGCGTGGTGGCAGAAGGGGTTGGCGAGTTGAATCCCTTCGCCCGTCGAAAAAAACAAAAAAAAAAACAAAAACAAAAAGGGTTATGAGGAAAAAGTGATGAAGAAAAAAGTATATAAAAGGGGGTCAAGAAATATAGCGTGCGAGGGTGATAGGGAGGAAGGTGCTGGAAGGATTCAAGTCGAAGAACAGACGACAGCGGACAGCGGACAGATTGTTCCGAGGGCATACCGGTCCCAACAACCCAGATACACAACATACATACAGACCCTAGGTAGGTCCGTATAGCTAGTACTCCGTGGGTATAGGTATATCGATATGGATATCGTGGAACAAGTATGAATCAATTAATCAATGAATGAATTTCCGGCCGAATTCCCCGCCTTCCTCCCTTCCTCGCTCCGCCTAGCCTGTCAGTCTGTCAGCCTATCAGCCTGTTACCAAGACGACGACGTAAATCTAGAGAGATGGGAGGCCAAGGACAAAGGACTAACTACGTAGGTACTATCACCACATCCTCCATCGATCCCTCCACCAAATCCGAGCCCATGTCCAAACTCAACCCCCCGAATCCGTCCTGTCCCCAGAAAATAACGCAGTACAAAAACCGTTTTCCTTTCTAGAAAAAACCAGACACCCGGTCGGACATGCACGTAAAGAGTCAATAACCTGAGACCCAAAGCAAGGCTCAAGTCTCACGGCTCTCGAGAACCCAAGAAACCGAGAACCAGAACTCGAGACTCAAAGAGCCAAGATTAACAGCACGGCTTCGTCTGCCATGTCCAAGTGCCGACTGCATAAGTGGCCGGGTTGAACAGGGCGGCCGTGTAATTCATGACCTGGGAGACGTCAAACTTTGTCGTGTCCATGGTCATCTTGGCGCCCGGAAGGACGCAGTCCTGCCTGGCGGCGCAGTAGGTGAAGAACTGGGTGAAGCTGTCCGGGTTGCCCTGACCGCCGACCGACTGCCGCAGGCCCTGGTCCTCGTTCTGGCCCGACGCGGCGCCCGAGAGGAAAAAGTAGGTGCTCCACACGCCGGGGACGCCCGTGTCGTAGGTCGTGACGGCGTGGAAGACGTTGTTGTCCTGGCCGAAGTGGCTGAAGAACCATTCGATCGAGACGCCGTACCGGCCCGTCGAGATGGTGTCCACCTGGTAGTATATCCCCTGCTGGGAGGCGCCGAGGATGTGCCCGTACGTCCACAACGGGGCCAGCGTGTACCCCGGCAGATTGCCGGCCGGGAACACCAAGGGTGCGGTGTCGCTGTTGCGCGAACCGGCGCTCCACTGGTTCTGTGTTGCGGCGGTGACGCCCAAGGGGGTGTTTGTGAACCAAAAGTTGGCCGTGACCCACAACTTGGCCTGGACTTGGTCAAAGATCTTCCATTGGATCCCGTACTGGGACGAGAGGTCCAGAACGGTGGCGTGCGACGTGTCGGACCAGGTGTTGAAATACGTGTTGGTGCCGCCGGGGTAGTCGCGGTTTGTTTGCGAGTTTGCCGCGATCGGGCCCACGGGGAACGGAATGGGCCTTGCGAGATACAGTTGTAGAGGTTGAGGATTCGTGGTGCTCCCGACTGTCGTGGCAAGCCACCGGCCAGAATGGGTGCCCGGTGTGTTGGTCATGTTGGTTGTAAGTTGAACCCCGTTGCTCACCCGCCCGAACAAGGTGCACAGGCCAGAACTGGTTGACCATGAAAAAGCAAAGCAGGGAGTACTCTGTCCTGCCGCTATGTCGCATTGATTTGCGCAGCTGTTATAGGTTGGCTGTGTCGTGGCTCCGAAGGGATTATTGCCTGGATTGGTATAATCGGCCTTGTACCGTGTTAGCACTCGATGAAGTGACTGGAGCGGTCCTGGATGCACACTTACCGCGCATTCAATGTCGTAGTAACGACGTTGGACTGGGTTGACCGAGACTTGCCCTCCTGAGCAATAGTTAGTTAACGACAGTGGGCTGGGAATATGCATGGACTCTACCTTCGTATTTCGACATGAGGTTATTGTTACAAATGGGATCCTGAGGGTATGCGAGCGGGAAGTTGGTGGAAGAGGCCTGAGAAAGATCTGTTGTCGAAGATGTAGAAACTGAGCTGCTCGCCCGTGTCGAACTGGTTGTGGTCGACGCTCTCGAAGTTCCCGCGCTCGATGAAGACGCGACGCCGGTGGCAGACGTTGTTGCCCCAGAGCCACCACAGACGAAACTCGGGTCATCATAATCAGTCATCTGCGGATACCCGGCATATAGCATCCGGGCACTGTTGAAAGTAGCGTTGCCTCGAGTCGCACAGGTCAAGGTAGAGTAAGGGAAACAGTTGTTGGTCGACCCTTGGCTCACTTCTGTCACCATGAACGTCACCCCAAGACAACTGTTCGCTCGAAGGGCATTGGCATACTGACACTGGTTGATGCAGTCAGTCAGGTCGAACGTCAGAAGCGGTTGCCCCGTTGATCCTGCGAATGCTGTAGCGCATTCTATTTCGAAGTTGGCATTGTTGCCGAGGAAATTATAGGAATAGCACGCAGGAGAATTTCCCGGGCACGCTGATGCTGATTCAGTCGGGGCGGCTGAGCAAGTGGCAGGCACATACGACGTTGTAGATGCGGTTGTGGAGGGCGATGCAGCAAGGGATGACGAGGGCGTGGAAGGCGAGGACACTGGAGCCTGCGTGGTCGTACTCGTAGGCGTGAAGATTGGATCGTTGATCGAGGGATATCCTGCATAAAGCAGACGAGCACTGTCGATGTTCGGGTTGGACATCGTCCCAGTTATGCCAGACAGAAGAAGGCAGTTGGGTCCGCTCCCGCTCGATGAACCAAGATAGCTTACACCCACACATCCAAATGGCAGTGCCACATTATAGTTTGTGCAGAAACCGACGCAGTTCTTGAGTGAAGTAGCCGTCGTCGAGTTGCCTGTCAGGATAGAACCCTGCAGTGCGGTTGCACATTCGACCTCATAGCAGTAGCCGTCGCTATTAACATTTAGTGCTTGATGGTTGTAGGTGGAGCATAGACTGGTCGTCGTGGGAGTTGCAGAGCAATAGGACACTGCAGTTGTGGATACAAAAGTGACAGTGGTGCTTGCACTGCTAGTCGGCGAGGGAGCCACCGGTGACAAACTCGATCGTGAGGTTGACAGACTCGTCGTAGCCGGACTCGAAGTTGACGGAGGACTAACACTGACAGAGATGGTTGATGAGGTGGGAGAACTTGAACCCGGTGAAGAGCTTGGAGGATTTACGCTGCTAGAAGGACTGAAAGAACTTCCAGGGGTGTTCGACGTGCTCGACGTGCTCAGCGTGCTGGACTGCTGTTGGCTGGTAGGTGTAGTGTTTGGCACAGACGAGCTGGCAGGGATAAAACTGAGACTCGTCTGGCTCGTCTGTTCCGCTTGGCTGCTTGTTCCTGCAACAGCTGATGATATAGAGGACTGAATGACATCCGGGGTGGTGGTGGTGCTTGGGAGATCCTGTTGCGTACTAGAAGTAGGTTGAATGAATACAGAAGTAGTCGGATTGTCCGATGGAGCTGACGACGAACTTGTGAAGGTGGACACGGCAGTTGTCGTTGTGGAGGTTGTAGAGATAACCGTCGACGGCTCGCTCGAACTTGTTGAGCTGCTGGAAACTCCCTCATCCGAAAAAACAATGTTGGGAGCATCGGGCTTGTTGACGACGATCGCAGCTTGTGCAAATGAATTGGCTCCCCTGCTAACAGTGCCAATGTCGAACTTGAGATGGCACGGATCCGTACTCGCAAGCTGAAATCTTCTTAGTTTACATAATGATCAGAGAAGGGCGAGAACTTACAATGTCAAACTCGACCGCAACACAAGGTCCCTGAGACCCAGGAGCAAACGAGGTACATGCATCAATGCACTCGGCGATATCAGAGGCTGCAACAGCATCGAGATCGAAGCCTGGAAGGTCGGTGTCACACAAAATCAGATAGTCATTGTTGACGGTGCCGTCAAATGGTGAGCGATCAAAGCAGTTTGGTGTCCCAGTCGTCGTCGGGGCTGGATATGCTGATATTGTTGTCGAAGAAGTCACCGGAGTGGAGGAAGACTCATGACTTGACGACGAGCTAGCCACACCGCTCGACGAGGGAGATGACGCTGAGGTGCCTGAAGGAGAAGAAGACGAATCTGGAGTAGAGGCAGTGGTTGACACTGAACCGACACTGCCAGACGTTGACGCTGAACTGGCTGTTGAGGACAGTGTCGAAGTTGATATGGTCGGAGTGCTGTCTGAACTTGACCGGGGCACGGACGTGGTCGAAGTGCTGATTGTGCTTGTCTGGGACACGACTGTAGCCGAAGAGGTAGTTGAAGGAGTTGAATTTTCCGTAGGAACAACACCGATTTGTACAACAAGACAGTCTTGTGGCGGTACTGCGTTGAAGACCACGACAAGAGTTGAGCCAGAGATGCAGAAGATTGCCTGTCCACCAACGAATACATCGTTTGTCCAGACAAGGACGTCGTTCTCTATTATGGAGAACAGCGTGAAGATCCGAGGCAACCTCTTCATGAGCGGTGTCTCGGGTGACGCCGCGAATGGCTGCGATGAAACATCTCCCGATGTCGACACATAGTTGCTCCCACTCGTCAATTGGCCAGAGGGTGAGATAGCGAACGAGGCGGCTTGCTCTATGTCATTTGTGACTGTTCCATTGGCCGTGAGATACTCGGGGAAGCCACCCAGGGAGAATGTGAGATAAACTGGTTCACTGGGGGTAATCCTGGATTGAAATCAGTCTTGTCGCGCCATAACCTGGAGCAGAACGTACGTCGGCGTCGCCGATGCGCTGCTCGTGGCGCTCGTGGTGCTTGAGGTGCTTGAGGTGCTTGAGCTCGTGTATGTCGCAGGACAATCGACGATCCCAATCGAGATGGTTGTGCCATAACCAGAGACAGGCAAGAAAAGACGCCACGCCACGGCGATGCCACACAGAACCCTCCAAGTCATCTCGTGCTTCTCCTTCCTTGCCGATCCTATAACTTACCTCAGATACAAGTACTAATGTCGCGCTGAGGACGAAAAGCATTGAAAAGCGTCGTGAAGAATTGTAGAGAGGCCCGGTGGTCCGTGTGAGACGGGCAGCGCGACTGGAATGATCAACACGACCAGCTCGGAATGTCCAAAAAAGGCTTATTCGCGTCATATCATCTCCCTTCCCCTGCAAAAGACATTGCAGATACGCAGAACAACCCACCTAGGTGCCACCTCTTCCCTGGCTCGCTTACTGTGCTGAAGGCTGAACGACATCCTGAATCCAAGACGTTGGATCGAGAGCTGCACTCGTGCAATGAATCAAGGGTGTTCCCAAGTTAGCAACTCACGGAGGTAGATGGGCTCGGCGTCTTGCGGATTCATCTCGCTGGATCTGAAAAAAGGAACATTAATAGAGCCGTGCCTTTCTGTGTTATCGTTGGTGCCGTGGTGGAAATGATGACAAGGCTGTACCATCGATGGAGGGAGACCTTACGTCTAAAGCGGCAGTAGTTATATTCTGTGGTTGGACAAAACTTGCCGCTGCTTTTGGTACCGTGGCCTCACGTGCTACTCCTGCAACATTGACTATGCCGGTATATCAAGGAACCGCGAGAGAAACATGGCAGCAGTAAGAATGGTTTGGTCAGTCCCTCATGAGGATCCAGGCCTCGATCCTGATCGTCAACAACAAAAGGCGGAACTTCACTTCGTCAAAATTCTTCGTCATTTCAGAATTCGTCACGGGCAAGTGGTGGATAAAGTTACATAAAGTCTCGACTATCTGAACATGTCGGATAGCTCGAGTCCTCTTTTGCTCCAGCTAAATACCAGGCTGCTGGTATCTCAAATAAACACAGATTCTTCTTAAAATACTGGTCCAGGGCCTAAACAACGGCTAATGCCGACAGCAACCTAAAAAGTCCCAAACATCGTCTCCCAATAACATAGCGTGGCTGACATATTTTCGGCTCGTCACTCAACCATCATCACATGAGTATAGAATCTCGTCGACCTTGAATGTAATACCATCCCTCAATACAGCCCGACAACCAAACGCCAAGGGCCGGTGTTTTGTATCTTGTTGCCTGCCAACCATACACATAAAGTCCAGCCACCAAAATCCGAGTAGCATCTGCCAATACCATTGTTCGCTAAAGTTCCAATAATAGCAAATGAAGACAAGTCAAGAGAAGGTTCGCAAAACGGAAGCATTCAAGGGGATCCCGGGTTGCCGTCTTCAACCGTCACCCAGATCATTCCTCCAAGTGATTGCGCCGTCCTCGCCTGGCTTGGGCTTTCGGTCTTCGTGAATGGGAGAAATGGTCATCGTCGAAGCATCTTCAGACGCCGACGTAGGCTCAGAAGAGTAGACCCACTTGGCCGCTGCAGAGGTCGGTGGAGAAAGCACGGACGCTGTTCGTGGGTTGCTCCCGTGTGATGCTGGTGAGATGATTCGGCTTAAACTAAGTCTCGGGCGGGATTTCCTGGCAGATCCGGTTCCGCCTGGGGCTCCAGATACCGGATCAGTGCCACTCACAATGCCAGAGCCCTCCAAGATGTCTGCCTCAGCGGCGGGAGAAAAGCCAAAGCTCACAGACTCTGTTCGAGGGGTTGCAAAACCCGACATGCGCGAGGTCATCGTCATGGTCCTCCCAGGATCAGCAGGTGAGTGCAGAATCGGATGACGAGACGTTGAAGAGAAAGTCGAGTCCGCATGTGCGAATACACTGTTCGCTGGCGAATAGATTTCGTCTGCAGAACGCTGCTTGGGACGGTTTGAGGGAAACAACCAGGAATGGAAATTCGACCGGCGCGTCATGGGGTCTTTCTGGCTAGGGGTGATCAGAGACGGAGAGACTGCAGCATCCTTCTCGGATTCCGAGAGAATTGGTCGTTGATACCGGTTGATGCCCCCCACGCCTTGAATGAGACGCCCGGGTCGCCGTCTCACCAATCCACGGATCTCGCCCTCTCCCAAGTCGGGAGTTACAGCATTTGGCCCCACGTCTCTCTTCATAGCTTCAACAAGCGACCAGCTCGACCTGTAGATGCCGCCTGTCGTCTGTTCTCCGGGGATGCCATCCTGAGGACGGTTCAGGTAAGTGTATAGCCATAACGCATAGGTTCCAATTGCCCATAGCGCGAGCAGCAGTGACGTAATGAACAGGAAGAGGAACGAGAAGCCCCAGTTATGCCACCTCGAGTATCGGCAGGACGCATTGTCCAGAACATAGGAGAGCGGATAGGTTTCGTTATCGTACAACCAAAAGGTGAAGTCTGTCAGCTGCGAGACGGCATCCAATGCCCCAGGAGCTGGAGGGGACGACATCGAAAAGGTGGTCAGATATGTTGTTAATGTGGACAGAGCAACGGGCGAGTATGAGGTCGTGATGTTGAGCGTTGGAGCAGCAACCGTGTACTTATGTCCGTCAAGGGTAATGTTGCTTTCGGTGTGGTTGTCCGCGTTGAGGCCATACATGCTCACATACTGGACAACATGCCAGAATGTTGTGCAGTTGGTAGGAACGTATTCCCAATTGACTTTGCCGTGGCTCGAGTTATCACTGTCACGCCGGCGGCTGCGAGTCTTGCCCGAGTATGGACTATCGCTATGCTTGTAGTTGCCGCTATTGCCGTCGTCGTCGTCGTCGTCGTCATCGTCATCGTCAAGAAATCCTTGCTTAACACAGGTATCGCCCACCGTAACATACATTGGCCCAGACATTCCAAGTCGTTCCGCGTCGTTGATCGCAAATTGGACCACCTGAAAGTTTGCCCACTGGATGGACTCGTTGTCATAATCGGTCATAACTGCGCTGATATCGCTGCTATAACCGGACATGGCCGTGATTAGACTTGAAAAGCTGAGGACGAACAGAGAGCTCAGTATGATCCAAACCATGATCAACCTTGCTCGCCAACCTCGGTTCGTCATCAAGTCAACGGCCAACCGCCCTGTCCTGATCAGGCTTGGAGGCACGAAAGCCAAGGATTCGAAAGTGTTGTAAGAGACGGGGGCTTCGCGCATAGCCAAGGCCAAATATTGAGACGAGACCTGGAAAGTAACCACGGCCAGGAAAGCCTGTCCTCCGCGCCCAACGACAATGTCCCACACGATATCGATGAATTTTGCTGTTGAGAACGCCATTTTCCCCCAGGAGACGGTGATATAGAAGAATCCCGAAGGATCCCAAAGGCTAATAGATGGTTTGTCATAGGGTGTGAACTGTCCATTGAAGTTGCAGTGGGTGAAGGCATTTGATACCCAGTAATCGGCCTCAAAGGCATACCATTTTGGAACTTTGGTGACGAGGGCGAAGAAGATGATCGGAAGGGAGAAGGCGACTAATACTAAGATGTGTTTGAGGAAAGAGAGGACTTTTGGACGCCATGGCTGTGAAGTTGCAGCATTGATGTGACAGTGGTTGTAGTTGTTGCTGCTTGACTGCTCTTGCTCGCGCACGACGTTAGATTGACTCTTTTGTACACTCCATCTCCTTAAGTTGCTCCAAGATCTGGGAGCCGTATAGTGCGCTCCATGAGAAATTTCGGGGGCACCATCTAAATGAGGTTGCGTCGGAGTGAACATGCTATCTCGCAGACTGGTGTTCGCGTGGTCCGTCACGGGCCAGCTGTTGCGCCTTCATTCCTGGACATTCAGAGGTGAGAGGAGAAGGGTTCGCGGCCGGGGTTTATAGCAGATAGACAACTTCAGAGGCTGCACATTCGGGGTCGAGTGTAGTGAGTCGACAGGGAACAAGGCTGGAAGTGGTTTTTATGCGGAGGCGAAGGAAAATAAGACGTATCAGATCAGTGGAAGACCACGGAGACTCTTAAACCCCAAGCGCTGTTCAATAATCACTCCGAGCAATCATATGCAGGGGCTTGCCGGGGTTGAAAATCCGGTGCTGGAAGACGCGGAGGGGGGTGGGAAGAGTTCCTGTACAGAAATTGAGTGACAGAGTACGAACAGTATCGAGGCAAAGTGAAAAGAAATCTGTAAGCCGGGGTGGGAGCATACGAAGCTCCAACCAGAAGAGGCAGTTCGACAGCAGCCGAAGTGAGAGAGTCTCCTAAGACGGTTAGAAATGTTTATCACCAGGAAACATCATTTGCCAGCAAAGAAGCTGGTCTTGCCTGACTGCATCGCAATCCGGGCATTGGCCGGTGAGATATTTTTGGCCCCCTCGTGGTTGTGGTAGGCCAAATGCTTCCCGAGCCCTATGGCCCGCATCATCCACGGACATGGAGGTCGAATAATGAGTCTGGATTGCCCTGGATCGTGGTGATCCAAGTCCGAAGGGTTCTGGACCTGTAACATGATTGAGTATCAAGGCCGTTGGAGACGGAGGGGAAACTGCGGTGCGCGATATAGAAAAGACATGGAGAGGAGCGTGAGAGGAGCGCAGGGTGGATGATTGTGTTTGTTGCTTGTCGCAACATCCAACCCTGTAATGGGCGAATACGGCATCGGCGTTTATGTTTGACCGGCGCCGTGGTTATGTCTCCCTCCTCTACAGAGTCAATATCAAATTCAATCAGCGTTGAACACCTGTTGAGCATACGAAGACATTCACACTTCGAGCTTGATCAGGCAGCCAACATCCCACGACACGTAGCAAGCAAGTATCATGCTATCCTGGTGCACTCGACCATCTACCGGGTACTCTGGCCTGTTTGCCATGCAAGTCATGCTGATGCTGATGCTGGTTCTCATGCTGATGCTCGAGTTCATGCCCAGATTCCTTTGCACTTCCAGACGCCGCGCTATGGGGGTCGTCGAAACATACAATCGCAAATCAAACTAAATCACATGCTGAAGTCAGATCATAATGTCTTTTCCCATGGACACCACACCAGATGCGGGTCTTCAGCCCGTCTCTGGCTGTGTGTCTTCCTCAGCTTCGGCTTCTTCTTCCAGTTCTCGTTCCAGCTCGCGTGCTAGTTCATCGTCGGAATCTTCTTCTTCCTCTTCTTCGCGTTGCTGTGCTTCTTCGACCTCTCGTTGTTCCCGACTGATTTGTTCCGCAGAGGTAACTTCTGGGTCGACTTCGCTATCGACATTAGCGACCCTCCTAAGAGCGCTCCCCATCCCGTTCTTCTTGGCTGGTGATGATGCGTCCATCTCGCTAGCCGACGGTTCGATAGCTCCATCTTCACCTCTTCTTCTCTTGGCTCCGCGTCGCTCCCGGAAGCTCAAGGCGGAGCTGACTGAATCCGTATCACTCTCGCTCTCGGCGTCGCTACCCATGAACTCTTTCAGCTCTGCCTCGATGTCCGCCCACTCGTCTTGATTGATGGTGATCGGACTGCCATCATCAACAAAGTCCTCGAATGTTTCAGCAGAAGCGTTCTCATCTTTAATGGTATCCAACTTCAGCCTCTTACGTGCGGGTTGGTCATCTTCGGTATCCAATCCAGTCGTCTCGCCTTCAGATGAACTGAGAAGGAGGTCGTTGGGAGGAGCGCCTGACTTTTCGAAGTTATCGCCGAGCTCACTGGACGTCTCCTGCTTCTGCCTCCCAACGCCTTCGAGTAGGTATGGTCTCTCGTCCAACCTGCGCCATCGTTGCATGGATTCAATCAGCCAAGCCGTACTGACGACCTTGATTCCGCGTTTCACCGCTTGTTTGACCTTTGCAGTACCAGGCCGCGCCGCAATGACATGGGTGACGTCTCTAGCGACCTTGTCCGTGATAGTCGCGCCAAAGGTCTTGGCCCAAGTACTGATATCGGCATTTTGAATGTCGGTGCCCAATGGTAACACGCCACTAAACACAATCCTGACTCCCGACAAAACCCTCAGCTTCATGGCGGGCATGACCCTCTTGATATCAGGCACAAACATCAAATCCACAGACTGTCTGTCGCCCTCTTCTTGAGAAGGCAATGGCGCCTTGCGTTTGCCGGTCAATTCAGCAACCCGACCGCCCTTGCCGCCCATCCGCTTTCGGTCGTACTCGGCGAAGAACGCGGTATGCACAGCCGTCAGCGTCGCTTCGAGGTGAATCAGCTCTTCATCATCGTTCTTCAAGATGCTGTGGCGTGCTTTGTGTTTTGCTGAAACCGCAGAGTTTGAATCAGAGGAATCAGAAGAGTCGCTCGAGTCAGATTCCGTGGATTGTGACGCGACCACCTCGCCATTATTAGCAGCCGCTTCAGCTTCATCTTTCTCGTCTTGCTGGAGTTGCATCTTGAGAAGAGGTTTGCCTTCTAATTGTAGCGCAATAATTTCCTCTTGGCCTTTCGTCTGCAGCTCTCGTACTGCTGGGTCGTCCCCGCCACTCATGGCCATGAGTTGCTCGAGGGCTGAGGTGCCATTTTGTATGGTCGATGTCCCGTCCTCGGCAAGGCCATTAGATTCCTGTTCACCATTCTCCCCATTTTCAATGCTTTTTTCTATAGGCTCGCTGGGCTCCGGGGTTGGTGTGGTTTGGATTTCCTGTTTTTTGGGTAAGAAACTTGAGTTGATGTCTCCGATGCCAACAAAAAAATCAAAGGGAGTGACACGAATCAAGTTGGCACTCCATTTCCAAACATCACCGCGGTCGTCAATGATGACCACCATTTTGGTATCCACGGGGAACAGTCTCTCCAAGTTCTTGGCGATCATACTTCCACTTTCATCGCGGCTGAGGATGCGATCGCCAAAATACTTGCGATCCGGATCGACGATATTGGCAATCTGCTGGGCATACTGGCGTGTTCCCATGGTGTAGATGTGGAGTTCGTAGAGTTGTGAGATATGATCCAGGAATTCCGCCAGCCCAGGTCGCAGCTTAATGTAATACCAACAACCTCTCATACCTGGACCATCGTCGATCAATTGAAAAGCGCGGACGTCTTTAACGGCTTCGTAATTTGGATTGTCCTTGTCTTTTTGCCATTCCGCTATCGTGGGGTCTACGGCGGCATGAATGATTGTTTGGTCGAGGTCGACCACCAAGGAGAGTTTGCGCGATGAAAGTAGACGACGCTTTGCTTCTTCGTCTATCCGGCTTGCTTCTTCCTTACTGATGGTGAGATGAGGCGTATCATGAGCCATGCGAATAGGAGCGCGGTCTGCATCGGTGGTTTCGCTTCCTGCTTGTACACTTGGCCATCATTAGCACATTCGTGTTTAGGCTCAACGACGGCGGGGGACTTACGTTGTCATATCTTTTCCACAGTTGGTGCACATACCAAGGAACTGCACTGTGTGCGGGCATTCCTCTTCGACTTCGCATATGTCAACACTGCGTACCAGTAAGCAATCGGACCAAGTATGTCTTCCGGGCGCACTCACGGATGAGTTAAAACGTCCCCTTCCCACACCCTCCATGCCGTGATTGTACCTTCGAGACTGCTAGGGAAGTGGGTCACAAACTTCCGGTTCACCTCTTTTTCTTCCTCATCATAACGGCTGCCTTCTTTTACTTTGGTGGTGTAGGAATAGAGAAATAGGTCATCGTTGAGGGCGACCGTCTCGCCTACCCGCTTCTCGACTTTTGTGATTGTGAGGGGGTAGTGAAGATTCTTTGGTAGTCGTAATAGCATCCCGAGCGCGATACAATCGATTGTGACATTGATCGAAGCATGTAGATGACTTTGTTGTCAAGATCGAGAGGCGAACAAGCAAGGCCTGTGGGAACCTTCTTTGAAAACCGCAGCGACCGTGGGAGTGGTTCGAAGTGAAGAGGGTATTGCTTTGACGATTACGTAGGATGTAGGCTGGTGACAATGGTCGGATGACAGTGAATATATGAGTATAGGCGCCCTTGCAGTGACAAAGGGTAAAATATGCAGAGGTGTAGGCACAGACTCTGTTGATTGCGTTGTGGGAACCTGTGCGCAGGTGAATACCTGAAGGTGCCAATGCGAAGAAGCACACACAGGATGTGGTGCAAGTGGTCCAATAACGGCAAAGTCTCGATCTTCGCGCGAATTGGAGGTTTGGAGATGGAGAAATGAGAATGGGGGGGCTGTATCTAAGCAGTTTCTGGTGCTGGATGTTGCGAGGGATCAATGGATGGGTTCGACAAGCTCCAACAACAGCTCGATGGCGGCTTCGTTTACTGTAACCAACGGGCAGGGAATTCCACTGTCCGGGCCGGAAAGCTGTCTTTTATAACACGCACTCCACGCTAGCTACTGCCAATCAGCCCTCAGCAATGCAAGAAGCCGCTCGGCTTGAGCCCCGCTATATGCCGTCAGGGGACAAAGCCCAGAAAAGATGATCATCCGATGGTCACGAGCCCCCCACTCTCCAAGCTCCCGAGTACATCACCAGATGTTAAAGGTTCACGGGTCTTGAGAAATCCATTGACTACTTGTGCTTGTGCTTGTGCTTTGTATGGGTTGGATATATGAGACCTGTTTTGATAAAAGCGCCACTACCTGCAAGTTACAGGCATGGCTGGACGGCTGGTGCTTGATGTACACAATTAACTTGTTCGGTGTGAGAAGACAAAACCGTGCATCCCCATCCCACTGTCGCGTAGATACCAGGGGTATTTCTCTAGTCCACTTCCCTCATAGTTCCAGCGGCATTTTGGCATACTTTCCCGTTCTCAAAAGAAGACCTTTACTTGCTTTGGGCCAAAGCAACTGCATCGTTGCCCAAGTCATACACGCTGTACCATCTCCTCAAGAAGCTGTGAAAGAAGATCAGCAGAAACTCTTGATGACTGGAAGGAATTCTCAGTGGAACATGAACATACCTGTCACCAAGAATAGCAAGAGGACCGGTGGGGGCTGGGAAGTCCATGCCCATGAAGCTACTGATGCAAGAACCCTGGACCTCGAGGATATAGTCATGGGCTGTGATGGAAAAGTTGTAACCGCTAAGGGTAAAGGTGATGTCGGGAAGCGAGTCACGCTTGTCGCATTCGACGGTGTATTGACCATTGAAGCCCTTCTTAGCACCGATCTCCTTGTTGAGCAACTCTGCGAGAGTACTTGGGAGAGCGATCAGCGAAGTGCCGGTATCAAGAATGACACCGGTGTTGTCAAGGTCTGCCGAATCCTTGCCCAGAGTGATCGAGTCAAGATTGACCTCCCAGTAGGCCTTCCGTCGGAGTGGGATCTTGATCATCTTGCCGGTGTAATGGTTGCTGTCGATGCCGCCGAAAGTGGCCTCAGACTCGGTGCCATCCTCAGTGCTGCCTAGGTAGAATGCAAAGACGGGTTCATCGAGGAGGTCTTGATCGACCATATTGTAGAATGGGGGTGGAATGTGGTTGACCGAGATGGTGTCGTATCCCAGACCCAAGATACCATCGAATCGGCCAAACGCAAAGGCCAGACCAGGTTCGCTGGTCACCTCTCCGAACAATTGATCCTTGATCTTGAGATCACCAATACGCAGGATGTCCTGGGAAATGAAGCCAGCCACTTCTCCGGAACCATAACGAATTGCAAAATCAGATCCATTCTTCTTGTAGGTGGAGGAGGCTGTGGCATCGTATTTCTGATGGAGATAGCAGGCGATCGAACCACACTGGGTGCTGGGGACCCAGAGGTTCGAGCTCCCAGTGTCAAGGACGACCTTGAATTCCTGAGGTGGTGTACCAATAGCGACGGTACTGAAGTCTAGAGAGCATTAGACAGTTGTAAATGCAGCAATAACAGCGTCCCTTACATTGCGCATTCAGGAAGTTCTCAATTGGAACATCATGGGGGCCATTAGGATGGATTGAGGTGTCGCTGAAGATGTCCTCGCTGGCGCCACCAATCGGCTTCTGGGTGTATTTGTGGCGAAGCGCACGCATATGGTCGCCAATATTGGCAGCGCTCTGTAATGAACGTTAGAGACAATAGGCGACAAGAGAGCTCAGGATCTACTCACCAACTGCTCCGACAATGGCACCTTCTGAAGCTTCATACGATGCATGCCCGCCTCGGCGGCACCGAGCAGCGCAGCTGCTGCGATGACAAGACTGTTCTTCATCGTCACGACTACCAATTGCTAATAAAGGAAAGGAAGGAAGGAAGACAATGGATGGATGTTGGGTGCAACGATGATGAGGAAGAGAGTAGGAAAGCAAGTGGTTCGGTTGGGATGGGGATGGCTGGTCCCGTGAGTCGCAAGCTGTCAGACTCCAAGAGTCCCTGTGGTGCCTGTGAATGGGCCATGATGACGCTCACTGCGCCCCCCATTTCACCAGGCACCAGGGAAACTTGCGACCCCAGCTAAAACATGCTCCACTCATTGTTGCTCCGCGACAGCCGTCCAGTCACATGGGTAGGTAGGTGCAAACACGGCAAACAACCCAAAACTGTACGAGGTACGGAGCGAGGACTCTTGTAAGAAACGCCTCGGTTTGCCTATTATTGACAGATATGTATACTCGCTGGCCCTGACTTCGCCCTGGACGTCAGGCCTCACTCTCATCATCGGTGCTCGAGTCGCTCTGGCTACTGCCATCTTCATCGCTGCCACTGCTGGAAGTCTCATCTTCATGCTCAACCCCATTTAACATGCTGGTCGTCTTCTCCCTCTTTCCCTCACTGACAATATCGCTGTCGCTGTCGCTGTCGCTATCACTAGAGCTCGAGCCAGAACTCGAGTCAGATTCGGAGTCGGAGCTAGAGCTATCGTAGTCGACAACCATGGTCCTGTTCTTCCTCTTCTTCACCTTTTGTTCAGTCTTGTTGGTGAAGACTAAGGTGTCAGTGTCAAGGCCGAGCGCCCAGAGCAACATCATTGGACGTGGCTGGTTCTGAATCCAGGGTTCGTATGTCGGATCTGTGGCGACATCCCCGGTAGCAGCAGCAATCGACGACGCCGAGCTTGCCAAATCGTCCTTGAACCGGTGAAGATACCCTGCATCCACTTCTTCATCTGCAATGCCGCCTTTCTTATCGTTACCCCTTCGAGTAGCTTTCCCCTTCTCCAATAACGACATACACTGTGCTTTCAATCTGTCGCGAGCTCCGGCACCCTGTAATCCATAGATATATCTCGCGAGAGCAAGATTGTATTCTCGGGGAATATCATCTTCCGAGAAGATGTGTTTCAGTATCCACGTCTCTCGGTTCTTGTTGAACTTCCATTTCGATCTTGCCGTGTGATATTGATTGAGGTATTCCAGCGCAGTATTGGACTTAGGTTCAAGTGGCTGAACAGTTTTTGATGAAGCTTTTTTCGACTTCTTCGCCTTTACTGAAGTTTTTTGTGCCTTGGAGTCATCCGGGAGAGGTGATTGGGTTCTTATCGATGAAGAAGCATTGGCGTCGGCAGAAAATGATACCCTTTTCTTTACTTTCCTATCTGGTTGCTCCTCTCTGGCTTTGACAGACTCAGACTGTGGTGGATCCGAATTGTCGGCTGTCGACTCGACGGCGTCTTTAGATTTTGAAATAGTCTTTTGCTTTTTCCTCGGAGGTTCTGATGAAGACCTTTCATCACTCTTCAATGAGCGCTGACCATCTTGGTGAGCTGGTGGAACGACACCGTGGCTAGTCGGGGCACCCGAATCCTCATGTGCATATTTCAGTTTCAGTCCGAGTCTCTTCCAAGCTGGAATTCCAGGCCGAGACATGATACTTCGTTCGTTGAGGAGAGGCAGTCAGAGCCTGTCCGAAGTTTATTCAGCCGAAATGTCCATCAGTGCCCTGATTCAGGCCATTTAGAGCGGCCGTCGACTTGCCCGTGGAAGCTGAAGGATCATATTGGAGACCCAATAAATGAATTTTATTGCGTGGAAGACTTTCGATCTGTGCCACAAGTGGCGGTGCAAAGCTTTTTGTGGGGGCGATTGTGGTGGCTAGTGAAAGGTCAGCTCGTAGTAGGCACCGCGACACTTGCGTGTTTGGCAACTCCTCTGGACAAGGCCTCAAGTTGCGAACATCATCTGTGGTCAAGAGTTCAACATAAGTCCTCACCACCTCGCTCCTTTCAATCGAGCTCAATTTCTTGGTCGACACTTTCAGCTGTGTTTTACTACATCATTGGTGAATCGTACCTCGGTCAAAGGAGGTCAAGATGTCAGGTCTGTACACATTTGACGTGGTTCTTGTAGCTGCGTCGGACACCCCGAGCTGACACTCTTGTCGACAGGCTCCGCGGGTTATGATCGACATATCACCATCTTCTCGGATCAAGGGCGATTATATCAAGTCGGTACGTTCCTGCACTGATCTGGACTTTTGAGATCCGAATTGCGACGGATCTTCCCTGCAAGAAATGGACAAACTCCCGACATCCAATTCCCATTCGCACTAAATGAAACCAATTTCAATCATACTTACATCTACACTCAGAATATGCATTCAAGGCAATTACTGCAGCCAATATCACATCAGTAGGAGTCAGGGGGAAGACGTGCGCCGTTGTGCTGTCACAAAAGAAGGTCCCGGTACGGAACAATCTTGCCAAATTGCGAGTCTCAGTCTATTCTAGCTGCTTACTGCGAGCGCAGGACAAATTGATTGATCCCTCTTCGGTCTCCCATGTCTTCAAGATCTCCCCCTCAGTCGGATGCGTCATGACCGGCTCAATAGCCGATGCCCGAGCCTCAGTCGATCGAGCACGGGGTGAAGCTGCAGAATTCAGATACAGAAATGGATATGAAATGCCGTGTGATGTGCTGGCAAAACGATTGGCAAACATCAACCAAGTCTATACTCAACGGGTGCGTTGCAATACACATGGAACGGCGGTTCAACGGGCCCTGCTGATTGTTTATTACAGGCATACATGCGACCATTGGGCGTAGCGACGACATTAGTCTCGGTCGACGATGAATATGGCCCCCAACTGTACAAATGTGACCCAGCAGGCTATTATGTCGGGTACAAAGCCACGGCGTCTGGACCCAAGCAACAGGAGGCCCTCAACCATCTCGAGAAGAAGCTGAAGAACAAGGACTGTGCTCCGGGTAGCTGGGAAGAAGTGGTTGAGCTAGGCATCAGCACGCTCAGCACCGTGTTGAGCGTTGACTTCAAGAAGGGCGAATTAGAGATTGGCATCGTCGGTGGGCCGAAGGCTGACGGGACCGAGGGCACGGATAATGAGTTCAGGACGTTAACAGAAGACGAAGTCGAGGAACGTCTCCAGGCTATTGCGGAGCGAGACTGAGCAAGTCCCTTTTCTCTACCGAACCAGAGGGCAGAGTATAGGTCAAGCTTAGGGACGGGGAAATGACGACGATGTCGGCAACCACGCTGGACAGGGATCAGATGGGTTCAGCTTGTCCGCACAAAAAATTAGACTATGGAGAGAATCCGGGGACTATTGGTCGGATCAGGTTCAGCGGTCTCTAGAGGCTGAGATGAGATGATGCGTGTGGCACGTCATGTTGGCGTAGGGGACTTGTCGAGTCCTTTACTCCCAAAGAAGGGTCAACGGGGGCATACTCGTGGAAGGGATCCACCAAGATTCGGCTCTGGTTGACTGCCACTAGAGTGTCAGGCGGGTTTTCAGGTCTCTAGGTCAGCGAACTTTGTCCCAGCCTCATAGCCGCGTCTATGCGTTGGACTTGAGATGGCAATTAACACAGCCCGTCTCAGAGAGTTGTGGCGTTTGTGTGGCTCTTAGGTGAGGCTGGAATAGAGGTGAGGAAATAATGGAAAAACCGTTAATCCAGGGAGCTGTGCCTTTGGCGTGGTTGACGTGTGTCGTGCATCGCTGTCTCGTGTTACCTGTTACCGGGATGATGGGTGACGGGGGTTGGGCGCAGGAAGGCCAGGTAACCGAATCAATCACCATAGAGTATCTCGTAGTGCCATTTCTCCCATTGTCTAGTGTGGGTGCCACTGTTAGAATCTTCTGCCCATTGCGCCAGAGAACGGTGCGCGAAAAAGGAACCCCTGTATGTGTTTCCAGAAGCGAGGTGTTGGCGGATGGATGAAAATAGAGAAGTGGACCAGTAGATGGACGCAGATGGAGGTAGAAGAGTTTTCAGCTTGCAGCATGCAGCAACCGTTTGGCGACGCCATGTGCGTGCCTTAGGCGTGTTCCTGACCGTAAGAGGGCAGCCTCTTTTCTCCCAGCACCGGCAAAGTGCAATGGGTGAGTGACCATGGGACGCCATCTCTGCTCAGCTGCCTGGATTGGGCCATGGTGGGGAAGCTTAACCGTTGACCTGAATGTCCAGGTTGAGTTTGGCGTGTCACCTAAAATCCAATCCCTAGGGGAGAAGTCCCCCTAGAGACTAGCCCAGCCAAAGCCCTGTAGCATGATTGGTTGTGGCCGGGGGGATGCAAACTCGCCTGTTTGCTAACCCGTCTACTCAATACCTACAACGATCAAGGGACGAGTACCGGTCCCTGCGCCCTCCTCTCTTCTCCCTCCCCCTCTCACTCCACCTACTCCCTCACACAAACATTTTTGTCGAAGTGGAGACTGCGATTCCCCATTACCTACTCTAACTTATCCTGCACATGGTCATTTTCCACCTCGTCTGCGATTTCCATGTTGCTTGAAACCCAGGTCTCCATCCGGCCCCAGTCATCATCAATGATCCAGAACTCACTCGACCCCCCGTGGCTTGCAAGCCGCCTGCTGATCAATACACGACACAAGTCACAGTCTACAGCAGAGCCTCGAATGATCCACCTCCAGAGCTGCATCATTCCGACATGCCCTGCGACTGAGGCAGTGTCCAATAGTCATTATGCATCGGTCCAAGCGTTGTAGTCACCGTTTACAGCCGGGTCGACCGTTTTGGTGCTTGTCTGTATTCTCCTCTACCTCATTGCACCTCCCCCAGTCTAGTGCTGTGAAACTTGCCTCCAGCTTCATCGTCGCTAACATCCTCTTCTGTTTGACTTCTCATACAGCTGGGAGACCTGCTCCATTTTCCCATGACGCTACGGCCCGGTCCCCTATCTTGATGACCGCTTCTATCCTCCTGACTGGTTGACTGTGGATGAAGCCACAAGATTGAGTCCTCCTCGACGGCCGTCTCTATCCTTTCGTGGCAGTGTCCTTCTCCCTCTTACTCCCGAGCTGTAGATGACATCTGTGAACAACCGTTGGATTTAAGAAGAATGCTTTCCTCGCCGCGACCAAAGTTGCTCTCTTCTCCTCAGGCTTCATCCATCCGACAACTTGACCAGAAGGCAGAGCCAACGGTCCGAGACCTCACTCTCCTTCCCGTGAAGATTCCTGACTTGACTGCGAAGCACCACAACAGTCCCGAAGCGAAGAGAATAGCTCTTGATCCTGCACCCACCATTAAGCCAGAACCTATCAACCATCCAACTTCACTTGACTTGGCCAACTCACCTTTCGCCATGTCTGATGGACGTACGTCTGACTGTAACTACTCGCCTCACACATGCGAGAAGCGCCCCGACGCAGACTCTTCCGGCTAACTGATACTACAGTGAATGAAGCTCGCGCAATGCGTGTCATGGAGATCATGAATGATTTCCGAACGTTGCAAATCCACATCAACTCGCTCATCACGCGCAGCGAGGCCAATCCACCAGATCAAGAATCATACTACCTCGACGGCTATGTGGTCCTCAGGCAGTGTGCCGCCGAGTCGCAAGCGGTTCTAGCTGGCCACTTTAACCCGGGCAACCTTGGGCTTCAGGCTGGCAACATCCCGGAGACTGAAGTACAGAAGGCCTCTCTACAGCGGTGCGATAGGAATCTACATGGCGAGAGGGAGGAAGCATGCTAATAAATGGGCCAGAATCATTCTCGATGCGTCTACAAGAAGGTTCCAGGCTCACAAGATCTATCTACGAGGGTCTGCCGCGACGCGATGGGTACAGCTGCGCACCCAATTGCTGCGTGGTGAAAAACCAGGTTCCAAACACGCCAACGGGCTGCGAACAATTGACCAAAGACTTCGCCAGGTACGTACTGTTGTATCTAAAAAGTTCCATGCGATCGGCGCATTTCCCCACACCTTATCACTCGTTGTTCCCCTTGGCTTCGCTAGTGAAGCCATGTGGTTTGAAGGCACCAGAGGAGGAAATGATCAGCAACACACGATGCACATACGGGGGGGCCGCAAATATTCCCACAGGAGAAAGACGTGAAAAAAAGGGGGCAAAGCTGATTTCTCTTTGATTTAGGAACTCAGCGAAATCACGGATGACCATGTTTACCGAGACCTTCGCAACGCTGACCAACGCAAGGGCTACTGGCTTGACGAAGACCCGGTGCTGGAACGCATGCTGGGATGGATTCGGATGCAGAGGTGAACGGGGGTCAAGTTAATTGCTAGCCTCTGGTTTTCTCGGGTTATCCAGATGTCTTGACCGGCCTGCGTTTCTGTTTCCAACCTGAGTCTTCCATGCAACCTAATCCTCTTGCCTAATCCTTGGACCATTGTCGATCAATGGCATTCTACTTTCCGAACGCTGGACGTGATCTCACCGGACAGTGCAGGCACTACAGTCTGCGTCATTACATAGGGGGCACCAGGGGGGGTGTGGGAAAGAATTGGCGGCGGCTGGACTGCCGAGTGGGCAAGCCGGGATCAGTGAGTCTGGCACTCGCAGGGTGGCTGTGGCCCAGACTCAAAAAGCAAGATTAATATTTTTCATTATTTGGGGGACTTGTTGGCCTCTGGGATTGAGGGCGAGCCATCTAGGCGGCCACATGGGCCTTTGTCTACCATTGCACTCTTTTGGATTTTACGATGGCTGCATGGTGCTACGGACAGAAATGGGAATGACAAGACAAAATGACTCCAAGGAAAAGGAGATAGGGACTGGGATATAGAGAGGACTTACAGAACACAAGAGGAACCCAAGCAACAAACTGGGCTCGGGAACATGGTGGAGTGATTGTGACTAGAAGTTCCCAATGGAATCTTTCGTGTCCAACTCGTTAAACGACCCATGTTGCTTTTGGTTTCAAGTTCAAGTTCCCATGCTCTTTGAGTCCTCCTGCATATCTGATTCCTTGTTCGCGGAGCTTCGCGGGGAAACTATCCTTGTAACTTTGACCTACATAAGGCTCGGTGAGGCCGATCCCTACTCGAATTGTCGTTGGTTAGTAGCTAAAGTGCTACAGTAGTGACTACGGAGTATGCAGGCGTGGTAAATTTTTTCTGTAGGGACCTGCCAGATATTTACTAGTTGCTTGTAGGATTCTTCGAGGATGATTACCTGTGCCCCGTTCACCTCGTCCAAATGTTCTCTGTATCACCTGTATCACCATGAGTAGCTCACTGTCCTGCAGAATTTGACGGGAGGGCCGGAGTACGGCACCAGCGGCTTTCCAATTCCTCCGAAGCTCTACATAGCTATTAAGGACATGACGATAGTGACCTAGGGACTACGAAGTCACTTTTTCGTCTGGGCTATGAATGTTCGTACAGGCTGTGAATGATGCCTATGTTTATCCAGGTAGGTAGATAGGTGGGTGGGTGGAATGTAGGCTTGCCAGTCCCTAGGAGCAGGTGACTTTTGGCAGTGTTTCGTCGACCTGGGTGTAAACAAGTCGTTAGGTAGGGAGGGTTAGCGGGTGATTTGGGCCTGCCTTAGTTGGCACCAGGTATTGACTCGGAGGCAGACAATACCTACAAGTCGAGGCGAGGGTGCCCAATTCGGCCCAGTGGCTCCAAGGGTCAGAGGCACCACCGCCTAAACCAGCAACTATTCCAACCACCTAGGTAAAGCGCGTGCCTTTTTCCGGCAACCCGGCCACCAACTGAATGGCCGTTGCTGCTCGTTTCACGCCTCGCTTTACCTCGCTTGTCCCAAGCTCCAAGCTCCAAGCTCCCAATTCCAGTACCTTTCTACCTTCATAGTTAGCTTCCAATGCCAAACGGTCTTTTTGGCCCCCGACACCGCTGCCGAGTTTTCCATGACGGGGTCCTTGTCCTCGTGGCATGGGCACTTTCGGGGGCACCACACCCCAAGGGGAATAATCTCAACGTTTCCCGCCACCACCATCTCGCGCTTCCCGCTTCCCATTTCGGTTCACCACCAACTCGCTTCGATCAATTTTTGCGCTATTGCACCTGCATTTATCTCGCACCTTCGGAGGACAGGAGAATGAGGGCGCTAGGTATCCACCACCCGTCCACACGACTGCCCTCGCCCGTCGTCACCACCGTCACAGTCCTCTGATTCAGCTCTACAAGGTTCATTGAAGTGAGCAGCCCAACCAAGATACCCGAGGAGCACTGGGAACAATGGCACCCAAATGGGCACCCCACCGCCGTCATACCGCGTGGCTGTACGAGCAGAAGTCCCGTGGTGAATATGGCGTGCGGACGTTGGGGGAGATACTCGTGCAGACGCACCTCGTATTCCCATTCCTCCCATTTGCGCAATACCACGAGGACCCAAGACACGCACTGCGAGCTCGGTATCTGCATCGTGGACAGCGAGGGACGAATCTAGAGTATAGCAGGCATGGCTGTTATCATGGCTGCTATTTCCCTACCCTTCAAAAACGGACCGCAATCACCGACTATCTACTTCTGACCGAGTAGATCGATGACCATACCGTGTAGAATTCCTGCGACGCTCCCGGACGCTCGGAATTGGATCTTCGACTGTGGTCGTCACCCACACTTGCTCTAGCACGCCTAGGCAGCGAATCTTCTTCCCTCACCGGCTCACCACGTTACCGTTGTGGATTGAGAACATCCGAGGTATAGGGTCCAATATGCAAATTGATCTTGAGCGAAGCCACCTCCCTTCCTCCAAACCCGATCAATCCAGCCAAGACGCCCTCGCTAGTTCAAGTACCACATGATCTCGCTACTGGTACAAACATCACAGGACCAAGGGTTTTCTTGGAACGAGGCTGAGTGAATCCACCTACTTGATGCGCTTGTATACAAGAGATGGTGGACCGCACATAATATTGACGACATACAACTTCAAGGTAGTGTTCTGTGAGGTCTGGAAGCAGCCACTCAACACTGCCCGACACATTCGTGTCTCTGTCAGGTCTACTCGGTACTGCTGTCCTCAGAAGCGGCTATCAACGGGGCGAGCCTCTATCCAACCCTTCATACCACCTTTGCCTTTCCCCCCTTTATCCTGCTCTCCACCACATCTAATCCAGTAAGCTTCTTCGACAAGCTATCCAGCCATCCCACGGGCAATACTGTTGCGTTGAGCCATGCGAACGTTGCTCCCTCTCCTCTCCAGATTTGGTGTGGGGCTCCTTTCCCGCCGCGCTTGGATAAATCCCTCACCACTTTGTCGGCCCAGTCGTCTGCTTTCATGAGACTTGCTGCTGGGCCGTGGCGGAGAAACTTGTCCACGGCGGCCTTGCCAGGCGCGTAGGGACTAGTCTCCGGTAAGTTGGAACTCATTTCGCTATTGGCGTTGTCGAAGAAATTCGACTTCACGCCCCCGGTGCGCAAATCAACGACCTTGATACTAAATGGTTGCAGTTCAAGCCGCAATATCTCGCTGAAGTTGGAGAGCGCAGCTTTGGAAGCCGAGTATGGTCCCGTGAACGGCAGGGCTAGAACCGAGACACAGGAGCTATTGTTGACAATCATCTTGACCTCCGCCGTCGAATTGCGAAGCAGGGGGAAAAACAGCTGTATCATCCGGATCGCGCCCAACACGTTGATATCGAACTGTTTTTGGATATCGGCGATCGAAACGTCAAGGACGGGCATATTCAATCCGGCCCCGGCGTTGTTGATCAATATGTCCAGTGAACCATCAGTCAGGGATGACACTTTTTCCACACAGGATTTGATGGACTCTTCGGAGAGGACATCTAACGGCAGGGTTTCGATGCCAACGGCAGCCAAGGACGACATTTTCGAGGGAGTGCGTGCGGTTGCAAATACGCGGTCGCCACGTTTGTGGAAGGCCAGGGCGAGAGCGGCACCGAGGCCGCCATCCGAGCATCCTGTGATGAGGACTGTGCGTTTCCTCGGAGCCATGATGTGCTTGGTTTCAGGTGTCGATATTGGATCTTCTAACAAAGCTGGACAAAGAGCCCTGGATTCGGCGTCAATGTACGACTACGACGCCTATTCGAGGCAGGAAGCAGGATGGACAACCAGCCATGGTTTTCGTCTTATATCTATCCTATTGGTAAATAGCACGACTTGTGCTTTTTCGCAAAGAACACGGACGAGGACAGCCTGATTCCTAATCTACCTCGACCCTAGGTATCATGGATGGAGTCACTAGGGGAAGGTCAGTAAGATTGCTTCATACCACTCTACAGGTTATCGCCTATCTCGCACATTGTGTATCTAAGACAGATTTGTGATTCCATAATACTGGCAAAGGGATGTGACCCCACGACGGGTGGCCTGAGTGGCTGGCCCCTTGATATACCATTTGACTCTCACTCACACTACTATTTGGACCCATGAGACGTGGATAAATGATGAGGCTGCCGCGTCCCTGTGTCAGATTATTCAACTCGTAATATAACAATAAAAGAGGAAGAGTGTCTAGCCGTCAGAGTTGTATGTATGTGTAAGTCAGCCTCACCGTACTGTGGCCTTTGACCAGCCTTTTGCCGTCATCAGATAATCATCCGGGGATGGGGACCCCAATCCACCTGCTTGCCTGGAACAAACAGCCACGGTAAAGACTGAAGCCTCATTGCCGCAGGAAGAACCAGAACCGAAAATCTCATTGTCATTCTCCATCCTTTACATATGAACCACGGTAAAGACTCCGCAACTTTCTCCAACACCGATCATCACCATCAACCGATTAGCCGGCAGTTCGGCAGATTGACCAACGCGCGTTGAAGATGGGCTTTTATTTGACAAGATTCGCCTGTTATCACTATCGTCGAGTTCTATCCTTGAGAGTTCCTTGACTTGTCTGTCACAGGGATCTTATATACGAGGAAACAACATGGGATCTGTTGGCGAAACCACCACCACCCCCCTCCCTTCAGCACCGGTCCCGGGCAAGCAAGATGGAAGCCATGTCGGTTCAGCCCCTCGGGCCGCGGATGTTGCCAATGGACACTCCCGTACTCAAGACTCAATCACGATACCGATGCATAATGTGCCGGCCTTTACGCCCAGCAAGAAGCTCCGTGTCGTGACCATCGGGGCGGGCTACTCGGGGATGATCTTTGCCCACAAGCTCCAATACACCTACGCCAAAGAGTTTGACACACTCGTCGAACACACCATCTTCGAGAGCAAGTCCAACGCCGGCGGCACCTGGATCGCAAACAGTTACCCTGGCGTGCAATGCGACGTGCCGAGCCACATCTACGTCTTCCCCTTCGCCCCGAACCCCGAGTGGTCGCATTTCTACTCGACGGGGCCCGAGATCAAGGAGTATTTCCAGAAGACTGTCGACGAGTGGAAGCTGGATCGGGACGTCCAGTTCAACACCACCGTCGAACATGCCCAGTGGGACGAGGACAAAGCTCAGTGGAAGCTCGAGGTGCGGCACAAGGACACTGGCCATCGGACAGAATGGGCCGACGTCCTGATCTCCGCCAGGGGCATCCTGAGTCACTGGAAGTGGCCCGACATCCCCGGACTGCACAGCTTCAAGGGTCTCAAGGTCCACAGCGCCGGCTGGAATCACGAATATGACTACCGCAACAAGAGAATCGGCCTGATCGGCAACGGAAGCAGCGCCATCCAGATTCTGCCGGAGATGGCCAAGCTGGAGGGCACCAAGGTGACGTGCTTCCAGCGGTCGCCGACGTGGGTCGTCTCTCGCCACACGCCCGCGAAGCTCGTGGGCAGCGACGACCCCAGCTACAACCCGGAGTACCGCGACGTGGACAAGCAGCGGTTCCGCGACCCGGAGGAGCTCAAAAAGTACCGCAAGCTCATCATCGGCAACGTCAACCGCGGGTTCCGCATCTTCGGCAAGGGCTCCAAGCAGCAGGAGGAGATCAAGGCCTTTGCCACGGCGCAGATGGCGGCCAAGCTGAACCACGACCCGCGCCTGTGCAAGATGCTCATCCCGGACTTTGAGGTCGGCTGCCGCAGAATCACCCCGGGCGCGGGCTACCTCGAGTCCTTTACGAGGGACAACGTGCACCTGACCCAGAGCCACATCGACTACATCGACCAGGGCGGCATCAAGACCAAAGATGGCCAGTACTACGAGTTGGATGTCGTCATCTGCGCGACGGGCTTTGACGTTTCCAACCGGCCACCGTTTCCCGTCGTTGGGCGCAACGGCATCGACCTGGGAGAGAAGTGGAAGGACGAGCCTGAGTCGTATCTGGTGAGTTTTGTCTCCCCTCGGAAAGGAAGAAGAATATCATCTCGGAGAAGACGATCCCATCCCCCCCCTTATAACCCCTGATTCTCTCTATCTCCCCACGCCCCCAGAAAAAAAAGGGAAACTGGACGACGAACGCCCTGACTGACCTTTTGCGTACGAATTAGTCCATGGCCTGTCCCGACATGCCCAACTACTTCATGTTCATGGGTCCCAACGCCACCATCGGCCACGGCTCGCTCATCTACAGCCTGGACTGGACGGCCGAGTGGATGATCCAGTGGCTGCGCAAGATGGCGCGCGAGGACATTGCGTCGGTCGCGCCGCACCAGCGGGTCGTGGACGAGCTGGTGCGGTACGGGGATGAGATTATGAAGACGCTGACGTGGACGGGGAACTGTGAGTTCTCTCCTCTCCCTCTCTCTCTCTGTCTGTCTCTGTCTACGTGTTTGTCTCCTAACCCTTGGTATGTGACAGGTCGCTCCTGGTACAAGAACAACCGGATCGACGGGCGCGTGACGGCCACCTTTGCCGGCAGCGCCATGCTCTTCCACGACATGGTCGAGCGCATCCGGCCCGAGGACTTTGACATCCGGTACCGCTCGCCCAACCGCTTCCGGTTCATGGGCAACGGCTTCACGCAGTACGAGCTCGAGGACGGGGTCGATTTGTCGTGGTATGTCGAGAAGTAAGTCAGTACGTAAGCAAGCCGAGAGCCAGAGCCAGAGCCAGAGCCAGAGCCAGAGCGAGACTAAGAGTGCGCGTGGGCGTGGGCGTGCAAGCTCGAGGCAGGGAGAGAGACTAGATATATATGTATCTGAATATGAATCTAAATGTGCATTGAAATCTCAAATCTTGGTCACGAAAAAAAAGGTAAAGGATCTATTAGACGTACATCCTTGCATTCAACCATCTATCAATACGCATCTCGTGGCATTTGTAAGTATTTTGTAAAGGCAACCTCGTCGTCACATTCCTCCAACTTGCATTGACGAACTCGAATTCGCAAGAGGAGGCACCGGTGCGCATTGGCTAAAGCTTTTGGAAAATTCCCTGCCCAGGTTGAAGCCTCCCCCCCCAAGGCATCATCTTTGCACCTACCATATTCATTCAGCTCGGCAATTGATCTTGTCGCCAAATGACAGTCACCATAGACCTTGATGTAATATCATATGCTCTCGATCGCGTATTGCTCCCCAACAGACCTGTCATTTTGCCAGCCGCTGACCGGGCTTCAAAACCCCCCGATCACCACCGCCACCTTTCCTCCACAACCACAGCGCTTCGACCGCAAGCGCTCTGGCACTGGCATGTCCCGACTGACGGTTGGCCTCGCTCATCATGACCTCTATCGGCCTCTCTTTCTCAATCACCGACCAGAGCGCTTCCTGGAGTTCGCCGCCTCTGGCGCCAAAATCCCCCCTTCCCAGCCTGTACAGGATCCTACCTAGTGTTTGATAAGCCATGCATCGCTGGTTAGGCAAGGTCGATCGTGCAAGCAATGCGAGCTCTGGTATAGTGTATCCGGCGCTGCTCGGCGCGTCACCGTGATGGTGTAGCCCTTCTTTCACGTCGAGCTCCAAACTCTCCTTTGGCGGGATCAGACGGCCGTTGAATCCGAAGCGGAGGGCAGAAGCTAGATATGATTCGTTTTCAGGGTTATACAATGACGCTTGGTCCTCCTCTTCGGTCGGGTCCTGTAGCCAGCTCAACAATGACGGGTCGTGGGGAGTGTCTGGAAAGTAATGTGTTTTGAGATCGGCGAGAAAGGAGGCGCCGTCAGTATTTAGAGGTACATAGTCGTCTGCTGACCGAGGAGGGACGGGAAAATGTGTCGAGGGAGGAGGCGGCGCTGCGGATCTTTCAGGTTCCACAGTATCTTCGTCTATGGGCATCTCAGTCACGGCCTTCTGTCCAGATCTTCGGCTATCATCTTCCCCTTCCGCATCGCCCTCAGGCCACAGCTTTTGATTGGCTTGATCTTCCTCAATATTAGCACGTTTGAGCAGCCGCTCCAAAAAAGCAGGGTTGAGATTTCGTGTTAGCTCGGCTCGAGCCTCCTCAATGTCCTCTATCGACATTTGTGCTATCCGCCTCTTGTTTTCCTCGCTGATGTCGGCCTTCTGCTGCTGGTCCATGTCGATCCCATACTTCTTGCCCACATGATGTCTGATGGCTTGGTCTGAGGGTTCGACTGTGGTAGGAATGGAGGAACGAGATGGCGCCTTTCCAGTTTGCTGTCTTTGTTTGAAAGCAGACACGTTGCGGCGTGGTTTGTGCTCGGGGAAGCCAGCTTTGGAGGATTTCAGCGACGGGGCAGAAGGAACAGAGTCCGAATCATGCTCTTGGATCTCCTTGATGCTGAAGCCAGGAGGCCGGGTCGGGGGTGTCCGTTCGTCAACGTCAACGTCAACGTCAACGTCAACTGGCCTGATTGCAAAATCATCTGCGTCGAGATCTAATTCAAACCGTTGACCTGGGATGGCCATGTTGGAGAAAAGTTGTCGATGGCGCAGCCGCGCAGTGCCCCTCGGCGAGCTTGTTATTAGTCGACACTAGAAAAGCTGCTCACCCTAAATGCGGTCTAGCCAAAGGCGTTGTCAATCAGACCAATGACATTCTTTTGGCGAGGTACTCGTATGTAGCACAGGTTTGTGGAGTGTGCGGTGTGCTACCCTCGCTCTTTCAAGGCGTAGAGCCAACTGCAATCTTTCTAGCGGTGACTGGTGATATGATGCTAGATCCTCTATATCATTGGCCAGAAGGCTTCATGAGGGGAGACAACGATATATCAGATCATGCGGTGCGGAGTGGAATAGCCGAACTTGGCTCAAGCCACTAGCTGCAAGGTCTGTACTTCGTAGCAGGGGTCTAGGATCTGGTAAGCCCCCAGGTGGGTCTAACTGGTGTATCCGATCTTGGGGGTTTTCTTTTCCGAGAGGATCGCGTTCGACGAGTAGTTGGCAGTGGATAGGGCTTGTCAAGGGTGAGGGAGGTAAAACTGCAGAGGCAGAGGCACTACTATGCGGAGTGATGAACTTGTAGTCGTCTTCGGCGTGACCGAGTGTGTTTGGTGTTTTCGGGGAGTGGGATCGATTCATGAAACGTCAAGGAGATCAGCTACTGGAACTACTCGTACTGAGGCGGACTCCGGGTTTGGGCTAGAAAGCCACCTCACCACTGTTGAACAAGACACGACAAGCCAATAAAGTGATCGTCATGACAGGATGCCTGACCGGCTAGTTGTAGCCCCTTGCCTCACCGTTAGCCACTGTCTTTTGCCCGTCATTTGTCCCCCATTGATTCTCTAGATTAGGATTTTTCGAAGTTTTTTGTCGATTTACTTGCGTTATCCAGGAACCGAGAGCCAGCTCCCAACCCTCTCTCTCCACCATCTGTGACCGAGTTTACCTGCTCCTGCTACTACTCCTAGCCAGCTAGTCCAGCTAGTCACCTAGTCGAAGATCTTCCTTCCATGGCCCTTGTCTGTCACGACTCATGACTACTGCCACCACTGCCACCACCATCACTGCTATTTTTCCCATTTACCCTTCTGCTGCTTTGTGCTGGTCTTTGCGCTGGTCTAGTCTCGAATGGCCTCGTCTTCTCTTACACGCCCACGACGCCTCACCAGACTCATTTCACTCTCTCTCACCTGGTCCGGTCTCCCTCGCTTTCCGCATGCCGCTGCTTCTCTGTTGTTTGCTGGTCCCCTCTCCCTCTCTCGTCTCTCTTCCCCGTTCCTCCTCGTCGTGCTTCCGCCTACTTCTCGACACCCATCCAAGTCCCTCAGGTCTAGCCTCCCAACTCTGCCCTGGCCTGCCTAGGTGGTGATTTTACGTTTTGCTATCCACTCTTCCCAGTTCTGTCACAAGCTGTAGTCTGTCCGTCTGGGTTTTTGTTGCCTTCCCATTCATCTCGCGACCCATCATCCCCCCTCGCCATCCCAATCTTTTTTACCCTTTGTCAAGAGCCCTGTAAGCTGTTTTGTTCTCCGGGGTTCATACATATATCTTCCTATCTTCCCACTTCTGAGCCTTTCCCTCCTCGACCCTTTTCTCTCCTCCTTTACCTTCCTGCACACCGGTCCGAGTGATTTTTGCGCCAGGACATGCTACACCTCCATTTCTCTAATTTTGAAGTTCCCTAGTCCGCTCCATCCGCCGCATTCACCACTGCACCATTGCAAATCCTCGCCGCTAAGCCGCCTTTACACATTTCCCATTCCAGCCGGTGTTTTCCACAACCCTTTTGAGGTTGTGCAGTCAAATTCACACCCGTCACCGTCACCGTCACCACCCAACCCCGTCCTTCAAATCGTCTCTTTGTATAACGTCCTAGTTATCAACCCCTTAATTGTTCAACTCTTTGACCATCATCATCGTCGGTTCCAATAATTCATCAATTTGTGATTCCAGCCATCGACATCATCGCCTTTTCTAATCACCTCCGCCACTTGTACACGTACTTCCCAACTCTCAGGCTTCTTTTGATGGCGCTGGTGTGAGCCTGCGGTTTCGGTCGTGCACTTGATTGTGGAGGCTGAAGAGCTGAAAATGGAAGTGCGTGACACCAGGAGTTCATCTAACGACTTATCCAGCGCACCCCCGAGCGATGCTGAGAGCACTCCCGGACCTCCGAAATATCACCCTGTGCATCGCGACTTAGGCCTAGCAGGCAATCTTGGTGTTGCAAACAGCTACAGCGCGCGACAGACCCAACCGAAGCCCGGTGCAGGTGTCAGTACCTCACCAGCCACAGCTGCAGGTGCACGCCAAGACAACGGCGCAGCACCACCACCAGCGCAGCCTGTCAAAAGACCACGAAAGAAGCGCGATCCCAACACGCCTGAAGAGAAGAAACCGCGAGTTCCTCGTAAGCCCCGAGGAACAGCCCCCACCGCCACAGGTGTACGCAAGAAAACCAAAATAGAGCCGCCAGATCAAGGCAGCATCGTCATCATGCCTCGGTCCCAGAGTGCAGGTCTGCAGGCCTCTACTCTGGTCCAACCAGTTCAGTTCTCCCCTCCAGATGCGACCGAGAGCCGCCGAGATGAAGCCGCCAAGTTTACCGAATCTGGCCTCACGATGCACAACCAACCGTTGCGTGCCCGCACATCCCCTCAGGGGATCTATGAATATAAACCACGTGAATATGGGAGCAAACAACACGCCCCACCGCCGCCGACTCCTCCTCTTCCTTCTCACTCCTCCCCTCCTCGCGCAACTAGCATGTACGATCCCATCAGATCCGTGCAGCGACCTGTCGACACTAATCCTCCCGCTCCACCTCTTGCACGGCCCACTGCTACTCCTCCAAGAAGATCCGATAACCCCAGTACCTCTCCAACCATCTCCAGCATCATTGATCACCATCCGCATCCACATTCCGACACCTCGACTGCTACGACCGTGGCTACGCATCAGGTGAAGACGGAGCCTACCCACAGTCAGACCAATGGCAGGGTGGCCGACTCGCCAAGAGTCAACGGCTCATCAGCAATGGAGGTAGACCACATCATGTCAGACCAAGGGCAACCCAAAAAACTCGCCTCTTCACGAAAAGTGCCATCGGAAGCGTCCACTCGCCCTACGTCCCCGAAGCCGGCTCGGGCTAAAGAGCAGCCGCCTCCACCACCAATTGGGTCTGGACTTCTGTCGGCCAGTCTCTTTGGTGGGGATTCGAGCAGCGATATGCCAAAAGACTCAGAAAAAGGACCCAACATCGTCCTGCATATTGACTTGAAGGATCCTGGTAATCGAGTCATCAACTTTGCCCGTATGGCCGAAGAGAAATATGGGTTCGCAGCCCTATACCCTCGTCAAGCTGCCCAAAAGGAACGATTGGCCAAGATTGCTGCTGCCGGTGCAGCGCTGGAACGGTCAGCATCTGGCAGCAAGTTTGGAGGCACGTCAGCTGGAGACAGTGGCGATGAAGACCTCAGCGTGGACATTGAGCGTGACTCGGACAATGACGGAGACGTCGCGATGTCTGGAGTCAATGGCGGACAAGAACAACCTAACAGCGGCACCGATGGTCCAGGCCCCAAGCGTCGACGGCGAAGAAAGGTAGAGGAATACGACCAGGACGATCCTTTCGTGGATGACAGCGAGCTACTCTGGGAAGCACAAGCAGCGGCCAGTAAGGATGGATTCTTTGTCTATTGTGGACCGCTTGTACCAGAGGGAGAAAAGCCGGCTGTTGAGAGGTATGTATTCCTATTGATCCAGATCCCCCACGATGCACTGACTGATATTAATACAGGGCGGATGGCACGATCAAGCGGGGTCGCGGGCGAGGCCGGGGTGGTGGTCCTGGTTCTCGTGGCGGCAGAGTAGCCGCTGCGGCTTCCGAAAGAGCCTCTGGCAGAGGTGGAGGGCCTGGGTCCCGGGGAGGAGGTGTTACTCGAAAGCCTCGAATCACAAAGGACGACCGAGCACAAATGGAGAGAGAGAAGTTGCAGCGAGAGAAGATGGCGCCACTGGTAGCCAAGCCAACTGCATATCCTGGTTGACGGTGGGACAACAGCACTGTAGTACAAAGACGGAAATGCTGGGGATCCCCTTCTCAGCGGACTAAACGTGTCATGAAAAGAGATTCAATATGCATTGGAGCGATGATAGAGGTCGGCGGGTATGGACTTGTTTTCGTCAATTCACAGGGTCGGGAAAGATGCCAGGGTGGTTTGCTGTTGTAACAGTGAGCGGTGTATTTTTAATATTCGGCCCATCAGCATCAGTGATGGAGGATGTCATGTCAGACCCACGAATCACACCACTTTTGATCGAGTCAACCCTAATGCATATGTATCCTACAAAGTGGAAAATGAGAAAAAGGGGAGAGGGTTTTGGCCTTTTTTGGCTTCTGAATCCTTTTCCTTTTAGAACCTTCATCTGCAGTGGCTTGCAGCGTGGTGGCTTGATGCTAGTACTGGAGCATCTTGCACGAAAACGTGATAGCGCATCTGGACATGGCAGATGCCAGGGATCAGGCCAAGGTCAACAGGGGAAGGGCATGGAAAAGCGAAAATTCCCATGGTCCAAACGCTAAAAGTGAGACTGGCAAGACTGTGCCACCCGAACTGTCAAGAAATATTTTGGCCAACCCGTTCCCAAAGAGCTATACGATCAACAGGATCAACAGGATCAACAGGATCAACAGCATCGAGAGTCCAGCAGGCTAGGTCGATCAAGTAGATGCCCCACGATGTCCAATCCCAGAGGTCGACACGCCTGCCGAAAGGGCATTGATCTTTTGACTTTCAAGGTTCCCATGCCGTGCTTGCCGATCCCCATGAATTGCCAGTGTTGGATTGGGCACCTCCAACGGGGACACTTTAGGGACCATGGGTCAGCCTACGAGGACGAGAAGGTACCCCAGTTATGCCCAGTCACCGCCCAGTCAAACGCCCCCAATAAACGGCCACTCAGGCAAATGGGCCCCCCTATCCTTCCCCTTAGGTTACAAGTAAACAGCCATCCCGGCAATCTCTCCCCCAAACTCGCCTCGCCCACTAATCAGAGAAAGGCGCGGCGACAAGTGGTTAAAGAGCTTAGGGCTCTTGAGATGCACATTTCTCCCCCCCATCGTCAGGTGTGGCTTTTGGGCATCCACCCGTGCATGATTCCCGACACTTTTCTGGGTACGCCCCATGAGGTCCGTGTCCGCCGTGATGGATGGTTCATCGGGGGTGGATTCTTCCCAGAGTGGCTCTACGCCAGACTTGTACTGAGTACGAGTAGTCATCCGCCACTACCGCCGATTAATGCATTGACCCATTGTGCCATCCTCCTCTCTCTTTCCTCCTCAAGGCTCAAGCCCTTCCCTCACACCTGATCCCTCGCTTGCGTCTGCGGCCGGTGACTGGGTGAACTGGTGACTGGCAACCCGCGGTACAACAGCACCCTTCTCCCGACTGGTGTTTGAGACACTGTGTGTGCGCTGCTGCCCGCTCCGTCTATCCCATCTAAAGTAATTGTCCCAAGTCAACTAGCAACTAGCAACCCACGACTTTTTGCTGTGAGCATTAGAGAACCAACCGTCCAAGCTTTGTCACCTTTACCACCTTTTTGCTCATCTCGCGCTTCGAAGCAATCTACTCGGCCTCTTTCTCGTCGCACCTTCGATCGGACAATACATGCGGCAAGCATGTTGTGCACACCACCGCTCAAACTACTGGCGTTTTGTCTTGCCTTCCCAGGCTAAACCGTACTTCGTCTCTCCCACCGGCCGCATCGACAACCTACCGGTTCCCCTCCATCCGAACATACTCGCCGAGGGTAGTTCTAGGCCTCTTAGAACAGGGCGAACAAGAGAAGGAGAAAATCAATCATGGACGGGTTCTCGAGCTTCTTCGGCCAGCCATACTCCGGGACGGATCCACAGGAGACCATGGACGGCTACACGCAGGATGACAGTATGGGTGGCATGGATCCCAGTGGCATGGACGCCTCAGCTTTGGGCCAGGCGCAAACCCTGGAGCAGATCATCATTCAAAATCATGATGAATTGATGCGTCGAAGAAACACATATCAGTCCCAGTATCGACAAGGCTCGCACGATCATGGCCGCAGAGCGTCGATGCTCGAGTTTTCTTCCGCCATAGACAGTGACTTGGCCAATTTTCAATTCGATCCGAACCCCAACGAACCCAGCATGTCCATGGGCCCGCCCAATGTCATGTCGATGCCGAAAGCCCTCGATCCACGAAGAGTCCGTTCTAGGGAGGATCTGTCCCTGAATACCCGTTTCTCCCAAATGAATACCAATTTTGACCAGATGCCGGCTGTCAACAGCTTCTCTCCTGTGATGGTTCCGAGCACCTCCGTTCCTCTCGAAACATCTGCCGCCTACATTGCGCCGGGTATGGACATGGCAATGGATTTTGACAGTCTAGCTGGAGGCACAAGTGCTCCAGGCATGCAATCAGGCCCAATGCAAGAGGCTCTCTTCTCAGCCTCACCAATTGAACAAGGCTTTTCAATCTCTTATCAACCCGTCAGCCATGATCCAGGCGGTGGCTCCATGAGCCCAGCCGTTCCCAACCCGATGGCAGCAATGGCTCAAGGCATGACCTCCATGCACGAACCTTTCCCGGGCCCATCTCATCATCACCGACGGCAAACCTCCATTGCACCCATGATACCGAGCTCTCTCTCCACCATGGCTTCTCCGATACATATACAGGATCACGCAAACAGAAGACACTCTATAGATAATCAGTTAGGCTTTCCAGCGAAAGGTACTGTGACGCTGTAAGGGCAAATTTGATGGTTGAATGCTGACGCGATCTGATAGATGCTAATCAAACTCTGAGGGCAATGAACCCTCCGGCTCTGCCACATATGCCGCCGGTACCAGGTGGGCCGTTGCAACATCCCAAATATCCCAATGCCTATTCCTCTAGCGGGTTCGACATGCTAGGAGTTCTTGTGAGTCCCTACTCAAATTGTTGTCCTAGACCCCGTTAATCTTTGCCATAGATGCGCGTTGCGACTAGAGCACGACCCGAAATCAATATTGGCCCCGTTGATTTATCCTGTGCCTTTGTCGTTTGTGATATTGAGAAATACGATCTGCCAATAGTTTATTGTTCAGAAATGTTTGAACGACTGACAGGCTATACGAAACACGAAGTCCTCGGTCGAAATTGTCGCTTCCTCCAGTCGCCAGATGGCAGAGTGCAGTCGGGACTCAAGCGAAAATATGTAGACAACAACTCGGTCCTCTATCTCAAGAACCAAATTTCCAAAAGGGCGGAAGCGCAACTGAGTCTGATCAATTATCGGAAAGGCGGGCAGCCGTTCATGAACCTCTTGACCATGATTCCGATTCAATTTGATTCTGAAGATTATAAGTTTTACGTGGGTTTTCAAGTCGACCTTGTCGAGCAACCAAATTCGGTATCCGGAAAGAATCCAGGTACGGCATTCTTCCACGCATAACCAAAGAAGACAAAAGGAAAAGAGGCTAATATTTTCAACAGATGGTACTTATGAGATCAACTACAACCGAAGCTCGCTGCCAGCCTATCATCTACCTGCTCCTCCTGATCCAAGTCAAACGCTGCAAGACATAGGCCAGACAATCTCCCCGGACGAGGTGTCCAAGCTCTTGTCCACTCTTGGGCGTGGTGACTTGGAAGTGTCAAAACGCGTCCGGGACAAGGTGCTACTGGAATACAACGATGATGTTTTGCATGTCCTCTCACTGAAGGGACTGTTCCTCTACATATCTCCCGCAAGCCGAAGAGTCCTAGAGTACGATCCCGCTGAGCTTGTTGGCGTAAACTTATCCTCGATATGTCATCCGAGCGACATAATCGCAGTTACCAGAGAGTTGAAAGACACGCCGCCTGGAGAGCCGATGAGCGTGATTTACCGGGTCCGCAGGAAGTTCAGCGGGTACACCTGGTTTGAGGCGCACGGCACTCTCTACGTTGAGCAGGGAAAGGGCAGGAAGTTCATGATTCTTTCGGGACGAGAGCGACCAGTCTATGCCTTGGATCGGGCTGACCTCTTGACGGATGGCAACCTTGGCGAGAGTGAGCTGTGGTCCAAGATGTCGACGGCGGGAATGTTCTTGCATGTGTCCTCCTCTTCTCGAGTCATGCTGGACCGACTCCCTGAAGACCTTGTCGGGACCAGTTTGCAGGCGTTGATGAGACCAGACTCGAAAAAGGAATTCCTACGTTTGCTTGAAGTCGCAAGAACAGGCGAGAAAGTGACCTTCAGACATGACCTCCAGAATCGACGAGGCCAGGTTCTGCACGCGCAAACGACAATCTATCCCGGTGATGCTCGGTTAGGCACCAAACCCACCTTTTTGCTTGCGCAGACCCGCCTGCTGAAGATGACGCGTGCTGCACTCCTGAACCAGAGGTCAGTGTCAGCAACATCGTCGAGAACAGACCGGGCATCGGCAGGGTCTGCAACCCCAACGTCACGTCCGTCAGTCCGATCGTCTAGCAATACCCTAGATGGATCTAGCAGGAATTCTGTCGAACACCCCGGCTCTCTACAATCAACAGTCACTCTCCCATTGAGTCTAGGCAACCAAGACGAGGCGCTGGCCTCGGAGGACAACATCTTTGACGAACTGAAAACCACCCGAAGCTCCAGTTGGCAGTACGAACTTAGGAAGATTCGGAATGAAAATCGGACATTGGCTGAAGCCCTACAAGCACTGCTAAGTCGCAAAAAGAAGCGCAAGAGGAGAAAGGGGCTCGGCCAGGTTGAAAAGGATTGTGCCAACTGTCACACGCGAGTTACACCGGAATGGAGACGGGGTCCAAGCGGCAACCGTGATCTGTGCAACAGCTGTGGTCTCCGATGGGCCAAACAGGTACGTGATCTTTGCGCTTGCTGTGCAGAGGCGTGATCAGAAAGGTAGATGCAACTGACACTTTTTCTGAATTCAGAACGGACGAGTATCACCTCGCAAACCTTCGGGTCAAAGTGACAAAAGCTCCAAATCTCCGGCCCAGACTAGGCCGACCACCAAGCCGGAGGCTCAGAATGGTGGAGGCTCCGAGACAATCAATGGCGGCCATACCCAATCGATCGGGACCTCATCCGGTACGCCCAAGCGGGAAGAGAATGCAGATGAATGGAAAGGACAGATGCCTCCGAAAATTGAAGAAGGCGATGAACCTCCACATCCGAGTATTCTGCCGACATGACCATGAACCAGAGGTCGTCGACGGTCAACCTTGCCTCGCCCTTTTCATATTTCCAAAGAAACAACTGCCGAGACTGTCGAATCGAGGATTGGAGTTGGTATCACGAAAAGAGCTATCGCGGAGTTGGGGCTCTATATTCCCGTTGTTAATTATCCACGGACTTTCACGCTTTGACGAACGCAATTCCGTGGACCAAAGAGTCTCAAGCAGGGGCTACGAATCGGTCCGTCCGACACAGATTCAAATATACTCACCATGCTTGGCAGTTGGGACTTTTAGTTGAGTTGAGACCATCTGGGCGCTTATGTCTTATGTCACCTTCGGTTCGAAATCTTGTCACTATCATACCCCGGTCAGTTCACAACAGGAAGGAATAAATGAATAACATGCGTTGAATCAATGTTGCGAGCCTAAGTTTGGGCTGGGACCTCGGACTGCTACGAAGTTTCACGATGATGCAAATGCTCGGTCAGGCGTTGGGCGCTAAGACTTATATATAATATGGGAATTGCCGTGCAAAGATGATTGCTCATTTGATGGAGCGGGAACGGGGACGGGATGCAGGGTCGATCAGGCTCTGGTGGAGATGAAAGATGAACAGCGACGGACGGACAGGCTTGACCTTGACCTTGTCAGTGAAAGGTGCATGCATGTATGCATTGCCACAGACATTCCACATGCCATCGGTATTCGTTGGGCAAAAGGGAGAAAAGGGGAGGAAGCCATGTGCAAACCCCCTAAGGGGGGCTGGTTTTTTGGCCGGACAAGCAAAACGGGTTGTTCATCCCGAGTTCTCGGTAAACGAAAACGAGATGTGACGACTCTTCATCAAGGTTCTTCTTCTTGTTTTGTCATGCATGCATGATACATGATACACGATATGATCGATACACGACACACGACGCGCAACGTCCGCTATGCTGCTTCAATATACTGCTATGTTGCCACGCTGCCTATCCATTGTATATAAATCAGATATATCTCCGCCTCCCTTCCTCCGCTGGTTTTTTTTAAACCTTCTTCTCGTCCCAGACGAATCTGATCAGGTAGGTAGGTAGCTAGGACATGGACAATGTATGACTTTACCAATAGATATGTAGATATCTAGGGAGACCCAAGAGGGTACAAAAACAAAAGCAAAAGCCCAGCGTCGTGTCGTGTCGTGTATATCTACACTGCAGAGGTTAGGTTTGCGAAGGAAAGAAGTAATGTAATGACCCTTCTCCGGCCCCTTGGCCCCTCTCCCTCACTGCGCATGTGTTTTCGGTGTGGGTGGGTGGGTACATCTTATACATATATGTATGTGGTGCGCGCAGAAAGGGGGAGAGAGTGTTGGGACCGTGACAATGGTCGTTGGGTAAGAGGTTTGCTTCCTAGAGTCGGGGGGCTTGATGGTCCAAGTACGACGGGCGATGGAAAACGCAGTCCCAGGGCAACGGACACGGACACGGGAGAAAAGAAAAAAGACTGGACAGAAATCAAACTATATGAAATTGACAGACGACAATATGAAAAAAACACAGCAAGACAGAAACAAAAATGCATCGGGAGATTTGGCTGTGCTGTCAATCCATGCCCCTCCACTCCCATGCATTCTTACCATCTCTATACTCGATGCCAAACGGTCCGCTGGCTCGACGAACCGTCCCGGCTGCTTTGCAGTGGCAGGGGATCCGAGTCCAGAACCCAGAACGAGTCCCGGCGACGCAGCTGCACTTGCTCCGCTGAAGCCTGGGCGATGATCGAGCTCACTTTGTTCGAATCGGGACCCGGGATGGTGTTTGCAAACGAAAAGGTCGTGCCGGGCGGAGGTGTCAGACCTCCTGGTGGAGTGCTGTGGCCTTGCTGCAACTCGACTGGGGAACTGTACCGGAAAAGAAGAGGGAGGGTCGACTCCTTCCATACTGGCATGTGGTTGCGGTGTGTGGAGAACATGGTCAGGAACAGCCCGGTCAGCCCGAGCACGACAAGCGCCAGGGGATAGCTGATCCATGGCCAGCGGACCACTATCACCGCCTGGTTGTGCAGAGTCGTCCCAGTGGCCACGGTTTCTTGTAGCTGCTGGAAACGACCCGTCACTGCCCGCCCAACACTATCCGCGACGTCGCTGAAATTGCCGTTGCCGTCGATCGCCTGCTGACCCGCAGAGCTCCACGGCCCCGAGTTCTGGTCGAAGCCCGTCGAGGAGAAATTGTAAATGTCCCCTTGTTGAGCAGGGTCCGAGTACCAGTACCCGCCGTAACTGTAAGTGGTATTTCCCTCGAGCGCTATCCGGAGGGCTTGAACAAGCAAGAATGCTCGACCTTGAGAATCATCGTTGCCGGAGTCATAGACGAAATAACTCGTATCGTTCACTTCTGCCTCCCAGCCAGTCAAAATGCGCCCATCGGGTTGGTTCTGACTAATGATAATGGTGCCGTAATCTGTGGTTGTCGCATGTGAGATGGTCGTGCCGGAGCGGACCGCAGTGTCCATAGTACGGACACACGGTGTAAACGCACATTCCGTGGCGGATTGGACGACCAGTTGGTCGAAGGAGGAGGTTGTGTTGATGTCGAGATAGCCCATGGCAAACAGAGGAGAAGAGATACCAGCATATGATTTATTGTCCCAGCTCTTACCCCAGTGGCTGTCCGGCGTAGGGTCAATATTCAGTGGCCACACCACGCGGCGTGGATAGGTGACAAACCACTGCACGCTGCTCGCCAAAGACAGGTCAAGAGTTACCGAGACGTTGACGGGATTTCCGTGCGGGAAGGAGTAAGTTGGTGTCCAGGTGGTGGAGGAAGACGTCCGATTGCTCTGAGAGAACTCCTCGAAATGGGAGGTCAAGTTGATGTTGTACCCGTCTCCCCCGAGTTTGACTTTGCTGGTCATGTCTGTACACATGGTGCACAATGCAAGAGTGTTGTACACTGGCCATGTGCAATTTCCACTGGGGCAAACAGGATTCGGTATGGCACCTGATGCCCCTCCAAACGCTCCGATCAAAGCTTTCAATGACAGGCCTGAACCACCTAGATTTCCAATCACCGATTCATTGTACGAGGTCGGGGTGCGGATCAAGGCAGGTTGCGATGGGACAGGGCTGTCGCGCACTACAGTGTTCAGAACTTGCTGCAGAAATGGCTCGAAGCCGAGAGCCAGGACGGTGACCAATGCGGCGACTAGTGCTTGAAGACTGCCTCGACGACTGAGAATGAGGAGAGTTGAACCATAAGGGCCACGGCTGGCTTCCTCGAAAGCGTCGACGGTGTTGAGTGGCCGTGGTTTTCCGATGAACCACAGCCATTTCTCCTGTCGAATGGCCGAAGCTAGTACTGCCAGTAGGGCAGCCTTTGCAAAGCCCGCAAGAAGGGATATTATTGCGTTAATCTGGCAATAAGCATTAGAATCTCTCAACCTTTGACAAGCGCCCGAGGACTCACCGTCAATCCCTCTGGGAGATCTGGAACAGCGCGGTTGTCGTATACAAGGAGAATGGCAACAATGGCAATCAGGATGCAGATACACAGCAACGCCGCTGACAATTCCCACAACCAGTTGTCCAAGCTCATCCGGGTCCACCATGATGGGGGTTTTGCGGAGCCTTTTGAGGGGGTTATGTCAGATATCAGTCGGCTCTGCGTGCTGGACTGGCTGCTGAGAATTGCTTCCATTTCAACGTCGCGGAGTCGGTCGTAAACAGGTCACATTCCTTATTCCAAGGGCGAACAGTGGTGACCCATACTTGATGGTATATATCGACTGGCCTGAATCCTAAGGCCTTCGAATAGCACCATCTGCACCATCCCGGCACGGGGGCAAATTCACAGAACACGCTCATCAACAACATCAGCCACACAATGGCGAGTCTCGCTTCTTGGTAACGGTGGGGGCGCTTTAGTTGGGAGGGTGGTCCTGAACTGCGAGCACAACCAGCGGTGCGTAGGAGAAATGACGAGGCCTTAACAGAGTGTGCGTGCGAGATGTTTCCTTTCATTGTGTACAGGCACCGACGAAAAGAGTCTGGGGGTGGCTATATTTGTCGTCCTCGTGCGGCCGCTGCGGAGGCCTGAAGCCTGAGCGCAAGAGGCGGCCTGATCAACATGTGTGGGCTTACATAACGCACGAGGCTGAGGGGGGCTGTACGGCGATCTCGGGAGGGAGGAAGGGAGGAGTCATCGGGCGCCATTCACGGACGAGAGAGAATTGGGTGGCATGCGTGCGTGTGTGTGTGCGAGCGATGGCTGGAGAAGTTTGTTAGGGCAAGGAAGCGAGAAAGCGAGAAGGCGAGAAAGGTGAGGGGATCGGCTCTGGGAGAACAAGAATGATCGACAGTGGTTACTTCACACCTTTGGTGCCCAACTGGCTGCCCTGAACTTGTAAGGGCCCTCGGGGGCTCTAGAGGGTTCCTTAGTTACCTTCTTAGCTAGCTTCTGGTGCTTCTGGTGCTTGCTAGGCTTTCTAGGCACCCGTAGGCTAAATGCTAGGCGTGGTGGCTTCCCTATTCCCCGGCCCATTGATTGCCCATTGGCTACTCCCCCTAGTCCCACACTTCCTTTGGCCTCTTTCCTAACGGCCGTTCCGCCCAGTCGGTGTTTCAATCATCTCCCCCCTTCTTCGTCCCTCTTGCATCCCCGGCAAGCTTTCGTCCCTCCTCGAACTTTTTTGTCCCTTTTCCCCTGCCCATGTAACTCTCCCATCTCGCTTGAAAGCATCACTTCTGCCCGGTCCAAACCACCCGCCTCGTTGATGCTGACACTGCGGGAGATCATGATGGAAAACAGACCATCATTTCATCACCTCGACTGACTCGATACCTGATCAACGTCCTTCTGGTACCCAATCGACCGAGTCTTGAACTGGAGAGGCTCTAGTCCTGTCCCACAATTGGACGCCGTCACCCAATGCTCGGAGTCGAATGGAGTAGGGACGTACCGGAAAAGAACCAGAGAGAGTGTGGGTGGGTGGGTGTGTGGGTATGTGGGCGCGTGTGGCTGCCAGGCTTCACCAAACCCCCCCTGGTCGCAAATCCAGCCTTCCCGAACCTCGTCTCTCACACTTCCTGCTTCAACACTTCCAACCATACATTTCTATCCTCACAGTTCCCCTCTCCTAAATCACACGTCCCAAGACCTTTGTCACTTCCGATAGACACAATACCTGACGCCTCTTATATCATCCAGTGCGACCTTGTCCCTAGCCATCGTGGTCAAATTCGTCAATATCAACATCCCACGATCCATCCTCGCAGCGGCCTCCTGCACCTTTGCGCCCACTCCATCCCACTGCTAGTAGCACCTGCCTGCACCCCTCGACCTCTTCAGTCCAGCATTAAATTGCTTCCCACTTCACTTCCGACTATTGCAGACTCTCGACGTGCTGGTCCCGAGTTCTTGCGATACACCTGCGAATCCTCTCTCAACCTCCTGAACCCTCTGGCCGTGTTTGCGGCAGCGCTCTCCCCCCTTTTAACACCAATAAAGAAAGCCTCTCAGTACAGAACCAAATCGCAGGGATAGAGGCGCATATAGACCTCGGACTTGTTTACAGATCGCGTCCGTGCGCAATCCCCTTTACTTTCGGATTGTCTCTCGGCCATAATAAAGCTTGCCCCCAGCATCTGCGGGACTCTGTCTCTTTTGCGAGAGAACAATCCCGTCAACTATAGTCTCAGGGCCTCTTATACGAGCTTTACAATTCTTTCCACTCCAAGAGGGGTACTCTTTCAGTGATTCCCCAGTTCAAATACTCCACCATGGCGGACAAGATTTCCATCACCATATGCGGCGATGGAGGTTGTGGTATGTTTCCTTATCTTCTTCGTGCCGATGGCGAAAGTGATATGTTCCACTGATGCTTTCCCTTTTGCAGGTAAATCGTCTATTACATTGCGCCTGGTCCGATCGCAATGGACTTCCGAGTACGTGCCCCCCTCGTTCTCCAAGCCGGAAAGGATACTCCTGCTAACTCTGTGCAGATATGATCCGACTATCGAGGACTCGTACTCGGTGACTCGAACAGTGGACGGCTTAAACTACTATCTCTCACTCACTGACACAGCCGGTCAAGAAGAATATCGGAGTTTGTGGGCTGCCTCCAACCTCCAGTCTGACGCTTTTCTTCTGGTTTATGATATCACCAATGCCGCCTCTCTCGATGGGCTGTCGTGGTTCCTCGACATGATTGACATTGAAGCTGAGAACAGAGTGGAGGAGAATGCCCGTTTACTCCGCGAGAAGGGTGCCAAGGTCCGCGGCAGGAGGGAGGATGGATGGAAATTCCCTCCAATCAAGATTGTCGCCGGCAACAAATGTGATCTTAAAGATGCCAGAGTCGTCAGCAGCAAGGTCGGCTGGGAATGGGCCAAGAGCAGAAACTGTGGCTTCATGGAAACAAGCGCCCGAGAGATGGTTAACATCGAGGAGACCTTTGCCCGTAAGTCGAGGCTGCTCTTCCGCTCATCAACAGCTAGTGCTAATATCAATGCACAGTCATCGTGCGCAGAGTGGTTGAGGCAAGAAGACAACACGGTGCAGGTGCCGGCTCACTGGCCCATCAAGTCCCATTTGCCTCCAAGGGCCATACTCCTAACGTCAGTGGTGCTGGAGCATCTTATCAGATGCCAGGCTCTATGCAACCAGCCCGACAACCATCCCTGCCCAATCCTCTACCACCGACGGAGAAATCAGGATTCGACGATGACAACGTTAACGTTCCTTGGTGGAAGAAAATATTCTGCTGCCGAGGTTGACTGTTGAGTTGAGATACCATGAGAAACTTCGGGCTTGTACAACAAGGCGGCCACCTCATCTATATGGCTTGTGTTGGGGTTGTAAAATTACATTAAAGGGGGCTTTCTCACCACACTTTTTAGTGGTTGGACTCTTCTAGCAGAGGGAGGGTCTACCACATATATCGACTCAGCGAACGATCTGAGGCAAGACACCATCGCCAGTCAGCAGCGAGCATTGGGGTTTGCTCCCAGTATTCCCAGCCATGACAGTGATAGTCACCGCTGGGAGACCGTGCCAGCATGATTGTCTTCGTCACTCATCATGAAGGCACGCTGGACCTTGACAAATCACTAGTTTTCGGAGGCACGTGCACGAGCTCTATGGTCTTGCCCAGAACCATGAAGCAGATTGCCAATACTTTCGTGCCTGACTGAAGGTGGAAAGATCGACAGACGCTGAAGAAAGAAGGCAGACAGGACTGTTCGCGTCAAGGAAGCGAGCAGGGGTCGACAGTCAATGTTCTAATCAATACGAGGTGTATTCCTCGGGGGAGAATAGAGATATCCAGGTAAGACGGCTGGGAGGCCGCGAGGCCGAAAACGTGAGTTTTGAAGATGTTTAGCGATGTACACTTTTGATATGTATTATGTTGTTTTTGTTTTGTGCTGTCTATTGTGAGTTGTTGATATCTTTTGAGAGACCTAGTAGGAGCTCAATATGAGGAAGCAGAACGTATATAACAGACGATGGGGTTTGACATTGATGAAATGCCCACCATGTCTTTTTTCTACTGCCCTGCCATTCTGAGTTTCCAACCTCACCATTGGAGGCCATACTCTATCTAGACAGTAAGTACGAGGTACCGAGTACATTTTCCCGAAAAGACGAGACAGACCAGACCGCCCTGGTGCTAAAAAAATGTAAATGTAAACGAAGAACGGATAATGGGAAATGATCCCCTCGAAAAGACCCTCCAGGGCCAAGATTTGCTCCCCTATGACGATGACGAAGACCGCAGGTAATCAATCCCTTAGCCTGTCCTGCCCATCCCTCGAGTGCCTAATTGCCTGAATGCCAGTATGAGACAGGCCGTGACAAAATACAAGATAACAAATATGCCCCCATTTTTGGTCGGCCGTAGCATATGAATGTATTAATAAGACAAGAAGACTCTCATCTTAAGCACCCTTCGTCTCCACTGAAAACATGCATGACCCTGTGCTCTTTCTTGTGCCGGTGTCTGGATTCCTATGCATCCCTCTCAATCTTCCCCCCCTCTGTGAAGCCCCTTGCGTGATTGCCTCGTAATGTAGTCTTTCTGAAAGTAAGCATGTAATAGAAAAGTGTTTTCTGGGAATAGTGACTGTTTCCTCTCTTGTGGTCGGCAACATCAGATACTAGAGCCATATGTCAGTGTTTTCATTCCGAGCCTCACTCATCGTCCAATGTGTGAGACGACGTGGACAGGGGTACTCACTAGATTTCAATCGGACTGATCTGGTCAAAGGGAAACAGCCAGTTACTTCCAGCCTCAACCTTCTCCAACCTAAGCACAAAAACCCGTTAGCCCATCCTCAGGAGACATGCGAAGAAAGAGCCACACTTACCAATCATAAGGCCAGACAACAAGATGGCCCTGGACACAGCCCAACAGCTCTTCCGCCTCCTCAATGGCCAGGATGTCATCGCTCGCGCTGAAGTCACGTCTACTAGACCTAGTGGTAGCCCTTCTGCGTCGACGGCCACTTCCACCAATGTTGGCCGCCGACTGAGCAGCATTCTGGTTCACCGCGTCCGAGTACCCTACAAAAGGCCCGTTCGTGGTTGATGGAGTGCCGTTTGTTGCTGATTTCTCCCTGTCTACTGCCGTCGAACTCAAACTGCTGATCGGCCGCTCAGTGCTGAAGTCATCGTCTTCGCCCGTCCCGCTGCCTTCGTCGATGATGGCCTGTCCCTCTGGCACAGTCTGTAGTCCGGCTTTTTCCTCCGTCAATGTTTCCTGCCGATGCAAGGTGGGCATCCCCTGTCTCTGAGCCTGTGCTTGATTGATATCCGCTGCCCAGCGCCGAAGCTTCTCCTTCTCAGCGGCCTCATGTGCGCGGTCTGACTTGTCTCCGAGGACGCTCTTGATCTTCTCCTTCACCTCGCCAGTCGCCTTCTCAATATCCGAGGGAACATGAGTCACAGCTTTGATCTGTGCCGCCGGATGTCGAGACCCCGCTCCTGGCGGACCACTTTTAGTGACAGATCCTGCCCGAGAAGGGTCGGATACCTTGTCCTCCTTGGGAAGGTCATTGCCTTGTAATTGATTGAACCGTTGTTCGTACGCCACGTACTGATGATATTCGTCCCAGTTACGCACTTGATTGTCCGGCATACACCGGAACACCGAGCGGTATATCTTGGTGTTGTTCTCTGCCACCGCGTGCCAAGTGTCGTAGAGGAATGCGTCGTGGATTGGGTCTGTCATGGAATCCCGGTCGACCAGCGGACGCCGGAGCTCTTCCATCAACGGATGACGCGGGCGGATCGAGTCCCTGGAACCGACTTTGGCAAGCGGAGGACCTCCTATGTCCGAGTCATCTCCAGGGGGTAGTGGAGGCAGCTGCGACAACATGGGTAAGCCCAGCTGCACCGTATCCATCCGGCCAAAGCCGGGCCTGGGAGGCAATGGAGGTTCCGGCGTCTCCATCTTGACCACATACGAAGGCAGACGAAGGTGTTCACCGTGCTTTCGCGGATCAGCCAGAGGGGTCTTGCCCTCTGGATCAATGTTTGAGAACAAAACCTCCTTACTGCCTCGGACAAGTGTGCTGTCTCGTCCGTCTCCAAGTCCTTTGGCGGCAATCTCAGCCATTCTGTCGTATCCATGCCCTTCTACATCTTGTCTGTGGTGAGCATCCCCAGTCACACGTGGATCTTGAGTCACACCAGCTCTCTTCGATTTGAGGTTGGGGTTACCCTGCTGTTCCCAATCGACGTCGTGGTTGAAGCTCCTAAACTCCTCAGTGCGCTGAAGCAACTCTTCATGCAGTTCTGCATCTTGTCCCTGTAGTGGACTGAGGACATCATCCGCTTCCGACATAGGACTCTTGAAAGTGTCGTCGGGAGATTCTGATCGGACTGACTTTCCTGATGATTGCATTTTGTGGTGTTCTGCTTCCATCAGTTGTGCATCCTCCATGATCTTGTCAACGTCCAGGCCGAGGTGTTCGCGCATCAATCTCATACGGAGTGTGTGCGGGAATCGGCCAACCTGGTAAGGCTTGCCGTTCATCCACGACCAGACCATATCTGTATCGCGCACAATAGCCGCGCACTCGGAATCGCGATTTCCCAGCAATGATCGTTCGTTGATGTTCGCGGATCCAATCAAGGCAACTCTGTCATCGACAACCATACATTTGGCGTGGATATAGAGTTGCTCCGTCACAAGTGTTTTGCGTGGACCAATTCTGCCCCATTGACGAAGGCTATAGAACTGGATGTATTCTTCCGGATCCACACCGACCGCCTTCAGACGACCAAAGATGGAAGATTCTCCACGACAGATACTGCGATACTGGTATTGCATGATCAACCGCACGCTGGTCCCACCTTCTTCCTCGACCGTGTTCTGGAATCCAGGAATCAGGGGGATGATAATCACAGCCTTCCATGCCTCCTCGTTCTTGCTGGCACGAGTGATCCGTTCCACAAGAGCGTCACCGATCTTGTTGTGGACCGTGGCACCTTCTGTCTCACAGCTGGAGATGAAAAACTGGTTCTCAATATAGACGAAATGCTCGGATTCTTCAATCAGCTTAATATAAGCGTTCATAATGCTGTGTTCGGTCTTATCGGGAGTACCCAAGGACCAAGGCCCAGCAGAGCGACAGATTTGGACCTCGCATGTCCCGTCAAGACCAAGCGCTTCCAGATCGGCGGGGTTGAAGTCTGGAGGGGGGAGCAAAAACGGTGTAGGGCGTGTTGGCTTGCGTTGTCGCAGGATGTAGTTCCACCTCTGCACAAAATGTCGGGTCAGGTCGCGGGCTGGTTGCCCAACAACCTGCATAGAAATGTCATGCCACGGCATTCTGGCTACCCTTGAACGATCATACATCTCCTCGTACGGCTTGTTAAGCGCGTAAAAGTCTTGTATCCGCGGATTAGAGTAGTCCTTTCCCGGCCACAATTGGCAATGGTCCGCATCTTTGGGCTCATCGCTCGGCTCAAAGCCGGTTGGCTTGTCATCGACGAGGGTGTGTTGAGGAGTGTCCCACCTGCCAAAGCACAGGTCGATGCCTCCAACGAAGGCCACGGTGTGGTCAACAATACATATCTTCTCGTGATGCGCCCAGAAGAAGGTATTCTGTCGAAATTGGTTGGGGGACCTTTGGACGAATATATTTGGGTGCAGGTCCAACAGGGAGAATTTGGTGTACTGAGAGTCGATTGGAATAGCCGCATCGATGTTGCGGTAAACAATGACAAAAATCTTGACCCCTTCTTCAGCTTTTCTCTTCAGCAATCGATCAAGACGCCATTTCTGACTGATGGCAGGCGGCCGCCTCATATAGAGCTCGGGGCTCAACCACCAGTCGTGGATATAAATGACATCTTTCGCTTGATTCAAGGCGCGAGACACTACCCACATGTGGTCTCTGCCGTCAACAAGCCATTGGGCAAAGCAGTTCGGCCTCACTGGAGCGAAACTGTCGAATCTGTTGATTTTGGCCCAAGGTGATCCCGCCACCATTTCTCTTATGGACTCCTCGAACTGTTGCAACTGACGTTCGTTGTTAGAGATGAGTTTCAACTTTCTTTCCGAGTTGACCAATTTGAGACGATGGTGTTGGGGATGTTTCGCAGATTCTTTGGCCGCCTCTGCCAGCTCCTTTGCACTTCTCTGATCGCTTGGCCGTAACCTTCGGGATTGTATTTCGAAGTCTGAGTCGAACAAAAACACATCGTAGATATGCATCTGCTCTGCCGAATCCACGCAAACAACATAACTGTGTCTAACCAGAAACCACTTTGGGGTATGTCGCTTCTTAAACTCGAGGGCATTCAACGCTCTGAAGTCGAGGCCTTTGGCCGAACGGATGAGCAAAAGCCCTTCTTTGCCATGTTCGCTACCCTCGGCAGCGAGACGCACACCGAGAGCTGATATTTCTAGGAATCTGCACAGACGGTTGCTTTCTGGACGAAACAGCATAAACTGTATCATCTGTTGTAGATATTTTTCCAGAGTCTTACGCTGGCGTTCGGCAAACACCTCTCGGCGTGTATTCCCAGGAGTAGTAGGATCGTGAAGCCCTGTCACACTCGATTTCCTCCGTGCTGTTGTGAAGCCGGGTCGATTCTGGCTTCGAGGAGTTGGCCTTTCGGTATCTGTCGCTGTGCCTGGTTCGGTGTCATCTCCCCCGTCAGCGTCTTCTTCGTCGCCTTCATCGGCGAACAAGCGTAGAGATTTCAGGTACGGGAACACCTCCAAAGGAAACTTTGGCATTTTCTTTCGCCCGTCGCTTTTTAATCTAAGTCTCCCAGTGTTATAGGCGGCTTTATATTTCAAATGCATTTTAGAGAAATCTCCGAGCGATCGTTTGATCACCCATTTCATCCGATTGGCACCGTTACCATATTCGCATTCGATCTTGAAAATCAGATGTCGCAGGACTTTGTCCTCATCGGTCTCTTTGATGGCTTTCTCGTCCTTACTTTTGTGTTGGTCGACTTCACTGTCTGTGACTTGTACCTTGAGCTGTTCCAGAAGAACTGGTACCCGTCTGTGATTGTGCTCGTCACGCTGAAACATACTGGCGAGTATTAGGGCCGCAGGAGCGGCGGCGGCCAATTCGGCGAGCAAGGCGGCAGATCTTAAAACCTCAGGAGTGGGCGGTTTCTTTCGACTTTGACCTAACGTTTTTATACTGTTCTTGAGTTGCCTCCATTTGGCGGCGCTCAGGGTTGAACTTCGCTCTGCCAGCATCTTTCGACGAGATGGCGTCTTGGGAGTTTGCCCTTCGCTTGAGCCGGCTTCTCGAGAGGAAGTGATGTTGGCAAAATTCAAGAGAGTCAGCGGCCTTCTCAGACCGTCTGGTGTAGTATCACCTGGCTTTCGCTGACCGCCGTAACTCAAGCCTCGCAGAGGGTGACGGGGTGTCCAACCACTGCTGTTAGTAAGTTGTTTGCGCCCCTCGTCCTCTGAGACACCCTGAGGGTTATTAACCATGTCAGTATCGGTGGCCCTCCTAACCAATGTACGAGGCCTTTCCAGGTCCGTATCAGAGTTGATAGGAGCACTCGCAAATACCGGACGCATCAGGCTATGGGGAGATGATGGTGCGGTTTCAATATCGTCACCACGTCGTATCTTCCGCCGCCGTTTTCGGGTTGCCCACTGGGACACGCTGTTCTCTGCGGCGCTACTCTCATCCGCATCAGCATCTGCGTCATCGCCGCTATCCTCCTCCAATGTAGCGGCAAGCCCGACTTCATTGTGGCCAGGTTGAGCAGAGGGCTGGCTGTCGACCTCTTTACCGTCCAGAGAGCGCCCACTGGCGGATAGGCCACTGGGAGACCGAGTATGGCTGAATGAATATCCCTGCGGTATAGCCAGTGCTCTCAATCTGGCATACAGGGAGTGCGGTTTGTCCTGCTCTAGGCCATCTGTTCGGCCGCCTGGAGGTGTGGTATGCCCATTACTATGAGGGCTGATCTCTTGGGTATCTCGAGAAAATTGCACACTCTTTCTGCCCGCCGTGGGCGTTCCGCCGCTTTGCAGTGCATTGTCCAAATCAACGGTTTCTCTTCCGCTGACCGATTGCTCGTTTGTCGCGATTCGGGCAAGGTTTGATCCAGAGCCGTAGGTCTTTTTCAGGGCACTTGACGTCCTAGACGCCGTGGAAAACGGAGTGAGCCTGTCAGGCGAGGTATCTCGTGGGGTTGATCCCGAAGGAGTCGGACCTGCGATGGAAGTGTTGTTGGAGCGGCCGTTGGACAGGACTGCAGGACCAGGTTCACCGTTGACTTTGAAGGCGGGTTGAAACGCAGGCTGCAATTGAGCCTTCTTCGCTTGCAATCTTCCCCGATCAGTTGCTGGCCCTAGACCCCAGGGGTTCTGCTTCATCTCAGGTGCTTCTGCGGCCATGGCAGTAAGCGCAGAGGTCGGAGGCGAACAGACAGCGTGGTAGCTGAGTTACCAGGCTCCTCCTCTTCCGCCGCCAGAGACTGATCTCAATCACAGTGTGTCATCATTCCCGTATATGCATCTCTTTTGATCTGACGGTTTCAATCACGGGGACTGGAGGACAACCACTCGAGTAGTCGTGCCAATATCGCGGTCTCGTATTGGATGGAGGACAGGGCGGGTGTACTCGAAAGAGTCGGGAGGAGCTGTTTCCACAAATGGACCAGTGTCGATGCTTCTCATGTGCACACACACGGCTTGCTGGAGGTAAACTCTGTAAGTTATCGGCGCTGGTTCTGGAATATAGTGAGTGATCACCTTCTAAGCATCCCCCGTTCGCCATGCGCAGTCCGAATGGCCACTGGTGGAGAACGTCAACATCGGGCAACTGCCAAGGCGGGACTCCTTTTCATTCCGCCCCGCATCCAAAATGAAATTGCTGAGGACAGTGGATTCCCATGGACGGAGCGAGGGAGTACGAGTACGGCGAGGCTGCAACGTGCATAAGAGAAGCTTCGTTCGTCCCGAAACCTAGATGTAGACAGTCAAAGTGCCCATGACCACAGCTCAGATGCGGATGGTCACTGAGTATTACTATTCCTATCCAAGCTGGAAACCCCATCTCATGTATTCAACGGATGGCGATTGGACTAAACGCTCATGAAGACGACATATCTCCCGCATAATGCTGCCACCAGACCCCCATGCATGCTCCGACTACCAGATCACACATCTTCAGGCCTTCATCATTGATAATGAGCTTCCCGAGCTTAGCACTATGGCCTTTGAAACCTCCTCCAGCCTTTTCCCGTCCAAGATCAAGGCTCAACCGAGGCTGTTCATTTGGCATGTCGACCTGTGCAAAGTCGTCGTTGCTTTCACTGATAGAGAGCTGCTTTCGAGCTCTGTGCGTCAAGGTTTGGAAGCTTCGCCTCCATACTTCTTTGTTGGAGGAAGTTTCCGGACGTGTGTTGGACGTGTCGTGAGACCAGTCTGATATATGATTGGCCTGCTTCTTGTTCGGGTCCTTCAACCGAAGTGATGCCCATGGCAGGTTGAAGCGTAGTTCTGCAACATCTGCACTGACACCTGGCATAGACGGATTTGTACCGGGTAGGAAGTGTCGACACCGAAGGCTTTTGCCATCCAGGCCATTGCCAAAGGCACACATACCTTGCCACGGCGAGATGAAAGCATAGGCCTGTTTCGGTCTTCGGCTGGTTGACGGAGGGGCATTCGAGAAAGAATCCGTGGAATTGAGTCTCCTCTTTGTTAATAATGACCCATCGTCACTAGACGTTTGCATATAGGCAACCTTTCTGCGGAACGCAGTGCCTCCACCAGCTTCTGACTGCACGAACTTGATATAACCCGGCGAGGTGAGCTCAACGTCGACCCTCCTCAGAGGGGCTTCTGTGGTTTGCTGAACTATGCTACCAACGTTCCATTGACTACCAGAAGCAGGGTCTCTGCGAATCAGCGTTATGCGCAACGTTGCCGACCCCGGCTTCGAAGCCATAGACCCTGTGGGGGGAAAACTAGACAGTTGCGAGGAATGATCAAGCCTGGCTCTGATCGGCGATTCCTGGTCAGTATCTGACCGATTATGACCTTGAGTATCAGCCTGAACTACCGGTCGGACTGGCTTCCTGGCCAATCTGAATTGCATCTGTGCATTTTCGATAGGACTTGGAGATGGACTCTCATCGCCATCACGCATCTGCGAAGGCATTATTCGGCTACCGAAAGGTTTTCCAGAAGTCGGAGGGACGTCCAGATGCTCCCTGGTATTCAGCCTGATGTGAGTGCCACGGGCAGCATAGCGCTCAGCCTGAGTCGCAGTTTTTGACTCTAGTAATGGCGGTTGATAATGAGGGTAACTCTTTGGTGGGGTTGGAGGTCTCTGTGAAGCAGGATAATTCGCGTACGGTGCTGGAGGAAGAGGCTTTCTCTGTATTGGCGAGACCTCATGGCTGCGGTTGTCTGTAATCTGTGTGGCTTCCAGTGATTTTCTCAACGCCTCATCTTCCGGTCTCTCGACATGGAGGTAATATAGACTGGACTGCACAGCCTCGATACTTATCGAGGCTTTGGTCGCGGGCTTCAGAGGTGTGAGAAACACATCTACAAGAACTCAATGTATGTCCTTCTCTTGCACAATTCTGTCCTCCTCTTACCTTTGCTGCCAGGTACCCGGACGATGTAGAGCACAAGTGATTCGTGGACTTGATGAGTGGGATTTCTCGGGTAGCGTGGTGGGTTTGCGAGCAGGTTGCTTAGTGAGGATATAGATTGAGCTTCGATAGGAGCACTCATGTGTACGGAGGCACCTTAGGTGGCCAGTCTCCAAGTTTCGCAATGAAAGTTGGTCGACGAGTGCCAGAAGCGTCAAACAGAAAGGGATGAGTGTGGCGTCTTGATTGTCAGTTCTCGACCTCTCATGAAGGGAAAGGGGCACTTCAGTTCACGAAGGGGATAGCTTAAGCATTATAGCTGATGCCTGCATAACAGACTGCGCACAACTGCGGTGATTGAGATAAACAGGTGATAGCCAAAATGCAAACCTGGAAGCCCGGAAGCCTGGAAGCCTGAGACACTTCGAAGGCCAAAATTACCCAAGCACTGCACAATGTTTTGCTGATGACGCGAGGGGCTTTGCCGGAGGAACGACACAGGGTCTGGGCCCCACTCTGGAGCTCAGCCTCATCGCAACAGCCTTGCTTACGTATGTGCCAACATACGAACTCCGTGCTATGTATTGCCCGCTCTTCTATTTATTCCTTCCTGCATTTCGTATTCATAGCTATTTACAGAACATGCTAGCAAAATGAAGCACATGTGGCGAGCATACCGTCAAAGGGACCCTTCTTTCAAGACCGAGTATCCTAAAGTGTTTCCCGTCATGACCTTCCGTGCCGTCGATGTCGGTTCAGACCGTGCTAGTCAGCCAGGAATTGGCCCTTCTATGGTAGAAGCAGTGGCATGTCATTGGTCTAATATGGCTTCCAGTGTCATCTGAATTCCGGATTGCAAGGGCCTTGAAACGCATTCTCCGATATCTGTAGCGAACATTCTGCTTTGAATGGATGGAGTCAATGGTCGCTGTCAAAGCAACGCCCCTGCAGCAAAACAAATCATGTGTCACAGCCCAAGAAGAAGTCAGGGAGTAATAGCACCAATGCTGTGTCGCGGTGTGTTCATAGATCTGAAGTACTTCAATTAAAGCAGTGTTGGCGTTGAATCCACAACGACTGAGGTGGGCATGCATATAGAGTGATTCGTTTCGACGGAGGCATCGACAATGTATGAGCAAAGATATTCAAGTCAACACTCATTGCGTGATAGATAGCCCATTCGTCCACCGTAGTCGGCACACCCTCCGCTTTAGTCCTGCTGCGCTGGGCAGTTAACAAACACTTTTCACCCGCCATGTAGCACTCACTCATTCACTCACCAGGTCCACCCTCGAAAAAACCACGAGACATATATTACTGTGCCAGAATTCCTTCCACATTCAACCGGTGATATGGTGCAAAGCTGTAAGGCTCGTCCACAGTCTTGTTTCATCCATCCATCTCCCTAATTCGCAGGCTAGAAGTGAATATCCAAGCATTCATGGAAACGTAGGAGCTCTACAGTTCTTGTAACTCCCTAATTCGTTATCATGGATGACTTCGATATGATCATAGTGGGTGCGTAGGAGCTCTGGATCCATGATATCAAGCTATAGGTGGGAGCATGGACGCAACTTGGATCCCAACGAATGTGAAACCTGAAAAAAAAAAATTCCTTCGCGGGGTTTTCTCACGGCAGAAAGGTCAATGTGAGTTTTTTGCTCTTTTGACGGGAGGAAGGAGGAAAGAAGACGGTTGGTGTGGTGATACTGGTTGAGTAGTAAGTAGTAAGGAAGTAGTAGGTGGGATGGTCGTCGTCGATCAGCTATTACGTTCGATCCACCTAGTAGTCAGTGGTACTTCTCCTTTTTTGTGAGATCCAGGCCGTTACTCAATAAACAGACAGTGTGTTTTTCTGCGTCCTGTCAGACTGTCGAGGGCTCGTTATGAAACAAGATACTTGGCGGCTGAGGGACAAGCGGGCGCATATCCCGCTTGACCTTCTCTCCCTCCTACCCGATGCCCTTTCCCAGAGGTAAATGGTACCATTTCAATGTATATCTCCTGCCTGCCACCTGCTTACCTAGTATCTTGTAAGCCCCCCAATTCCTCGTCGCGACATTCGGGGAACAAGTTTCTCTTGGCTCGGCTTCTGGAACCTCTCTGTCTCGTGGCAGCCATGTCTCTCTGAACTGCCGAACATGAATCCTTCGCATTTCGCGTGCTCGCCTAGTCGGTCGTCGCGTATATCCCCGCCTCTGGCCAAAGGCCGCCAAAGATACATTTGTCCGTCGAAGCAGTGTAAGCTCTAAGAGGTTTCGACTTGTCCCTCGAGGGTGCCTGAGGTCGGTGATTCTCCGTGACGGACCGTATGACGTCCGGCTAAGGGACGCACTTGGACGCCACCCTGCAGATCCTCCACCAAATGAAATCTCCACCTCGCATCCATATCGGCCAATCATGAGCCTCTCCTTGAGCGCCAAGTTCCTGGGCCAGCGTCACAATGGTATCTAGAAGCAGTGGGAGTCCAGCACGCAAGGGTCCCTGATAATCTCCACGTTTCTCGTTGCACCAAACTGCCCGCTGATCGATATGCCGAGCCGTACTGGCGGTAGTGGCATGAGCATCAACCGGCGTCATTGCTGGAAATTCGCACTAGGATGGGCAAGTGCAAGATATGAAGACAGGGAGGGGGGAGATAACGGCCCCGGGGACACTGGCTCTCCATCTTCTCTGTGGGATTAGACGGAGTAGATATTCCTTACTCTGGTTCGGATATATACACCCTAGCCCTCCCTCGGGCTTACTCTGGATTCGAGCTGTTACCATCGTGGGCTGCAGAGTGTGACGGTCCCCCGAGATCCAGTGGCCTTGGGCACCAAAGCAATATTGTTCCTGTCGCCAGGTTGAATTAAGAGGACAATTTGTCGAGCGCAGATATTTCGCGATTGAGCTGTCGCGCAGCCTCTATTCCCATTCACCTCGTGGACCACAGGTCCTATCTCATTGAATCCCCCACCATGACGGGCGCAAGTAATGACTCGAGCCCAACCCGCGACGGGGAGTCCATTGCGAAACTCGACCCCGAAAAGCATCCCTCGACGGAATACGACGATGGCGCCAACATTGTCACCGCCTCTGAAAAAGACATAAACTCCCTCCCAACCATCGATCACGCCGCCGAACGACGTCTGGTCCGGAAACTTGACTTGTACATCGTTCCCCCAACCATGCTCCTCTACCTCTTCTCCTTCCTGGACAGAGTCAACATTGGCAACGCGCGGTTGTATAACATGGAAGAAGATTTGGGGCTTCAAGGATCGCAGTATCAAACGGCGGTTAGCCTGTTGTTCGTCACATATATTCTCTGTGAGACACCGAGCAATCTTGTCATCAAGCGACTCAGGCCAAGCCGGTGGATTGCCTTCATTACCTTGTCGTAAGTCCCGTCCATTCCGGCTCAACTTCGTGGCCTCTCGTGGCACACTTGCGACAGAACCAGTCGAAGCAGGTCCGTCGCATCGGGAAAAGTGACACAATTGAGATGATCTCCTGTTATCCACCTGCACAACGGAACACTGACATTCTCTCTTCCACCATCAGGTGGGGCATTGTGGCAACGTTGACAGGCATTGTCCAGAACTATGGAGGACTAATTGCTTGCCGCTTGATCATGGGCGCTCTGGAGGCAGGACTTTTCCCAGGTAACCAATAGTTGGACTGTCCTGATTATAGGAACAAGCGAACTGACCTCCACAAGGTATGACGATATATCTCACCCTGTTCTACACCAAAAGAGAGATCGCGCTCAGAGTCGGCTATCTCTTTGTCTCGGCCGCCTTGTCTGGAAGTGTGGGCGGCCTTCTGGCTTATGGCATCGGATTTATGGACGGTGTGGCCGGCCAGTCAGGGTGGAGATGGATCATGATCATAGAGGGCCTTCCCAGCGTTGTATTGGGTGTCATAGTCTATTTCTGGCTCGCCGACGCACCAGAGTCGGCATATTATCTTTCTGAAAAAGAGAGAGAGCTGATGGTTCTGCGGAAGCGACGCCAGATCGGCCATACTTCGTCAGGGGACGAGCTCCACAAAGAAGACGTGATGAAAGCCCTCAAGGACTGGAAAGTGTGGATGTTTGCCTTTGGTCAGTTCGGCGTCGATACCATGCTCTATGGGTATTCGACTTTTCTGCCCACCATCATCAAGGGACTGGGGACATGGTCGACAGCCGAGACGCAGGCCCTCACTGTGCCATGCTACGCGTTGGGCGCAATCACTTACCTGGTTGTCGCTTGGGCTTCAGATAGAGCCCAGCATCGAGCGCTTGCTGTCGCTCCTTTCTGCCTGGTGAGCATCATTGGCTACGCCATTCTGATCGCAGACGTAAGTCCAGGAGCCCATTATTTCGCCTGTTTCATGGTCGCGACAGGGCTCTACGTCTCAGTTGGCATTCCTCTTGCGTGGCTGCCTTCAAGTAAGTCTTGGTGTCTTTTGCTCCAGACACACAGTAGCTGATTATCGGAAACAGATCAGCCTCGGTATGGCAAACGGACAACTGCGAGCGGCATTCAACTTACTGTGAGTCAATTTCTCCTCAAGGGCTCCGGCTCCGGCGTTGTCGACGAGTCTAACTTAGAAGCTGTAGATCGGAAATGCAGCTGGTATCATGGCCCCTTTCGTAAGTTTGGCATCTCGCGTTCCCTTTATAATCTCGACCTCTGACCAATTTCAGCTCTATAAAACCAACGAGGCTCCTCGATTTGTCCGCGGCCATGCCGTGTCGCTTTCAATGGTCGCTATGGCCGGTGGAATATATGTCTTCATGGGAGCCTATTTCTTTGCCCGAAACAAGCGCCGCCGAGCTGGGCATGAGGATGCAAACATGGCTGGGAAGGCAGAGGAAGAAATTGCGGAAATGGGCGACGAGAATCCACGGTACATGTTTACGCACTGATGTGCAGGCCGGGGTGGCCAACTGTTTTCGCTGGTCGAAAGGCTTGCAGCTGGCTGTGACTGCTTGTAAAGTCCACCGTCACTCTGGTAGTTCGATAGCCACGGTATCGTCTGCCATAAAGTCCACATTTCGAATGATCTTGGACAATTTCAAATCCACATAATTTGCCCCCTCTCTGTTTTTGGCGTGTAGAGATCACATCGAGCCGGTCCAAGCCGGTTTTCCGTCCCTGTAATATGCCGCCACTATTTCTGGCCACGAAAGTTGTTGGGATATGGCGAGCAGCGGCTTGCTAGGCAGTGATCAAACAATGCTCTTGCCATGAAAGGCAATCTCAATCATGTTCGGCATCGTTTTGAGAGCGCACAGTGCTGACCCATCTTTGCAGTCGGCTGTATTGGCCGACTGACGTGTCACAAACCCCATCGATGTTGTGATAAATGGCTAGGCACCATTGGCTGCTTCAACTGAGCAACACGACTGTCCTCCGGTCACAGTGTTTGTCCACAAAGCATGATTTGTTGGGTCACAGGCGCCTGAGCTACTTTGTGCCTGCCTGTTGACCTGGTTTGCCAGCCAGAGATCTGCCTGATATCTGGCAGCCAGACATTGAGCCAACACAGAGGGGAGGATCTTTCACAGGCATGAGCCAACGAATCACGAAAATGAAAGTCATGGGGCGGGTATGTGCTAATCTGCGTGCCCTTCGACGGGGTACCACAGGTGGCTTTCGTCTCTCCTTCGCCCTGATTACATGGAAAGGGATCCCCACAAACCAAGGCTCACTTTCCACACCGTTCTCAGGCATATGCGAGACACGAGCATTTCACAGCACTGGCACCGCTAGGTATTCGTCAAAGGTGGCGGCCATTGAGTGGTGGACAAGACCTGACAGGATTAGTCGGCTTCGCGCGGTTAGGAATTTTCGTGAGCGATTACGATCCCGATTGTCAATCCCTCGAGAACTTGTAGAGGCAAAGGGCACCAGAAAGAAGCCGCAACCCCGGGAGACCCCAAAGGTGGCGATGTCTCTCCTTGTTCGGGCAAAGATCCCTGTCGAGTTGTCGACTACTGCCTCCCGTGATTCGTGGTCGCTGCGATGGATCCCTTGCGAGGGAGCTGGGGCGGTGCAATGGTATTGGCTGTGAAGCACTTTTAGGCGTCAGGACTGGGCCATTCTATTTGAACGCCTTGACTCATGATTTGTCCAACGAAAAAGGGCGAGGGTGGTCGACACGAGGTACAGGATGCAGGAGGATGGGATGGCGGATGGCGGGTTGTGGGCAGGACAATCATGGGCGACTGAGGGAGGGCGCATTCGTCTCTCCAGTCCTCTACTCGTACTCGTAGATCTCGTAGGGCAGCGGGCAGAAAAGAGTGGCCTTGCTGGTGTTTGGCCGCACCTTGTGCAGGAGACGAGAGGCAAATGCAAGCAGTAGTAGGGAGATGGGGGGCGGGCTAACGAGGGCGAGAACAATGGACTGTCTAGTTGTCGAACAACAAAGTGAACGGTGGCCCGAGACAACAGAGGGTATTGATCTTAGAACCTCAAGCGCATCGAGAAAGACTCATCATCAGAAGATCAGCCGTGGGGTCAAATCATACTCGTATTGTTATTTTGTGCTTTATTATTCTTTGTCCCCATCCCAACCTCGTCACCTCGATTTCACCCCAACACAAGGCACCAAGGGTCCTTAAACATTTATCATTCATTACCTTTTCCATTCTTTCGAGAAGGGCCTCCCACCACGGGCCTCTCGTACTTTTAAAACAGTTATCGTTGCGGTGGTGAACTGATACACCATACCGAGTATTCTTCTTGTATTCCTCGCGTCACGGTTTGGGCCATTCATCACGAGCCTGGGCACCTGATCACCCGGCGAGATCAAAGACCTAGACCATCTGCCTACTTATTCACACAAACATCTTGGATTTCGACCCTCTACTGTCATTCTCACCTTTCAACTACCAATCTTCCAGCCAGCTACGTACCCAGGTACTTACATCGTACCGGTCAGCAACCCTCAAAACCCCCCCGACTTTTTAACGGCTCGACTTGCTTCGAGCGCGCCTCCTATTCGACCCCCCCTCCTCCCTGTACAGCCTAAAAAAGAAGTGGGAAAGAAGGGACACACTCTGACTGTTTGAGGATCGGCTGCCGTGAGCAGAAAAGCAGCAGATCAGTCAGCACAAGGAAGCCCGCTCTGCCGACAGCACGAGCACGGCTGCCAGGCAAGCCAAGGTGCACAACAAGTTCGCTCGCTTGGCTGAGCCTCTGCACCTCGATTGCACAAGGTGCCAGGGCAGTGCAGCGAAGGAAGAAGGAAGGAATCGGCGAGATTCCAAAGTTATTTGCCCCCCTCCGCACCCCACCAGACCCCCTGGACGCTTTAACTGGACTGGTTGGCAGTGGCCGTCAGTGACTGCGAGTGGCTGCCAGCGGCTCCCGGGGCCCAGCGCACTCTCACCCACACCCACCCAAAAGGCCTCAGCCAAAGCTAGCATCAGCTCTAGACTTCGTCAAGCCCCCTCGAGCCCCTCGCAATTATTGCCGACAACCACCATACAAGCTCAAACCCAAAGACCTAGTCCTCAATCTTCCGAAACCACCGAATCCATTATTATTCTTCTCAGAGCGCACCCCCGGCTCGCATCGTCAACCCGAGACCGTTCCCCCGTCGCCCGCTAAATCAAAGCTATCCCCGAAACCATCTCCCCCAAGGGAACGCGTCCCCATTTCACACCTGTACTTGTTCCAAAACATCTTGCAACTCTTCATCACATAACTCGTCACCCAATATCTTTTCGCCTACACCTTGTTGTTTTTCGTGTACCAGTTGGAACTTTCTTGAATACGCCTTCTTGCGGCGCGACAATGTCGCCTGCTGTCTATCCTTACACCGTCACAAACAGCTACAAAGGGTATGTTATTGTCTCCGGTCTTGAGGACCCCTGCAAGTGATAAAGAGCTGACTTGGAGTTTTCTTTTATCAGGGGCCTTTTCATGCGTACGTACAGCCGCAATGTGCGGCGCGCTTGGGATGGCGAAGACTATCGTCCACCAAAGCGCCTCTGCCTCAACGACGCCTGGAACGCGCCCTCTACCGCGGCGTCAAGCGAGAATGCAATCCACCCTCTCGATCTCGAAGACAGCCTCGAACGCGCCATTCGAGAAACCAGTGTCGCGGCTCTATCATCCTCACCTTCCCGAAAGAACAGCACCGTCTTCTCTGCAGAGTCCCACGAAGAAGACATGGGCTCTAGTACAATCACGCCACCCTCCTCGCCACCGCCTGGCTTGCAACTAACACCACCTAATGCCAAGGCTCGAAAGCCTACATTCTCGTTCCTCGACAAGTCTAAGAAAGAGAAGAAGGATCTCAAAAACGCAAAGCGGAAACGCGAGGAGCAGACGAGCGGACCGAGTGGGCCTGGAAGTACGCGTCACGATTCCGAACCGCTATGCGAAATTTTCAACTCTAGCACACGCGTTCAAAGCTCGCATTCTTCGGGCAATGAGCCCATGCTTCAGCCGGCTCCGGAGAGGACGCCCGTGGCGCGACCAACAATACAGGTCCCGAAGCCGGCGCCACCGAAACAGAAACTCGTTCAAACAATACTCGATCTAGGTCAGCCGCTTGTCCCTACCACATGTTCACAGTGCCAAATGTCCTACACGCCTTCACTTCCAGAAGACACGCAATTGCACAATATGTACCACAATCGCGACAGCTCGGGCATTGAACTTGGAAAAGCATTTCTCAAGTCAGCGATGCGATGGTGCTATCAGGTCTCGCATATCCCGGGCAGCGTTGTTGTGGTGGATCGAAAGATGGCCCTCCCCAGTCGACGCGTGGTTCAGAAGGTGCTAGGGATCGTAAACAAGGAGCTCGGCAGCGTGGATATCAAAGAGGAGGAGTTGTGGAGCCAGCGCATTCCAGACGGAGAAAAGGACGAGGAATCGGGTGGCCGCAAATGCGACAGATTCAAGGCTTTCTTGCACATTATCGACGATAAGTGTGTCGGTATTTGCCTGGCAGAGCGTATCACCAAAGCCCATCGGGTCTTACCATGCGAGACCACAACCAGCGAGACAATCCCTCTGACTGCTCACTTCAACCCTGTTGGTCCAGCTTCACCCGCAGCCACCGAAACGAATGACGAGGACAATAATCGAATGGCGCAGAAACCGCAAATTCCCACCCCGATTGCAAGTCCCACCTCGTCATCGCATCCGTCAAGCATCAGCATCTCCGAGGAGACATATCCAGCCGTGGTGGGCGTCAGTCGAATTTGGACGAGCAAGGCTTTCCGTCACAAAGGCATTGCGAACAATCTTCTAGAATGTGTTATGAGCCAATTTATTTACGGCATGGAAATTGAGCCAGCGCAAGTGGCGTTCAGTCAGCCCACCGAGAGCGGTGCGGCCTTAGCGAGAGCATGGTTTGGGGAGGAGGATGGGTGGGCTGTTTACAGAGAAGAATAAATTCGACAACTTGTGTTAAATATGACGAATGAGGGCTTTTGCTGCCTTGAAAAGAAAGCATTGCATTAACATGGGATGGCTTATGGCAAAATGAGAGGGCAGGATGATCCAGCATTGGATTTCGATCATGGATTTCAGGTGGGTTGGGTATACGGAAAAGATCAGGATGAGAAAAGGAGGTTCACGGTGGGTGTACATCAGGGTGTGCGTGGTATGGACGGCGAGAGACACTGTCTTCAGTCGGGAGAAGAGGTCGATGCCGTCACTTCAACGAGACTCGTGCCTAGGACTCGAGGTTACAGCCCCCGAGCTCAAGATCCAGGCGAGTACAGGCTGAACCAGTTCCCATTTTCAAATGTACAATTACAAGGATGCTTTGTTGATTGCTGGAGTGAATGCAAACAGGCCTCGATGAGGCATTTTCGACCGCCTCTGCTGATTTGAAAGTCTCTTGCTCTACTTCTCCTTGATGAGGCGTCCGAGCAAGACAATTCACACAAGTTTGCTTGATGGTTCTTTCTCGAAGACAATATCGCATTGCGATTGGCTGGGTGGCAGGCAAGTTTCTGGGGCGCCTGAGTAGCAATCATCAACGACCCAACTTCACCGCTCCCGTTGACCCTTTCTTGTGCATGGACAGCCTCCTTGCAGCGACATGACTCCCACAAAGTCTACCTTACCTTCTTGGTAGATGGAGTACCCACAATCAGCCAGGTTGACTACGAGTAGGCTGATCCTGAGGCTGCAGGTGTACAAGTGAGAACCTACGGGTCCTCCATACCTTATGCACATGCGCCCGACCTCAGTCACAGCCTCACCAGTCGCAGGAGTCAACCTTGTGGACTCGAAGGTTCTACTCGTACCCTACCCCCTGGACCTCCACCTCTGCGCTTCACGGTGTCCGTTTGCATGCCCAAGTCTGGAGCTCCGACAAAGTACCTGTAGAAACAGAAAGAATCAGCGCGGTTACAAGAACTACAAGTACTACCGAAACAGGTGCGGCATGGTCAATCGAGGCGAGCTACCCGTCCCTTGCACGCTATACTCCATACGTCTACCTCGAGAGCTCGAGTCCGTGCGAGTACTCGGTACCTTGCCAGGCGCCCCAAGAAATCTCGCGTCTGCCGCCTGTTCCGCGAGGGAACTTACGAGCTCCAGGAATGAGTGCCCATTCTCCAATGGCATTTACCGATATCCCAGACAGTGGATAATCCCTTGGCGAGTGCTGGTGATTAAACTGTGTTTCACAAGTCAATCGATCTTGATTCGCCACGCGGAAATCAAGGAGGAGGAGAACAACCTATCAGGCATGATATGCATTATTACTGAGAAAGAGCAAGTGGACCAACAAGAGCATACGGGTGTTGGCACTGCACCAGATATCCAACCCGCAAGTATGGTTTGATGATGGCTCGATACATTGAAATGCTGTGGCTGGGAGCCATTCTACTCGTATGCCACGAAGTACGAGGTATTGGCTTGCCCATCATCATCGAGTCGAAGGGACTTTGGCTTCCATTCAATACCTTTTGGCCATAGCGCCTAATGATCCCTCGTGCTGTCTCATGGTTTGACATCCGAGCGCTATTACGGAGCACAAGTCGACGACGAGCACGGTTTGAAACCCCGCTTCAGCTCCTCGGACCTTTTGCCTACAGCTAAGTGGCGGCGATGTATGAACCATACCGATGATCGAATTACTCTTTTTTTGTGACTTTTGTCTTAGACTCTTCAGAGCTCGAGAGTCACAATCTGGTCTGAAAGGGCAGTCCATGCCTCAACCCACCCGCACCTGGAAATCGACCCCAAGCACGATAAGTTGCGTAAGTCCTTTGTTTCCCAAGCCTCCAAACATTCCGACTAGTGTTACAGGTATGCACGATCAACATGGCCACAAAAGCTTTGTTGATAGCTAGCTATGAAACGCTTGACGCTGGTTACCTCCGAGCCAAAAGCCACATAACTTGCAAGGGTAGTTCACCCAGAAGAGTTCAACCTCCAGGAGAGCTTTTGCCGATCTATTTCCGGCTTCCCAGAGAGAAGATAGAGATTCCTTGATATTATCAGTGCTCGATCCCGAGTTAGGATGTGGTCGAGATCTCCACAACCTCTTCACGGTTTTTGCCGGAGGGTAACGAGAGCTAGCGTGCCACTGAGCTCAACATCGACCTGCACTTGCACAGGCACGACTGACGAATCAATATGACGAATCAAACGACCATGATTTGAACGATGGTGGCCAACTCGGCATTCTTCCATGTTTGTGGAGCACAGTCACAATAATCCTACAAGTACTAATCGGCCCCCATCCCTCCTAGGTATAAGGTTTTGCCTCTGAGTGCAGTGGAAACATGTCCGATGCTGTGTGAACGGCCCTGGTTCTGCAGCTTTGAGGCAATTACAAACTCGTCGTGCAAACACCTTGCGTGGTCTCTCACTAATCCACTGGGCACCGGACAGCCAAATGGTCGATCAGGAACAATAATGAGTTTCAAATGTTGAGTATGGCGTGCGTCCGATGGCTCCGATGATTACGAACGATTTTTCATGGGCGGATTGGGTCTCTCCCGCTTGCCCGTGTCTAGAGGAGAAGTGCAATTTTTGGGTCCTTCAGGTAACACAAATGTCCACACCGAACTCTCCCAATTCAGTTCCTCGTCGATACCGTGGACTTTTTTTTTCCTTTCCACCAAGCCAATTTGATGGCAATTCGAACGGGGGGGCAAGTCAAATAACGCAATACCAGTTCTGCGATCCAAGGAAATGACTCAAGAATTGACGATGGTAGGTACTGCTTTTGACCTCAAAGGAAGGACTGCGCTGCTCCTGGACGGGAATGAGAGAAGGCGTGCCATTTTCGTCACTATTGGAATTTGCAACGCACCATTGTCCATATGGCAGAGAAATTGAAAGATGGCCAGGCTACTCCGTAGCTCAACAATGTTTGCCACCTCTCCCACGCGAGGCCGTCGCAGCATCATCGCCAGAGATGGGCTGTGCCTCGCAGGGTAACAATTGGACCGTCCCTTGCTCTAAAGGGAATCTCGCCGTTGCAGCAACTCTCCTGGTCCCCGTGCTTGGAGACGCAGATGTCCACACTGCCTGTCTCCAGCGCTTGCCAGACTGTCCGATGAGGATCAAGGATACGAGATATCCTGCGCACCAACTACGTCCAGGACGTGGGTAAATGCGCCGTATAGACGTGGAATAATGTACTCTGGGCAGGTAGGGAGCAGACATTCATTCCACACCAGAATGCAACGAAGCCAGCAGCAGGACAAGCGTAGCATAGCAAGAAAAGCAGTCTAACCCAGATTTCCAAAACCACGATATTCCATTGGCTAGCTGCGTCGAATACCGCTATGCCGTTTGAGGAAATTAAAATCTGGAAATGGCATAGCTCGAAAGAAACAGTCGCCAAACAGGGCGACGACCACGAGGAGATGCGTTTGAGGCTGGTGTAGGCATGCTCATCGCTATGTGCTTTCGATAGTGATTCCGAGAAGTTCACGACCCGTGTGTGTGGCTATATAACGTTGAGTGAGGCAACTGTTGGGCTTCAAAGGTCTCCAGAAAAGCTTTAATTTTCACGGGCCTACACCAACAGTCCAGAAGCGAAAACTTCTTTGACCCTGTCTCAAATGCGTCGTGTCCTGTATATAGAAGCACGAGAGTGCTTGCAATAGGTCAGAAGCAGAGGGTAGAGGTGCCAGTTCGTGCCCTGAACCACTATTCAACCCTGGATATAAAGTCTATGACCGTCCACTGTGCTCCCAAGCCTTACTTATCAGGCATTTGAGTACAATAGTGGAACGGATTGAACCCAAATACGGATGGGCGACCTGTTGTTATCGTTGGTGAAGCACCGCTGGTGCTTGTGTCAGCACCTGATAGATACTGGACAAGCGGTTCCAAAAGAGCCTGTACAGTCTCCTGGTCCTGTCCCGGCATGCCGGTGGAGGGATCATCTTCCGTCCTGGTCGTTATTGTACCCCGCGTGTACATATCCTGGGATCGCAAGATGATGGGCAAACTCCCCAGATGCCCCCTGTTTCTGTCTGCGCAGGCCAACAGATGGTACAAGGCGCCAAAGATCGTCAATGGGTCTGGCTCGGTTTGCGGCGGCGTCATTTCGAGATCAAAGCACACGCGGTCAGCTGAGCGGGTACTCGCTGATCTCAAGGACTCCCAGCGCGCAGCCACGATGCAGGACCAATACAACACCGGTCGAGGATGGTGTGGTCGATGGAGCCCCAGTGTCAAGGCCATCCGACACGCGGACGCTGTCATCATGGACTGTTGAGAAAACCGGGGCGAGGCGAGCAGCAGGAGGAGCGACTGCAGTGTCGACAGTGTAGGGAGAGAAAGCAGCTCGTAGGCATCAAAGCATTCGTGGATGGACCGAGTGATGTCTTCGACTAGGGCGGTTGTACTGGCGCTGGCGCCAGCCAAGTGAGCCGACACAAGGCAGACTGAACGGAGTAAGAGCGGAGAAGGATAGGGATCCTGAACGAGTTCTCTCTCCCAAACAAGTGGCCAGTGAGGCGCGATCGTAGAGAAATATCTTTCAATCCCAGTCAGACAGAGAGTGATGGGCCCCTGTTACCTCTGAAGACAACTTACCTGTCAAGAAGAGAAGCTACAACTGTCGAGGCTGTTGAGGGAAGATCGACTTTCCACGACGTCTCACTTCCGTCCTGATCAGTTTGGATGGCTCGATGAGAGGTTGGCTGCTGGTCCTGGTCGAAGACACACTCTGTGCCTCTAGACACACAGGTTCTGCAAGGCGGTCCGCCCTCGCAACTGCGCTACATCGTCAGAGCAACGTCTCGATGTGGACAGCTGCGTTCTTTTTCTGGACTTACCGTCGCTTGGACGAGCGACATTGTTGACAGGCTCTGCCTGTTCGCAAGCGCTTCATCTCCCTTTCTGCATCATTGAGCGAGTGCACCAGCACCAAGGGCGGGTCAAAAGGTGGAAATGAACAGAACTTGAGAGAGACAGTCTCGATGGGATCTGTGGAAGACCATGTTGAAAGTTCGGTGACGACACTCAATCAAATTTGGGGGAAACCCTCGAAGCTCAATAGGGGCGGTAATTAGTACCCGAGGCGCCCAAAACAGACACCTAGGTATAACCACCCAACCTAGAGGTGCCTACCTGGACTGGTGGTGCTAGGTGCTGCCATTCCGATCAGCTGACCCTCGATCGACACCGTCGCTACCACCATCAAATCTTTCTTCTTCCACCCGTCCAACTTCACCAACTGTCCTGACGGCCATTTTTCTCCTGTCCCCAAGTCTATGGCGCACCATATTTGCGACAACTGCCGCAGGTAGGTCAATTTTCCCCGTCTCGACATATGTAGGCTGAATTTCTCCTCAAGACTCAGGTTGAAATGCCAATTCGAACACCCTCCATATTTCACACTTTGTTGTTCTCGATGTCGACAATACAGTCTTTCCTGCGAGTTCGAGGGCATTCCCTGGCCAGCACGGGCTCAGCGGGCTTTCATGTCTTCTACCCCCAAAGGTTTTTCTCGAAAAGTCTACTGGGGCCCTTCAAGCAATGCCGGTGGGCATCCGATGGATCTCCACGCCGCAAAGGAACCACCACCTGAGCCAGCCATGTTACAGGCCCTGCACCCCCCGAAGTCTGCTGGCTTGACGACCGCCGATGAGCCAACAACGCTAGATCTCAGTCCAAATGTCAAGGAGCATCTTTACCTCGTCTTCTTTGAGCATATCCAGCCCGTGTTTCCCGTCGTCACCCATGCAAGTCTACGAGACTTTCCCGTCACGCCGCTGTTGGAAAGTGTGATACTTGGTATAGCCGCACGCCATCATCTTGCCATCGCTTCTTGGAGGGACTACGTTCACATACAGAAAATCATTGCACACGAGCTCAAGGTCCTCTTCAGTACACGGCACCAATATCAGCCGAGGATTCAAACCGTACAGGCGCTTCTGCTCGTGTTGACAAAGTTTGAACTCGTCACACATGGCCATGGCGACATCATGTCCACGGGATTAAGACTTGGACTCCTCTGTAAGATGGCCAGGGATTTGGGCCTAGACAAGGCATCCTCGGTCGTGACATCTGACGGTGAACATCTCAACACAGTGTTGTGGAAGGGCTGCCTGTTTGAGGATGCGATAATTTCCGCCATGATGGGCCAACCTCTCAATCTCGTCGTGTCGCCCAAGGAAATCACGGCGCTACCGAGCCAGTCCAGCATCCCAGGAGACATATTCTTTGGTGATGCTGTAGAGGCTTCTCACTGTCTCCGATCACTGCTCAGAGCAGTTTATGCAAGCCGACCCGTCGATGCTGATATCGTCCGGAACTGCGAGCAGGTTCTCAAACAGATACATCGCTACGGAGCAGACCTGACTTTCCTACAACACCATTCCGAATGCGAATATAAAGCGCTTTGCATGTTGCACCATAACAACAGACTACTTTTTGTACTTGGACTTGCCTCCTTGACAAACACGTCAAGTTACGCCCAAGAACTCTCTCCAATTCTAGCACAGGAAGCTGCTTCGACCATTCCGCAGGCCTGTCGGACCCTTATGTGGTTCAGCGTTGACTTTTATCTCCAGATGGCTTCTCGACTGAACCAATTGCTATACTGCGCTTCACGAGCCTTGATGCTTGTTGTGGATGTCTTTCTTGAGGCTCAAAGAACACACAATTCTTCAAAGGAGTTTATCCAAGAGCTCGAAAATGCTATCACATCAGCTACATTATTGAAGGATTTTCTACTCCAAGACACTTCCTGGGGTGCGCACTGGTCCCAGGGCCATACACTTGCAGCTGTCCTTGCTCGGCTCCAGCAGACAGACTGTCACCATCGGCATATGCCTGTTGAGCTGAAGAACGTTATTCGCTTCCGAACCCTTGACCAGGGCGATATTACTGATTCCGGGACCTTGGAGCCTCTGCGAAATACCGATGAAGTCTTGTACAGCGACGAGTTTCTCAACAACGTCCTCTTCAATTCCACAGACTGGGATTCCGTGTTGATGCACTACGAAGAGACCTATCCTCAGCCCATATGGTGATTTGAACTTGGTATCACGAGTAAAAGCTTGAGCCAGCACACCAATGGAAATACTAGACACATTGCCAACCCACTTCGACACCTGCTTGATCCTCAAGAGGCCTTGGTATTCTCCGTATGGATTGTCATCACTTCCTTTGTCTCCCCACTGAGCTCAGCAGTGGTGATTACGCCGTGTTTTTCATACTCGACGTGACCACGGCACTGGTAGGTACTGAAATCTTTCACCGAGACACCCTAGCAGATCGTCAGTAAACCACCCAACCTAAGTGTTTATCCAGACTTACATTCAAAAATAGCTCGTCAAGCTCCTCGAGAGAACGACCCTTCGTCTCTGGGAGGAAAAAGAGGGCCCAGACGAAACCAAGCAAGCATGTGACGCCGAATATGAACCCAACCTATATCCCACGTTAGGAAATACAAATATTGGATGTCGAGTTGAGCGTACCTTTGCACCCAGATTTGCCGCTGTTGGGTTGATCAAGTATGGCAACACGACTGCTATGAGCAGGGTGCCAGCCCATGATACTGCAGAACCCAAGGCCTGGGTTCGGGACCGCATCACATTGGATCCAATCTCTGATGCAACGATCCACGCGACTGGCCCCCAAGACCACGTGAAAAAGAAGGCGTACAGACAACTGAAGGCCACTAGACATCTTGCTGCAGCGACGCTACTGGGTGCAACAGTTCCAACGATGGCGAAGGTGAACATGCAGATAGTCTCAGCAGCAGCCCCCCACAGGAGAATAGTCCGTCGACCGAGAAAGTGAACCGATGGAAACATGATGATAATGCCGGCCAGTTGACAGACTTGGGAGATGATGCTCACGACAAACGCGTTGGAGATACCTGACACCGAGTAGAAGTATGTCCCGTACCTATGTCGGTGTAAGTGTCTGATCAACCCAGAAGCAATGCTGTGTCGTGGAAGAATTACCCGTTGATGAAGCTGATGCCTGACAAAACTTGCCACAAGAGTACGCCACAGGCGATATGAGTGCGTCGCCTATCGCTACCTCTGAAGGCATCCAAGAAAGAGCCGGAACCCTCAAGCTCCTTCTCGAGTCTGATATGTTTCGCGATATCGTCTACATCGGCATGTATTTGATGCTCTGGATATTTCTTTCCCCGAAGCCTCCGGATGGACTTGGCACTTTCTTCCACCTTGCCGACAGAGAGCAGCCAACCTGGTGCGAAGTCAGCCAAATTCAAATTTCCGGTCAGCATGTTCAAAGGTACCTACGTGGGCTTTCCGGAAAGAAGGAGGCAAAAACAATCAGGATGGTAGGGAAGACGAGCTGTGTGATGAGGGGAATTCTGTACGCCCATCTAGTCGACATCTTGTAAGTGCCTTGGTTAATGCAGGACCCTATGAGCTGACCAATGTTGATGCCAGTCTGGTACAAAGCGATCATCATCCCTCGCATTTGTGTTGGGGCGACTTCAGCTTGATATATCGGTACGAAACTGATGCACACGCAGATGTTAGCAGTGCGGCGCTATGAAGCCTGCAAGCGAAGTTCATCCAAAGTCAGGGACTTTGCAACCACTCCCAATACAGCAACGGGACAAGTCTCACTTCGACGCATAACCAATGCCAGCTATCAACCTTTGTTAGCTGGTTTGTGCGAATGATGAGGGAAAGTCTTACCTCCAGCAAAGAAGCGGCCAAGGAGTAAACCCCATACATGAGGGACCGAGATCTGGAAGATGACGCCAACAACAGCGACAAGTCCCATCCAGATCAGACCAAGTCTTCGCCCATATTTCGCACCAATGGGGCCTGCTGAGACTGAAGCAAGTGTGGCGCCAACAAGCAATACAGCATTCAAGGAGGTTTGTATCCGAGTTCGAATGTTGTACGCGTCCGTTTCTTCATCGAAGTATCCATAGTCCTTCAGAAAGCTTTGGTTGTCAGCATTGCAGTACCGCACAGACTCTGTGCCACTAACCTAACCATAGCTTGGAAGCCACCAAGCTCACCACTGTCTATGCCAAACAGAAGAGAACCGCACATGACGAAGCAGCATATCAAAATGGTCTTGACTTTGCTGCCCGAAGGCGATGCCATTGTATCTGTGGTGTCTGTGGTGCTCATTGTCAAAGTCTAGGTAAGCCCTCTGAGTGACTCTCGCAGGGTTCTTGTTGTCCATCCAAGCACGGGGATTTTCGCAGCTTTTACACAGCGATTTATTGCAGTCGGGCAACAGAAAAATCGTGAGCATTTAGACGTTCTAAGTGCGGCTCGTCGGCGATGAACCGCAACCTCCTGACCAATGTCCTTCGCTTCCCCGGGTTTACCCCGTTTCGAATTGGGAGGCGTTGCTCTTTCTGGCAAGCCTTGGTCGATGCTTGACGGTCTTGGGGTTCGTAGCTCGAGCCTCACGGTCCATCGCCGACCAACCGCAAAGTGCTCACCAATGGCAGTCACATCTTCAGACCCGAGTTGTTGTGCCGATGAGCTCGTGGCGTGCCACACTGTTGCTCTTGTGCGGTCCGTTGCCGACAAGCCGACCTCTACGTGGTGCGTTACTGGAAGGCCCACCGTTAGGGGGAGGCAGACTCTGGAGTGGAACATGCTCACAGTGACGAGTAGCAATACCAGCCAGTTATGTATAATTTCTTTTATCAATCTCCCTGTCCTGCGTTGTCGTGAGCGGTGGTGTCCCGATTTCCCCTTTCCAATAGTCCAGGCACCATTGACACCGAGATACGAGCTATGGAGAACATATCACTCGACAATGTTCGAGAGAACTTCAGTTTCCGGGCCGAAGACGTGCAAATCAATGGGTTTATATCGAAGCAGGGCGTGGCCAATTTTCTGGGTATCCCCTACGCCCAGTTTCCTGCTCGATTCCGAACAGCCAGGCGGGTCGACGTTGATCTCCTCGATGGACAGCTGGATGCATCTCGATATGGACCTCGCTGTCCACAAAAGACCGACAACATCCACCCTATGATGCACCACATGTTTGAGAAATTGTCAATGTCGCAGAGGTGCGATGAGACCACTTGCCTGCACCTCAATATATATGCTCCTCCACAGTCCATGGGTGTTGCGGAGCACTCCAGACTGCCAGTGTTTGTATGGATACACGGGGGAGGTTTCAACAACGGTGATAACACGACTGAATTTAGTGGGTGCCGACGCCTCAATTTTGGTAATATGACGTGCTGACCCCAAATACAGACGGCAACCACCTTGTGAGAAGGTCCATAGATCTTGGGAGGCCGATCATCATTGTGACTCTCAATTACCGGCTCAACGTTTTTGGCTTTTGGAGCTCGAGGGAGATTGTACAAGAAGCAAAGTCGCTTGGTGAAGTTCCCATCCTGAATCAAGGCCTCAATGACCAGCGTATTGGGCTTGAGTGGATTCAGAAGTCGATTCATCATTTTGGTGGAGACGCGTCAAAGGTCACTCTGTCCGGCGAGTCTGCCGGGGCTGCATCAGTCTGTTGCCATTTGAAAGGTGGCCACGCGCTTTTCCATCAGGCCCTGATCCAATCCAGCCCCAAGCCACGCTTGAGGTCGCTTGAGGAGGCACAGGCTGCCTTCGATCAACTTGTCGAATCGGCAGGCATAGCAAAAGATGCGTCAGACACTGAGAAACTGGCGAGTCTGCGGGCTTTGTCGGCAGATCGACTTGTCGAGTTGTTCGATGGCAGCGTGTCATTGCCCATCGAGGATCCCAACTGGTTTGAGTTGACCACCTCTTGGGATAGTGTGCCACGGTGGTGTTCGAGGATCATCATGGGCCACACGAAGGACGAAGCAGCACTCTTCCTGACACCATTTCAGAATCTGCCGGATGCAGTGCTTGCGGAGCATGTGCGCAAACTTGCCCCAGAGCTGATGGGGGAGGCCCTGTTCTCTGGTGGTAAGGATGCTTTACAGACTCTTACGGAATGGGCGACTGAAGAGACATTTGTACGACCGACGATGGATATGCTCTCGGACGCCGCAGAGCAGGGCACCACCGTCTACGCATATGAAATCTCCGTCGTTGATCCTTTCCCGGGTCCTCTGCATGGGTACGCGTGGCACTCGTTTGGAGTACCATTGACCTTTTACGAGCCTTCGGCCCGAGTCTATCCCCAGATCAAAGCGACACAGGATAAAATGTCCGAGGCGTATGTCGCTTTCTTTCACGGTCTCGAGCCATGGGAGGCGTTTAACGTTGCAAAACGAAAGATGTGCTGGGACGGTGAGCAGACTCGCTTGTTAGACTGTTCTGTGGTGGGGACGAGGGAGAAAGAGGACAAGACGTCGGATCTGCCGTGCAGGACATCTGCAGAAGCGGGCATGGGGATTATCGCTGCGGCGTTGAAGATGCAGACGTCCTAGTTGGTTATGAAGTGGTGATACTGGCCTACGTGTATGTGTTGGATCTTAACATGTGCTGGTGGCGTGCATTCACCCTCTTCCCACGTGAATCTTCGAGAGCTTGATCTCGCTTGTATTGAAGCGGGCGCGGAAACAGCAACGTATAGATATCTCTGAGGGGGTCTCCAGTAAAGAACGAGTTATGGACGGGTTCGTGCGGCCAGCAGTGACGGTGGCGGTATAGATTTCCATCTTGAATGCCTACTCTCTTTAACCGCAAGAAATGCCCCTTGAACAGGGGGCCCGCCCTTGGACTGGGAAAGAGAGCAGGATTGACGGCCATCTCCTGTGCTGTGCTGTGCAGCCTGCCTGCCTGGGTCTCTTTGAGAGCCTCGTATGTAGTCCAGATTACCCTGGTGCGTAGCTACCATAAGGGGGTCAGATTTACTCACTCGTCGCTATGCGATATATACAGCAGGACATCACCGTGACTAGATCGATCTGGGTACCTCCACAGGTCCACGGTTCCATGTTCTGTGGACATCCAAGGGTGTGAAGCCACTGGATAATTTGATGGATACGGCGGGATTATTGAACCTGTGGACATGGCCATATGAAGTGTGTGGAACAAATGGTGTGTGGTGGCTGTTGTTGTTATTGTCGTTGTCGTGGTGTAACTATGTATATTTTCATTTTATTTTCCAATACACGAAAAATAATTCCCTCCACAACACAAACCGCCATCTATCACCGTCCACATCCAACCACAAACAGCTCAACCTGTATTGCTTTACACCCACAATACAATACACAACACGATCGTAGGAAAACGTGTCACGGACGATATATATTCACCGTAAATCCACCCAAGACTTTTGGAAAAATGCGCGCTCTCGATGTGCCAATATCAAACGTCGTCACCGTCAGCGGATACACCCAACTAGCTAGCTGCAGCGTGACCGGTCGTGCGTCAACCGCATTGAACCCCGACCTTTCTTACATATCTTACGCATCCGGCATTTCCGGCGGGGACGAGCGATCTATTTTACTACGTACAAGGTAGGTACAAAGTACGAGACAGGGAGAGAGAGAGAGAGAGAAAGAGAGACAGAGAGACGAGTCTCGAGGGCAAGAAGACACTGGATAACGACAAGGACCTGTGAAACATGTACTCGATATACCCCTTCATTTCATACGAATATGCTCGAGCCACCCGAGACTACCTACCTACCTACCCACCTACCTACCTGTCCACCTCCCAAGCCTGCCAAAGCAATCCGAGCACGGCCCTCCCGACAGCGGACTAATTCAAACAGTGTCTGTCCTTGACGTCGGCGGTGTCGGTCCAATAACAACGACAATGACCTTGTCGGACTGATTCCACCGGACTGCATCTGATCGTGTCTCCACAGCACGCCCGGATCATCCATTACATCCATCACAACATCCACCCTCGACTGGACTGGACTGGACTGGATAGGAGAAAGAAGACATTTCTTGTCCTCGTAAAGAAGTCGAGCTGCGCTACAACTTCCGGTCAGTTCCAATAATAACGAATCCTTCCTCCGTGAGCGACCATGGAGGCGCCAACAGACACGAGACCCAGCCGACCAGCCGACTAGTTCTACCGGATCCGAGTCCTCCCAATTGGCCAGGGATGCACTCCTAGATAGGCAATCAAGCTGGTCTCCAGGGGGGAACTTGGCTGTGTTTGGGAACAATACGGCAATCAAGACAGGACGCGGACCATCTTCAGCAAGTTCATGGCCTTGACACAAGCTTGTCTGGCTTCACGACCTCAGGAAAACAACAGAGACATTGGATTTTGTTACTCATAGATTCGACTGCGCACCCAGGACAGAGGTGCTGAATGTCCACCCAGTGTCCATCATCCCTGCTCAATGCATCTCGCAAACAAAGCGTGCTTCTGAATTTTCCGAGTTTTGTACAATCCATTCCCACGTAGGCTACCACCACGTAGTGACGCTTCAGGAGATTATGCCAAAAGCATCTTCCGCGGGTCTTCTATGTATTCCTACCATCCATGTTAGACACAACGACACACGACATTCCATCAATGCTTACCTTGATCTTCACCAAGAATGTGACAGCCTCCCTTCCATCCAGCAGACGATGGTCGTAGGTCAGGGCAAGATACATCATCTAGCCAACTTTAGCATTTGGCACTCTCCACGTAGGTAAGGGAACTTACTGGTCTGATCTCGATCTTGCCATTGACAACCACCGCTCGGTCCTTAATGGCATGTAGCCCGAGCACTGCGGTCTGAGGCAGATTGATAATGGGAGTTCCCATCATCGACCCAAAGACACCGCCGTTGCTGATGGTGTACGTACCTCCGGCCATATCTTCAATAGTGAGCTTTCCATCGCGAGCCTGCGCCTCGAGGTTAGAACCAGCCACAACCACAGCGTGTGGGCCACTCACCTTCTTGCCCAAATCTGCAATGGACTTCTCAATCTCAACCATTTCCATGCTCTCTGCATTTCGGACCACAGGTGTCACCAAGCCTTTGGGTGTTGCTACTGCAACGCTGATATCCACAAAATCCCTGTACACAATGGTGTCGCCACCACCCGGACCTTCAATAGAAGCGTTGACAGTGGGCACTTCTCTCATGGCCAGAATGCTAGCTTTGGCAAAGGCACTCATGAAGCCAAGCTTGACGCCGGTATTCTTCAGGATCTCATCCTTGTACTTCTTCCGGAACTCCATAATGTTGGACATGTCCACTTCGTTGAACGTGGTTAGCGAAGCAGCAGTGTTCTGGGACTGCTTGAGACGCTCTGCAATTCGCAGACGCATGCGGTTCATTTTGACCTGGTCCACGTTAGCCTTCCTAGCCTAGAGGAGACATTGCCATATGCCTGCCTACCCTGTTCTCGTTTCTTGTGCCTTTGCCGAATGGCGACTCAATTCCGGCTTTGGACTCATCTGGTTTCTTCTCCTCTTTGGGAGGCGGAGAAGACTTCTTCTCTTCCTTGGGTGGAGCGGGCTTTTCTTCCTTCTTGGGCGGAGGGGGAGGGGCCTCTTCTTTCTTCGGCTCCTCCTTCTTTGGCTCAGGATCTGAGCTCGTGGGTTTTTCTTTCGAAGCAGGCTCCTTGGGCTCTTCCTTTGCTTCTTTAGCGCCTCCGCCGCCTCCTCCACCAGGTTCGAGCTTCGCAATTTCCTGCCCGACTGTCACAGTGTCTCCCTCATTGACGAGAAACTCCTTTATTGTGCCCGCTTCCGGAGAATTGACCGAGACATCGATCTTGTCCGTCTCGATAGACGCAATCTCCTCATCTTGCTCGACGTAATCCCCGACTTGTTTTGTGAAACTGCTGAGGGTACCTTCAGAAATGGATTCGGCCATCTGGGGCACTTTGACAATCGTCTCATAGCGGGTAGGCGAGGTACTAAACTGCTGGTACCGCGATAGGGAGGCGAACGTAGGCGCAATCGACGGCCGTAAGCTCGAGACGCAGATTTGTCGAGGTGTAGGTTTCGATCTGAGAACACTAAAGGTGCGGGAGCGTAAAGACGCACCACACTTTGGGAGTGCAAGCGTAGAGCTCAAGGCTGGCGTCCGTCGAAGCCGGAGAGAGGCCATGTTGGAAAGTTGGTCCGGCGAGCGTAGTACAGCAACACAACGAGGGTAATCGATGCTCCAGAGAGCGAAGGAGCTCAAGGCTGTAGCATGCGAGGCGGGGGGACCGCCGCTTGGTATAGAAGAGAATGAGAGGAAGGACAGAGAAGTAAAAGTACTTCCTGACTGTAATGTTGTCACCTCGAAAAGAAAGAGGCGGAGAGGGATCGACCTCTTGATTTTGTAGACCTGGGAAGGGAAAGCTCTTTCCGAGCTCTAATTGGACTGTGCTGGGCATACGCAGTGACTGACGTCCGGATGGAAAAGTCGCGCAGGCGGAATTGGGCCATTGGGCCAGATGCTCCACCCTTGCTGCCACTCGAACCGTAGCCCGAGACGAGCAGCAGCGAGAACCGGCAATAGCTTGGACGCCAAGCCTGCGCAAGGTGCCAACTGCATCTCCAATCGACTCATCTCCATTACACACTCAACGAGAGGTCTTCAGCAAGACGTCAAGCCATCGACATAAACACAGAAGCGTCAGGCCGGAGATCTGGGGACGCAGCTGACCGCGCACGACTTCTCCGTGGCCGTCTCCTTTCCGTTATCGACTGAGTGAGAGTGTGGGGAGGATCCCAGGGCTCTCCAGCATGGCAACTCTCAGTCCTCACGTCAAGGCTGTCCGGTGAGTGATTCGAAGGACAAAGAGCCACATATTGTCTGCCTACTTGCTCACTCAATCACCCTCAGAAACCTTTACCGGCGGTCGCTGAAGCTTGCGCTTGACTGGGCGGTGCAGCGAAACCTCTGGCGCGGCCAAGCAGTATATATCCGGTCACTCTTTGATGCGAACAGAAATATCACAGATCCAAGACAACAGAGAGTACGCAGATGACCTCTTGCACATGAACCTATTGTTCGAGCTCAGAACACCAGGCTGACCTGTGATGGAACCAGATCCTCTTTAATGAGACGGAAAAACTGCTACGGAAATGGAAGCACCCTGACCCTTACAGACCACCAACTGCCCCAGGAGGTGAGATTTCCCACACCACTTGTGCAATACACCAGCTCATCTGTCGTGTTTACAGGCTCGAAATATGAACGAAATCTACCAGCCCCAGACTTGCCGCCACCGTCGAGAGAGTTTGTCAAGCGGTTATGAGGTGGTTTTGTGGTGTCATTGATGGATAGGTGGAGAACTTGTACATACTGTCGCAGCGAGCGGAAGAAATACCTGGTTCACCGCAAAGGCTGATTTACAAAAAAAAAGCTCAAGAGAGCTTCAAACTCCAGAGTCCCTGCCCGATCCTTTTCCTCGAACTCAGGTGCCAAAAACGCCGGTGGAAACCAGCCGATCTATGCTTCCTCGCCGGCTGCTCGCACTTCTATTTCCCGAGAATTCGTGTTCACGTGGCTCGTTTGATCATGGGCATCATCCCAACGCGTTGAGATCTAGTGTTTTGTTTACCTGGCCCGAGTCCGGTTTGCGTGTCAACCCGCGAACTTGGCCACGCATTATCAATAACCCCTTCGTTTGCGCTCTGCTTCTCGCACCCACGAAGACAAACGAGAAAGGAAGCAGGTTTGTAATGAATTGCCATTGAGTTTGGATCATTAAATTTGCTGTCTAATGATCACCATTTGCAAAGCCATTCGCTTTGCCATTTGCATATCTCATGCCCCGTCTTGCATTCCTATCCATGTTCGTGATGATAGTAGGCATGCCATGAGCATAATGTACACAACCCTGCCGTCCGATGATAAAGCACAAACTCTGAAAACAAGGCCTGTGAAACCTGGCCAGCCCAACCCCTGAAACCCCGCGTTGTGATCGCATTTGTCGTGAAACTCCCATTCAAAACCCAGTTCAGAAGAAATTTGCAGAACGAGCTTACAGCTCTTGGCTGGGGTTCTTGCCCTTGGCGGTCTTCTTTGGCAGCAAGTCTGTGATAGTCAGTATAGGCAAGTCTTGTGGAATCTCGTGTAGGCAGAAACGTACTTTGGTGGATGTTGGGCAAGACACCACCCTGGGCAATTGTGACGTGTCCCAGCAGCTTGTTCAACTCCTCGTCGTTTCGGATGGCCAATTGAAGATGACGAGGGATGATACGGGTCTTCTTGTTGTCACGAGCGGCGTTGCCGGCAAGTTCGAGGATTTCAGCCGCAAGATATTCAAGCACGGCGGCAAGGTAGACCGGAGCACCGGCACCAACACGCTGAGCATAGTTGCCCTTCCGCAGGAGACGGTGGACACGGCCAACGGGGAATGCGAGACCAGCCTTTGAGGATCGGCTGCGGTATAGTTAGCATCATGGTTCAACAGTTTCAACATGGCAAAGGCCACAACCAAATGCCACAGATAGAATCCAGAGTGATGCGACAAGTTTGGAAGGGTGATAACTTACGATTGAGCGCTCTTGCCGCCAGAGGCTTTGCCGCCAGATTTTCCGCCAGTCATTTTGATTGAGTGGGTGGGATTGGGATTGGTTTGAAAAGTTGGAGTTTGTGAAATGAAGTGAAGATGGAAAGCTGGTGCAGAGTGTGCGATGGAAACTTGGGTTGACGATGGATGAAAAGAGAGAAGGAAGCGATGATGGAAGGCGGGAGGGAAGGGCAGTTATAAAGGAGTGAGGATAGGCGGCGATGCGGGTGGTGGGCAGTTGAGTCGCGCCTCCAGATCAACCTTGGAGAACTTGTGATGAAAGGTGCAGCGGGAGAGGAGTGCGCTAGATCACGGAGCCCGGATTGGGCCAATCGTGGCGCGAGGAAGGGAATGATCAAAAATGACTTTTCTGATGAGTTTGACAATACGAGTCAGCATTACATTGCGTTACCATATCTTTCTGCCAAGAGTCATGATCCTGCAATTTGACTGGATCAAAAACTAGCAAAATCGACACAATAACAATACGCTGGGAAAATCGCGCAATTTGTTACCCGGATCAACCCCTTGGAGTCGACCGCCTGCGTCTGCCACTTCGCATCAACCCGCGCCCTCCCTCTCGCACTTGCGCCTGGTATAAGAGTCGCCGTCACCCACCTTTCACACTTCCATCTTTCCTTCCTTCTTCATCCATCCATCAATCATCACGCTCATACGCCTCCATCAGTCAATTTCATCTCACTTACTACTTTCATCCATCGTCGCTTTTTGCGCAATCAACTCAATCACCAAAAATGCCTCCAAAAGCTGCTGAGAAGAAGCCCACCACTGGCGGCAAGGCCCCAGCTGGAAAGGCTCCCGCTGCCGAGAAGAAGGAAGCTGGCAAGAAGACTGCCGCCGCTCCCTCTGGTGACAAGAAGAAGCGAGGCAAGACACGAAAGGAGACTTACTCTTCATACATCTACAAAGGTGAGATTTCAATCCTTCGCGCGAATCGCCTCTTCAATACTGACGCGTCTCTTCAGTCCTCAAGCAAGTCCACCCTGACACTGGTATCTCCAACCGCGCCATGTCTATCCTGAACTCTTTCGTCAACGGTAAGTCACTTCGCGTTCCGCAATTGACACCCATTCTAACGTTTGCCTAAGACATCTTCGAGCGCGTCGCCACTGAAGCCTCCAAGCTTGCTGCTTACAACAAGAAGTCCACAATCTCATCCCGAGAGATCCAAACGTCCGTCCGATTGATCCTGCCGGGTGAACTTGCAAAGCATGCTGTGTCTGAGGGCACAAAGGCTGTCACCAAATACTCGTCTCAAAGCAAGTAATTGGTTTCAATATTCATGGGGATGGTTGATTCTTGGCTTTTGCGTGTGTTTTCTGCAAACGGGGTTGTGGGCACAAATGGAACAACGGTGTTGAAATGGGTTTTTGATCAACACATTACGATGCGTCATGGGAATCGGGGATTATTGACAATGTGATGAGCTGTCCACGGTCATGCTTGCTCATCAACAGCAATCATGCTTTACGAGTCTCTACAGAGAGAAGCTTTCGCGTTATGTACAATATTCACCACGCTGAGGCCTGAAGTTTCAGAGGTTCAGTTCTTGCTGGATTTGTGAGACATTCGAATTGAAAGCATGAAATCAAACTGTTCAGTCTCTTCAATCTTTGTTTTTGTCTTCGCGCGGCGCATTGGAATTGCGAGCATGAAATTACTACGAGGGTTGAGATACCAGGACTCATTGTTTTGGTACGCGTTCTCTGGGGTTGCGCGCTAGAGGCGCCACAAAATAGACATGAACCACGTGAACGTAAACAGGGCCTGTTGCCCACAGCGCTTCTCTGCAATGTCCAGGGACGGTTTGGTGATCGCACGGTCAAGAAAGCAAAACATTCGTCCTGTTCGTGAACAGCCGCCCGAATAGGCGGACTTGTTTGTCTCTCGGAGCACGACCAGATTGATCCAAATTCAGGTCCCGACCAGCAAAAACGCCGACAAGATTGACTACATTCCGCTTTCGTATAGATAGATGATAGTCTTTGCCCAGTTTCCATTTCCTGACAGGCCAAATACTCCAAAGCCCCCGGTAGTCGTTAGCCATATTAGTAGTGATACTCTTTGTTTGTCTCTTGTCACGCGTAGCGTCGTACTCGTCATCGCACAGGTGACACGTCTTTCTGCAGCCAGAGGACCGTGACAGTGTCGTTCCCTTGCCACAGGATCGTCAACCCTGGATTTTGACGGGATCTTGCGAGTTGGCGAGTCCAACATGGACTACATCGCTTTGCCCTTCCCCTGCCACTTGGTGGTCGACTTTGATACCATCCTCGTCTCCCTCGCCCTCGGGTTTGGCTTGATCACACTCTTTCCCCGTGACAGTCACCGTCTCGTCATCCTCATCCTCGTCATCGAATGTCTGCACCTCGTCCACAGCCTCCTTCCTCTCGCTTGTTTCGCCGGGCACCGGCGGCTCCTTGTCAAAGACAGACACAATCGCCTTGCCTTTGACCTCTTTTATCCTTCTTTTCCAGTCCTCCCAATTTTGTTCGTCCTTGATGAGAAAACCGATAAGCATAGAGGGATCCATCTCACTTATTCTCAACCCTCGAAGACGGCGCGTATGGCATGTGGAGATTTCTTCCTCGGTGTATTCGCTTGGGTCAGAGTGATGCTGCAGGGCTGGGCGGGTCTCATGAGGGTCGAGGTAGAAGAAGAGGTCCCCTTGACACCCAATGAAGTAATGTGAGGAAGATGGCCGGCCACCCGCGATCCCAATTGACTGAGGATATGTGAGGCTGCTTTTGAGGGCTTCGTGATAGACCGGTGTAATTCGGTCCAGTCCCAGCCTGATTCCCAGAAGTATCAATGTAGGTCTGATAGTCAGATCAGTGGCGGAAGCGCGTGCGATGCTGCGGAACTTGTCTTCGTAAACTTCGCTTGCAGATGGGGTCACGTAGACTCGCAAACCTGCGGCAGCACACTCGGCGGAGAGCTCTTTGATGCATGATGCTGTGGCAGAAGGGCCGAACCACTGGCCTGGATGTGTACCGCAGGCGGATGCGCCGTGCTGGACGAAACGGTGAATGGAAAATGGGGCGAGGGGGGAGTCGGCGAAGAGAGAAAGGATAGAGGCCTCACTTTGTGTCTGGGTGACGGGAGGCGAGCCGAGGCAGTGACCATTTGGAGGAGACACAGTACGGTTGGTATATGTGTGAGGTCGCCGCCAGTCCCGCCCCAGATGGAGCATGACCAGAGCGTTTGCCAAAAGAGATTGTCCTGAGCGGATCATACATCCCCAGCCTGTATCGCTACTGAAGCCATCTCTCTCGGCAAAATTGCGTAGGCGAACGGAAAAGGACAAGGACATAGTAGAACCGGGCTCTTGCGAGCGAGGGATAGGCGTGAAATTGGAGCGGTAGGTCATCCATATCCGGGATTCGAAGTCATCAAGAAACGCGATGGGCCATCCCCGATCGGAAGGGTCGTTCGACAGTGACGGGAGATTGTTTCCTCCCGTGACATGCTGGGCATCATCAAAACTGCTTGTATTGTGCGATAGAGATTCATGAGGTTGCTGCTGTGTGGGTTGATCTGCTGTCGATGACAGAGCGCTCGTATCAGAAGGGTCATGGGAATCTGACGAGGACTCGACTTCAACCACATCGTCGTGGTCCGTTGTTGTTACCGGCTTGGGTGGTGCAGCCTGATACTCTTCTCCAAGCAGCCATATTGAGGTGCCTGACATGTCATCATATTTTGGTGGAGGGTCATAGAAGTAGCGCACGAAGCGCTTAACGTCGACGCCATTCATGACGTCTTGGGCTTGGAATGGGAGAGGAATGCTCTGAAGCCCGGAGGATATTGCATATAGGAGAGCACCGAACGGCGTCAGTGCCTGAGTAGGAAACTGGTTCGTTGGTTCCAGCAGAACTAGAGAGTCATCCACCTTCTGCTTGAACTCAGGGAGGATCGGTGACGAGTCTTGTGATTTGGAGGGCAGGGATGCAAACAGAACTCGGAGGGATTCCAGGTTGTCGAGGACTAGGCAGTCAGCTTGTGCAAGCCAAGGTTTCTTCGACAGTACTAATGATAGTATATGGTACACTGAAGCTGTTGCTGGATCGTGGCACGAATGTAGGTGCAAGGTGCGAGGTGCGAGGTGACTTTCACCGCAGTCAAGGGTGCAGGCCTACGGAGGATACACACGGACGTCAGCCTTGCTAGGAGACATCACCAGGCCAGGCTCGATTCGGGGTGGAGTCGCTTGGAAGATCGGCTGAAGAGCCAGGGCTGTAGGTGAAGTGTGACTGGTGGAACTTGCGGGCGCATTTTCCTGTGATCGCTCCCTCCACCTGGGACGGGCACCCCCAAGTCTTCTTTGAGCGCTGAAACATGACTCTACACCTGTATGCATGATCCACATCGCCACTCGTTGAGTAGATTGCTGGCATTTAATATTCTGCATTTCTATCTTGTTGACTCTTATAATGTTCACTTCTTAGTAACACTCATTGACGGAAATTCACTGTTGGAAGAGGGGCAACTCGCTTCGTCGTGGCACCCCGCCCATCATGGGTCCTCGTCAACGAGCGCAGGCTAGAAAGAAACGGAATGGAGGACAGCAGAATCACTCCCCGTCGACGTGGCAGCACGGACAGTCTGCTTTCCCTAACAGAGGTACTACAAGCGCGAGGCTTTGCCTTCCTTTTGCATTCTGACGAGATGAGCTAGGGCCCAATGCCTTTCACCGTGGTCTTGTCAACGACTGGCAGGACTTCTCAGACTTAAATTCTTCCGAATCCCCGAAGCCGAAACTGAGCATGGCTCAAACGGCTAGAAATACCGAGCGCCATGCTATGTCCTGGGCTTCTACACGCCTCAGAGAGCAGAGAATCACGTTCATAAGTGCCGGAGATCTGAAACAAGACGATATAGCTGCAGTCGCGAAAGAGAATGAACAATCCCAGAAGGAGGCAGTATCATCTGAAGAACCCTCTCACAATGATGAGCAAGTTCAACCCAAGGAGCTTGAATCACACGCGTCAGGGAATGAACAATCCAAGAATCACAATCCGACCCCGGTCGAGTTGAGTGTAGGGGAGCCCCGGCTAAGGAAAGACTCGATCTCGTCGCAATCTTCCGAAGAGATCATTTTCGCCGGACGACAGAACCGTCCAGCGAAGCCGGCCATCCCTCCCAGCACAGAGACCACAGTGTCTACCAAGCCCACAGATGTCGAGACAAGACCTCCACCTCATGCTTCTCCTGCGGCCGCAAGGGCGACCACTCGTGATTCCAGCTCATCTGGCCTGGACAAGTTCAACAATATTCTGCCGCCACGACGGAACGAAGCTGTTGACCGCCGTGGTCGTGCTCGCGGTCGACCAGGAAGCTTTCAGAGAAAGGAAGAGGAAGAAGCTATCATCAATGACTACATTGCAAACCTAGCGGTCGACGACAGCGACGAGGACAAGATTCCTGAGACCAAGCATTCGGTCAAGATTGGAAGGAGAACTGAACATTTCCGGTTCTTTGACGGCCCGGGCGAGCAAAAGGTCCACCTGCGAACTTCAAAAACAAGTAAAGCTGCTAGAGGATCTATCGATGTCGACCAAGCGATTGATTGGAACTCTGGTGATCTACAAGATTTCGATGATTTCAGCACCACTGATGAGGAAATTGTCGAGGTCAGGCATGTTCTCCGACATCGTACACGTCCCAGTGGTCCACAATACCTCGTCAGCGCACTTGGCAAAGACTCCAGCGATCCTCGCTGGGTGCCTCACGCAAAGTTGAAGTCGACCTCTGCTGTTGATGAGATCCGCATCTTTGAGGAAATTCGGGCCATGAAAATCCAAGAGACTACGAATGACTCGACCGACTCCGAATCATCAGAGGCCGACGAGCTTTTAGATGATGTGGATGATGATATGGAATCGGAGATGGATGAAAATCACCGGATACTAGAGCGCACCGCTCGAATGACAGACGAGCAGATTGCTCGGACGCTAGCGAAGCAGGAAGAGCTAGGCATGGGTGGCGACGAGCTGCTCTTGTTTGATGGGCAAGTTGAGGATGACGACGAGATCGATGACGAGGACAAGGACGAGGACGAAGATGATGAGTTTGCAGCTGGCGATGGGTTCATCCCCTTTTCTTCGAAGAAGCATATTTCCAGCCGCGTCAAGTCAAGGAAAAATCGACGCGAGCGTGACACTTTCCCATCTGCCACGGCTTTCGCAGATGCCCTTGAGCAGGATCCGTACGGCGCGTTCGACATCATGGATTTTGACCGACCCAGTCTCCGACCTAAGAAGAAAGGACGCAAGTCGGACTTGCCTTTCGACCTCGGCGTGGAGGATGAGGAGCTTGCTGAGCGACTGCGAAGTACCTGGAACAAAGACCGCGAAAAGAAGGCGTCTCGCAAGCGCGAGAAGCTGTTGGAGCGTGAGGCGGCTCTTTTGGAGGCATCCGAACGCAATCACCCGGCCGCCATCAAAGCAGAAATCCGACAGTTTCTGATTGAAGAAGTTAACACGTTGGAATTGGCCCCAATGGACTCAGCAACTCGTGCTTCCGTCCATCGGCTTGCCAAGTCACTCAAGCTGCAGTCAAAGTCGGAGGGCAAGGAGGGCCATGGTATCGGACGGTACCCTGTTCTCACCAAAGGTCCGCATACTCCGAGATACACGATCGACACGGTTTGGGAGATCGATGCCTTGATGAGCCTAAGAAAGTTCTTCCCGAAACGCCCACTCAATTCGTACAAGTCTCGTGGCACTCCCACATCAGGCGCTGCGAGAACAAAGAGAGGTGGTGGCGGAGTCATGTCTGGTGCGACCTACATGAATGGTGACGTGGTCGGTGCTTCTGCTCCGGAGATCGGCGCCGACAATAAAGGACGAGCGATGCTAGAGAAAATGGGTTGGGTAGAAGGCGTCGGACTGGGTGCTGTTGGAAACAAGGGCAGTCTCGAAGCCATCAAGCATGTGGTCAAGACCACACGAGCTGGACTGGGTTGAATACTCTGTGGATTCTCCGTGACTGGGTTACTGCGGTCTATTCCCGTGCTGAGATTCTGTGTGGAGCATCGTTCAAGAGTATTTGCCTGGGGTCTAGCCTCGAAGAAGATCGAATGAATAATTCGTGTTGGATGTTTAGGGTGGGAAACTGGGTGATTGGCCACACGGTAGTATCCCGAGTACGAGGGACTGAATCAAGTAACATTCCAAACACCAGCCAATAGAGCAGCTGAGAATACGGTCGCCTGCCGTTTTGGGAACATGTCCAGCTGCGGATGCCACAAACACAGTGAACTTTAGCGAAGATCTCGCAGACACTCGAAGCTTCAACCACCGTCTTGCCACGTATAAAGCGAACCCGACAACTTCAGAGAGGCATGTCGTCCTCGCCGAAACCTTCACCGCGCATCGACAGACTGAGCTTCGACCCTCCGCCATGAACGTTGTAATTGTCGGGGCTGGCATTGCCGGTCTAGCCTCATCACTGGCTCTCGCTAAATGGCTCTCTGAAACGCCACATATTACCGTTGTTGAGATTCGCCCACAGCCTTCGACAATCGGCGGCGCTGTTGGATTGACGCCCAATGCTCTGCGCTGCCTGCACCACCTGGGGGTGCTGCCACGAATCCGGGCAAAGAGTTTGGGGACTGACATAGACAAGATCGAACTGTTCACAATCTACAGCGGCGCCAGACTCGGCGAGATCAACTTCGTGGATCAGCATGGGGGTGGGGTTGGGGAGCCTTCGTTCAAAGGTCTCAGGATCCTGCGCACAGACTTGGTCGAGTCACTTACAGACACGGTCAAGGCACTCGATAACGTCAAGTTGGTGTATGGCCACAACCCAGTTCAAATTGTCGAAACGGAGAATGAGGTGACTGTCCAGCTGGATGACGGTTCCACCCTGAGCGCGGACTTACTTCTCGGGTGCGACGGGATACATTCCTTTGTGAGAACCAGCCTTGTCGACACGGAGAGAAGACAGCTGTACACTGGGATAGCCGCAGTGTTTGGGTTCGCAGAGTTGGAGGACGGAGCAAAAATTCCGTGGAAAGACACGGGATTGTGCCAGTCACAACGCGGCAGTCTCATGACCACCTACTACGAGCCGACGAGGAAGAAACAGTTTGTAGCAGCCATCACCGAGACCGCGGACGTTGCATCGAGAGAAGGGTGGCTGGCTCGTGGTGCAGAACAGGAGAGAATCAAGCAGGACATCCAAAGTCGATTCGGTGGTGGCGCCCTGCAATTCCTCGATCCTCTCATCTCAGCAACGGATCATTGGACCCTCTATCCCGTGTATCAACTCGCACCACGGGGCAATTGGTGCTCAAGACGCACAGTCCTGTTGGGAGATGCCGCACATGCAATGTCTCCTCAGGGCGAGAGCACGGCATATGCGCTGGAAGATGCCATTCTATTCGCCAGAGTCTTGGAATCCAGATCTGATAGTGCACTGGACGAAGTCTTCCGTTCATATCAAAGTGTTAGGAGGGCCAACATCGACAGGGCCTACGATGAGGCCAATTTTGGATGGGGAACGCAGAGCGACTGTGGTTGGTTCACATTCTTGCTGAGAAGCTGGATGACTACGGCTTATCTGTGGTGGACCGCTTCTGCCAGGCAAAAAAGATATTGTGAAGACGTCGCTACCATGTCCCTGGACTAGTACCGTGGTCGTTGGCTCTGGTTGGGTTATTCCCGGAAAGTTGGACACAAGGGAGCAAACCGGTTGTTATACCAACTGCACAACGTTTGTATGGGCACGAAGTATCTTGGCCAGGATCTCCATCGTGCTTATCGACCAAATTATCAGCAAGCTCAGACCACGGATGGGATCGAGTTTCAGGATAGATTTGACCGAGGAGACCAGGGATTGGTGGATCTGGCCCGGTTGGAAGCGTTGGCCTCTAGCCAGATCTTATCTTGAGAATCGGTCTGCGGCGTCTGGAGTCTCAGCCTTGGACTGGGCGGTATATGGGTCGCCACGTTTCAGGACAGGGATTCATGCCTCCTGGAGATTTAAGGACAAATCAGCAATGCTCCTTGTCCGTGCAAATTCCCACCACCTCAATCTCTTTTGTTCAGATTACCTTGGGTCAACGACATGGTTGAGCTTGATCGTAACTCTTGTTATGGGCTAGGTCAACCGAACAACGTGCTGCCACGACGCCATCGCTTGAGATGAAGCGACGCCAGAAGTTCGGCACGACATTCCGACCCCATGTATAGATATTGCCAGGATCTCTCAACGGTACTCGGTACATATATAATGCTCGCGCCTTCCATCCTTCCTGTGCACATGCTCTTCCCAAGCTGACACCAGCCTGCCGTTCTTTACTCTCGTCGATCGAGGTCCGTTCGTTCCTTCCGTGCCCAGGTGCCTTTTCACCTTCTGTCTTTTCTATATCAGCTGCTCCGACATTCTTCAGAAGCTTGAGCATCCTTCATATTGGTGTTAACAGCAAACATGCGTCAAAATATCATCATTTTGTCTGTTCTCCCGTGCATCGCACTGGCGTGTCCGGCACCCAGCTCTACTACCACACAGGGCCCCTGGGAGCAGTGTATGTATCCCAAAGTCGTTCCATTGACGCATTGTACTCACATTCACCAGGTGGCGGTATCAATTGGACCGGTGGCACGACTTGCACCTCAGGCTGGACCTGTGTCGAGCAGAACCCATATTATTCCCAATGCCTGCAAGCCAGCAACACTCCTCCTCCATCTTCACCACCAGTCGTTGAGCCTGTCTCACCTAGCTCGTCTCCATCCAGCACCCCAACGAGTGTCAGCAACCCAGCAACTTCCACCAGCCCCGCCTCCCCCGGCAGTGGTCTTACTTACAAGGCATCTTTCACTCACTACGGTGCCGGCGACACCTTTGGCTCCCCGAACTGCAACACGAATACAGCCGCCTGTTTCTTCTACACCTTCCCCGGCTTCAGTGCGGCAGTGTCCCAAAACCTCTATGGTGCTGGACCGGGTCAAGGCCAGGGTCCTGCTTGTGGGACATGCTGGAAGCTGGTTGGAGAGACGGACTCATCGGGGAACCGCCTCAGCAATGCAGGAACGAGCATCGTGGTCATGATCAACAACCTGTGCCCGGCCGATGGCAATCCGCTGTGTGCTCAGAATGGTCTATCGGGGACGAATCAATATGGTGCAAACGTCAACTTTGACCTCTGCAGTGACAGCGGAGCTTCGGAAGCATTCTTTGGGAACAGTGGCGTGGGTCTTGCAGTTGGTTCTGCCACGCAGGTCGATTGTTCTGAGTGGTCTGGGACTATTGTCCATTAGATGGGCAGATTTTGGTGTAGGGCGCCATTCTTTTCTTCAGCTGTGAGCTCGGTCAGGCTCCGATGACTCTAGCTAGCCTTTTATTCTTCAGGACGACCTGTCAGAGGACATCAGAACTCGAGGGTCGTTTCTAGCATTTTTACCTTTTTTTAGATTGTTGAAAGCCCAAAAAGCTTTGACGTTGGAATGAAGACGTGGTTCTTGTACAGCATTTCATTCTTGCGGTTGTCAAATTCCACGGTTCAGAAATAGACGCCAACAACGATGAACCCAAGGCAGCGTGCAATCATCATACATTGTCTCTCGTCTCCCGTCGTCCTCACTCTCGTCTCGGTTAGGAATGACGCACACCTGTCGGACTCGAGTAGAGATGCGATGGTGCAGTTGTGCGTGGTGCTGCTGCTGCTATAGAGCTCGTCCAGAGCCGTGCAAAATGAAATAAAAAGTTTGAAATAATCCCTCTGATTTTCCCCGCGCACATGTCAAAAACACCCCATGTCTCCCACTCCCACTCCTGCCCCCCCTCCAACAAAAATCGAACCTCGATGGATGAATGGAGAGTCTGGGCGTGGAATGAATCGTGAATCGTGAATTGTTAATTGTTGACCGTTCAGATCGTCTTCATTACTTGGTATCTATAAAACCAGGACTTGGCTTTCTCCACGAGGTTTTTCTTCATTCAGGATCTAAACAAACTAGATACTGCCTAAATGACCGGGTAACTAGGACACTATGTAGGTGCTACCAATGGGACATACATGTAGTATGGTATGGCATACGATGGCATGACACCCAATTTTCACATTGACTGATTGATCGCGCAATCAGCCCGCCTGCCCGCCACTCCCTCAGTTTGCTAGGTAGAGTAGGGTAGAGCATCTTCCCTTCGGATTGTGTACATACATAAATTCAACGAGGACCCCGATATCTGGAGAATAGGACATGTTCCGAAAGATCTCCTGGGGCAAAGCTAGGTAGGTAGGTAGGTAGGTAGTTTAGCGGAGGAGGGTTCGGTCAGAGATAGAAGTATGGAAGAATGGAATGACTTTCTCTAGAAATAGGTAGGTATGTACTCGGTTGGCAGTGAGTGAGGGAGTAGCTGGGCAACTACAAGTCGTCGAGGTTGCACGTCTCGAGCAGATCCTGCGTCAATTTCCCCTTCCTGCTGTATCCCTCGACGTAGCGGTCTCCCCACTCGCCCACCGTGTTGTCGTAGGTGGTCTCGGGTTTCAGTTCGCACAGGTGGCACATGTTGGCTTTCAGGCCCTTCATGAGGCCGAGTCGGGGATATTCCTGCACACAGAGGTAAAGAAGAGAAAGGGGGGAAAATCAGTAACGTCACAAAAATCTACGCCCGGAACTTCCTCTTGTCAAGGCATACATACCTTGACCACGGGGTTATATTCGTCCCAGCTCAACAACCCACCAGGCACCCGGTCAGGACCCTGAAAGTCTGCCCATATCCCATAACTGCACGCCTGGACCTCGGGCTCTTTCTCAAACACGATGGACCCGATAGTGTGCAGGGCAATGGCATCCCAGACCAGCTGCAGCCGGTGTTTGTCCCAGTCCGGAGCCTCAGCCGTCAAGAATTTCCGCGCCGCGTTGGCCCCATCGACCTCGAACCGCTTGTCCTTGGAAATAATGTCCGAGTGCGGCGGGTGGCCGATAGGGAAGCCCAGGTCGTGCATGATGGCGGCGACAGCATGGGCTTCGCGGTCGCGGTCAGGTAGGACCTTGTCAGCGATGATGAAGCCGAGGAGGAACGAGCGGACGATGTGGTTGTACGTGTCGTCGGTCGAGTACTTGCGCACATAGTCGAGGGCTTTGGTGATGAGCGGCGTGTCGGGAACGGTCACGCCTGCGACCACTTTCGTGGGCAGAGCCTGCGAGGGAGATGCCATGGGAGGGAGTGCGAGGAAGAGAAAGAGGAATCAAACAAGCTACTCCAAGGGCATACAGACAGTCGAGTCGAGCTCAATGGATAGAGCAGATAGGTCCCTCGAAAGACTCGTAGTAGTGGCAGGAAGTAGTGTTTACTGTGTACCGGAAGAGTACTTCTTACCTAGTAGCAAGTCATGGCTGCGCAAATTTGACGCGAAGCTGTGGACAAGTACCGAAGTGTTCGTACCTCAGCATTGTAGCTGCCCCTCCACCACAGAGAGGGGTTCTTGGTCTCTCTTGCAGGGATCCTTGGACTCGAACGTGTTCGATTCTGACAGGTACAAGACTTGGACATGGAGCATGCTCGGTTCCGTGGTAGCTTTCGGAACGGATCTTTGAAGCGGATGCGGCCAGAGCCCATCGATGGCTCGCCCAAGAACTTGGAGATGGAACCGTTGAGCTGGGAACAGGACGGTGTCTTGACTGGCGGGTCTAGTGACGAGTAAGTCATGGAAAGAAAGGCTGAAAAGCAGTGAGAAAGGTCCATGAGGGGCGCAGTTGGCGCAGTTGGCGGGGGCTGGTGGAGCGCAGGCTGGGAGCCTCTGTCCTCCTAGTCTCCCTAGCCGCAAGCCGCGAGCCAGACTCCGTGGTGCCCGTCTGCGCCTTCATCTTTTTGTCTTTCCTTGGTCCTTCGATGCCCACTGCCCAGTGCCTGGGAGATCGGCGCAACGAGTCAGCTCTGGCGGTTTGGTAGTCATGAGAGGAGTTCGTATCGGCGGCGAGGGTGGGAACCAAAGCTTGTGAGGCCAAAACACCTTTTTTTTTCGATAAATCCAACAACAAATGTCATCACCATTCATCATCTTTGCCTTTTTTTCTGTTTTTGCTCCCGTCGCTTATCTCGTCTTATATTGATGCCTCCTCACAACCTTGCTCGAGCCGCCGCGGGGACCTCGACCCCTGGTCCATCCTCGGCTACGCGCGAAGAATCTGCGTCTCACCACTCGGACGTTGTCGATGTACGCGTCTTACTCCCCACCGAATGATTTCTCTTCACGGTAATAACAGAGTATCTTTTCTTGCAGGTGGATGACGATGCCGATTCCGCTTTTGAGGATGGCGATAATATATCGTGAGTTTCGGAAATACTAGTACACGGGTTCTCGAAATTGTGGCTGAGACGAAGGTTTCAAGGGACACGACCTCAGTTGCCTCGTCGATATATCGAGGTCGGATAATAAACGGTAGAAGGTTGGAAATGGTTCCTGCTAGATGGACTCTTGAGTCCCTGAATGTCCCTTTCCTGTTGACACCTCCAGATACTCGTCTTTGCGAGATGACTATTGGTATGATTCTCGTTCCTGCATCCAAGTAAACAAGGCTCACCATCTCAACAGGGGCCCCTCCGATGAACAACAATTTGAAACACTCAACGCTGGGTATGTGGATGTCAACGAGCAAACAACGGTGGTGCTAAGACAGCTGCCCTAGTCATGTCCTCTATCTTGTATTGGACAGCAATCAACCAAACCCTCTCTTTCGATCACCCGTCAAGGAGCCACTGGTATGAGTTCTTAACCAAGTTCTGTTACTGCTTGTCATCGACTGACACCAACGCACTAGCATGTCCTCGATATAGGGACAGGACCTGGCACTTGGGCCATGTGAGTCGAACCTCTTCTGTCATTTGATGCTCGTCTTCTTACTAGACGAAGTGATGTAGCCGACCAATTTCCTGCTGGTGGGTCAATATGAAACAAGTCTCTGTCGTCCATCGCCTAACAAACCCAGCAACCGTATATGGTGTTGACCTCTCTCCGCCGCCATCCAACTGGGTCCCTCCCAATTGCTTTCTCCAGGTGAGTTTCTGGCGATGTGGCAAACAATCTAGCTAAACCGTGCGTAGGTGGACGACGTCCTAGAAGAATGGACGTGGAGGCAAGATTTTGACCTGATTCATATGCGTCTTATGCTAGGTGCCTTCACAGACACAGAATGGACGGCTGTGTACAAAAAGTGCTTCGACAACCTACGGTCCGGAGGATACATCGAACAAGTCGAGTTGGACGTACGGGTCATGTCTGATGATGGCTCACTCGCCCCTGACTCGCTGTTAGCCGGATGGGGACAGACGTTCCTCGACTGCGCGCGACGGGCAGGTCGTCCCTTGGACACGCAGTTGACGATGAAGGCCAAGATCGAAGCAGCCGGGTTTGTCGACGTCCAAGAACACCTGTACAAATGTCCCATCGGCGCATGGCCCAAGGACCCGCTCCTCAAGGACGCTGGCCGGATTAACCTGACACACTGGAGTTCTGGTCTGGATGGATGGGCCATGATGTTATTGACGAGATGGGGGGCGCCGGAACCCTGGACGGCTGATGAAGCCAGAGTCTATGTTGCCAGAGTGAGGGAAGAACTGAAGAAGCGCCGACTGCACATCTGGCATTACACGTGAGTCGCTTCAAGCGGTGGTTACTGGTGATCGGATCGTACTGACCAAGCGGCAACAGCCGACGTGTTTGGGGGAGAAAACCATAATTATTGGCATGATTTGGTTCTATGCATTTAGCGCATGCGCTGCTGATGATTCACTCATGTTGTTTGCATCCGAGACGGCCTTATCATAAGCATGGGGAATGTTCGTTTCTAGCCTGGGTTGGGGGTCATATCGGCGGCGTTTGGTCTGTGGCTGTTTCCAACTATTCGGTGGATGATATCGAACTTCTCATGACCAGTTTAGTTATTATGATGGACTCTACCACTAGCCATCTCTACAGAATGAAGCAAACAGTGCCTCGACGATGGAAGGTCCTCTCAGGAGACTGCGTGTTGATACGGACATGAGGACCTCTAGCACAAACAAGGTTCAACGATTTGTATCCGAGTTGCTGAGGCCAGTAGTGCTATCTTCTGCTTAACAGGACCTTTTGGTCCTTTGGTTCTTCCTCAAAGTTCCTTAGTTATCGATCTGGTAGGTAGGACCTTCTATCTCGGTCAAGCTACGCACTACTATATAACACCGTGTTGACCCAGCACAAGTGTAGACTGGAAACTACAAGCATTCACATTGTTCGCATACTACTAGTACTACTTCTCAACACAAACACAAACACGCATATACATACACACTGCAGATCCAGTTGCGTCAGACTGCCATCACCCCCAACCGCATACTACCACTACTACCTTCTATATACCAGAACCACACAGTTTGAAGTCTCACGGTCTCTCTCCGAAGCAAATCTACTTTATCCAGCAAATATGTTTCCACTCATCCTCATGGCCACCATGGTGGGAGCTATCGGCCTGACGATCTTCGGCGGGATGCCAAAATTCACCCACCTGATCGGTTGATTTTGGCCGTTTCGAGTCGTACGAGGAGGGGGTTGTTGGTTGAAGGATGGGAGGAGAGTACTACTACTATCTGGACCGGACGAAATGGTTATTGAACTACTACTGGACAGGAGGAAATAGGGGGGAAGGGCTGACTCAATATTGAAATGGGACGGGGTGTGTTGTTTAGATGAATCAGTGACAACGACGAGAATGGGTTGATCGATGGTGTTGATTGTTGGATAATAATGGTTCACTTTATTCATTAATCACTACTCATCCTACGAGTAGTAGTACTACTTGGTAACAATTGATACAACTTGAGAGAGAATCATGCCACCCCCATGTGTCAATGACTACTAGCACTTCTAAATACTACTTAGTAGTACATCACAAGTTGTGTTTGGAATCTCCTCTGTCGAAGGTATCCATAGATCACTTTGTCTGGTTCCATATACCAACCACCCGCCGGCTCAGGCCGCATGTTCAACTTGAGTGCACGACTGAGTCCGTGGCTGGCTGGATGGTACCGACGAGCCAACTTCAGGCTGCGTGGCTTTACATGATCACCGATAAGGTCGGCCTGATTCAGTGTAGGTTGAATATCTAAAATGCCCCTTCCAATTACTACTATTGACGAGTTAACAGTTATATTTGCTTGGGTGATCACTTGAAGAAGTCATCCTTTACCAAGTAGGAGCAGTAGGACTGAGACTGGCGATCTAGTACGAGATGTAGAAGACAGGTAGTAATTATCTGTGCGGGAAGAGGTAGTACTCGTTTGAAAGCAATTGACATTATTTCCCAGGATGGCAACAGAACCTTCTTCCATCCCATAACGGAAACATGACCTCCCAATTGGAGATGAGTAGGAGGTAGAAAAGCAGCTAAGCCCGATCCAGCCGAATTCGTGACGCGTTTCACAGCGACTGAATCGTGCCCTCTTCTCGTTAATTGATTGATTTAATCACATTACCTGCCACCTACCACCTACTTACCTAGGTGCCCTCTCCTCCCTAAAATTGAGTGCATGTGTACTAGACTGACTGAAACTTCGATCACGATTCCTCCGTTTCTCTCTCTTTGTGTGCTTCTCATCACATTCAACAGAGGATAATGTAGCAACCCTTGCTTGCCCTTCCTTTGGAAGCGAAACGAGATCTTTTCGGGCCAAGCTAGTTAGGATATCCCCGTACTTTTTGTATCTTGGATCCTTTCGGACAGGGTACAAAAACAAGCGATTGTGCTTAAAATGTCTGTCTTATCTATATAGATATCCAGCTACTACTTCACGGAGAGTATAGATAGTTCTGCAGACGCAGTATCAAAACTACATCAGAGCAGTATCGGGGCAGCATCAAAGTCGTATGAAAGCGGTATCAAAGTAGCATCGATTAAAACACCTAGGGAGATCTGGCGAACTAGATCAATCGAATATTGCGAGATTCGAGGTCCTTAATTGTCTCTTTTACTGTGTGCGTAAAGAGAAGAGATATTGGGTGATCTGTTCGACTAGCCTGTAGTCATATATATCTATCGATTAATGGGCACGATTCGCTCGCAGTAGGTCTCCTGGTTGATAGTACCCCAGTCCTTCTCCCAGAAGGCCCTTAGTTCTGCCATGGAAACAGGCCCAGAACATCCATCCTGATAACCGCGGGCTAACGCAGTCAGGATGGAACTTCTCGTCTACCTTCCTAGTAACCCAGATCTTGTTGTGTGATCCTGCCGCTCCAGAGACCATTGATCTTTTGTCCAATTGATATGTATTTGTGCCTGGGGTCCAGGGGTAGCTTTCGTACTGCAATATAGCGACGGCAGCCTCGTTGTCGTAGTGTCCATCTCACAGTTTCGACGCCATGAGGCCTCTACTGCTACTTGTAGTAGATAGGTCATTTGGCATCGCTCAGCGTTCAGGGTAATGAAGTCTTCTAGTATAGTATCTACCTCTTTCAACAGCCTTGGAGGTCTGCCAGCGTTCCTGTGCAGTAGTGAGCACTCACTAGTGCCTGGGTGTACATGCGTAGATCTCACCTCGTCACAAGCCGCCCAGGTCATGAGGATTGGGAACAATAAACATACATAAATACATTCATCGAATGCTTGTAAAGATCTCGCAAATGAACACATTCATTTGTTCTAAAGTACTTGGTAGTATAAAAGTGCAATCTCGGTAATGACACAAATCAAATGTCGCTCTAGATGCCGCTCATAATCCCCTTCTCCAATCAATCAATAAATATACGTGAATTCATCATTCTTTCGGTCAGTAAGATCCAAAAAGGCATTGTCACCCAGTCTCTGCCCAGCTTCAGTCTCGTCCATGGCAACGTACTTGTCTTCCATGGAATGATCCTTGATCTTGGCCGCCTTGCCGTTCTGCACCCGTTTCCTGGACTGCATCTTGTTCAAGAAAACAAGGTTCGCAAACTGGATGAAGATGACGGCAACCATCGTAACAAAGATGGCCAGCACCTTGCGCAGACCCGGGTGGTAGGCTGGCGCGTCCTTCTTGTTGAACAGGAGCGGGCCAATGATGTTGCCGGCGCTCGAGCCAGCATTGTAGAGGGACATGATAACGGATTTCTTGGTGCTGCCGCCAGTGTTGCCCACGATCCACGAGACAATGAGCGGGTTCCCTCCAAAGAGGAAGGCCAGCAGGTAATAAGCCACCAAGAGTCCAGCGGTGGCACCCGAAGTCCGCGGGAGAACATAGAGAACAGCCAAACCAGCAATGACGGGCAGCATGAGGCCAGCGAGGACAAAAGACTTGAGCTTGGCCTTTTGGGCTGCAAACGAAGCGAGGAGGATGACGATGACCTGCATCGCGCCGAAAGGCATATTGAGAAGTGAGGTCTTGTACTTGTCGAAGCCGACACCTTCGAGAATGAGGGGGCCAAAAGTATTGGTGACTGAGGCGCCCACATTGAGCAGGAGAGCAAGGCCAATCCAGAGATACGTCTTAGGCTCCATTGCCAGTTCGAGTATGTGCTCCCATTTGAACTCGCGGTTGCCTGTGCCGGTCTGATTGGCACGAAGACGTTCAATGGCTTGTGCCTTTTCGTGCTCCGTCAGAAAGCGTGCCGAAGGAATATCGTTGTCGAGGAAATACCACACGACGGGTGCCGTGACAATGGTGACCAGGCCGACGAACAGGAAAATAATCTGCCACGACGCCAGAGCGGATGAGGGGATGTGAGCCAGTCCATAGGAGATGCCTGAAGCGGCAATTGTCGCAACTCCATTGGTACCATACCAGGCTGCAACGCGGAGGGGTTGTTCTGCTCGACGGTACCATTGGCTAGTGATGACGCTGAAAAGTGGTAGACAGCCGGCTTCAAACAGTCCAAGGAAGAAACGCGCAGCCAGGAGCGAGCTGTAATTGTGACAAGCTGCCATCGCAGCTTGAGCAATACCCCATCCAAGGCAAAGGGCCGGCATGAGGATGCGATGAGGGACTCGGACGATGAGGAAGGATGAGAATGGCTGCCAGGCAAGTTGTGCGATAGGGGCGATAGATCCTAGAAAGGAATACTGGTCGCCGGTGAGGTGTGTGTCCTCTGTGAGGCCGAACAGAGCGCCATAACCGAGCACCGACTTGTCGAGAATCTGGAGGAAGTAGACCCAGACGAGAATGGACAGGATGACTTTGTCCGTCTTGCGTCGGATGCGTTTGTTCTAGTACACCTTGTCAGACTTAATGTTGCCCCGTAATGATTCCGAAACTCACGTCTTCTTCGGTCAGCTCCACTCGCTGGTCTCCCACGATGGCAAGGGCTCGGTCGGCGTGCTTCAGAGATGCTCTACGCTCAGTGATGATGTCTTTGGACAGGCGACCGGACTCGACATCTTCGGCGTGAGCCTCGTGGAGGGTTTTGTCGTCAAAGGTGGTCATCGTAAAGGTGGCGCTTGGTATATTGCAGAATGCCGTTGATGTTTCCCACGTCCCCAGGATCTTGTTGAAGTGACTGGGGAAAGGACCAACAAGGGACGCAACAAGAAGATATTTATGTATCTAATGTGCCAATCTGTCACCCTCGCCTAGATGGGGAGTCGAAAATGAGGTCGAGAAATTTTGGAGGTTTGGGATCTGGAACCAGCTAGTATCACAGGTGTGGGGTCTGGGCATGCATCATTCACCCTACACCTTGACCATCTGGCAAAGCCCGAGAAATGCGCGGAGTACAGTAGTCAGATATGCGGGCTGGGGTAGAGTCTGGAGGGAGGATGGCCATTGGAGGGACTGAAGCCGGTGCAGGGTTGTATGACGGCTGATGCACAACCCCGCAACTCTGATCGGCAATTGAAAAGCCCCAGGATTGGACAGACAGAGAAGATCGACACTCTGTCGCTTCCAGAATACAAGCGAAGGAGTCGGTCGGCAACGGCGAAAGGCACTTTGAGCGGGGGACGGGCATGATCGGATGATGGTGGCCGTTTGTTCATTTCTCGTTGTACCTCGTACCAAAAGGTGGCGAGGCTGAAAGTGGAAGTGGCAGTTGCTCTTGGCAGATGCAGGTTGACAGGCTGACAGGACACCTTCCCCTTCATCCGTCGTGGGGGTGGCGCTATCCCACTTCGGTCGACCCCCATGATGACCCCCACGACCAAAGTTGTCCAGCAAAATTTTGCTTCTGGATGCACCAGATGTGCCTAGGGCATGGCGTTGGACACATATGAGGAGTCGAGATCACCCAAAGCACGCGCTGGCCAAGACGATCAAGAATGAAAAACCGCCATGGCGAGGCTGAATACGGAGACTCCGCTTGCCTCCATGACAACACGTATGCGCGGTGTGGAATGAACGATGACTTTCGTATCCGAAGCTCTTGAAGGAGGTTCTTGTCTATCTTCCCCTCTGCTCAAATGCCCTATGCCAACGATGTCCCCTCCTGCCTCAAACGTCACGTCCCATTGTACTCGGTAGCCGTCCTCCTATTCACCAGACAACTGACCCAACACATCACCGACGCATTCAACATCCACGCCCTCCGACCCTACATCCATCAAGATGTGCTTGGTTCTTTTCGGGCGCCGGCCTGTGCCACTGGTGCTATGCTGTCGTAGCATCGGGGAGGAGACGTCATGAGCAGTGGGAAAGGTCTGCATGTGGATATTAGCGAATGTCTACCTCCAGTGACACAGGCGTCCGACGACCTGGAACTTCGACTTACCATCGTATCGTGCAGATCCTCTATTTATTCAACCACCACATGTCGATAGGGGTTCTCAGTCTTTATTGATATTCGCCCCGTTTTCTTGGTCGTTGTTGACGACTTCTGCGATTGCTGGGGCTGTTGGGCATCCTTCATCCCGTATTGTATTCTCCACCACTTTTCTTGGTCGATCCTGTTTCCTAAAGCCCAAAGCTCTCTGTCTCCCAAACTCTCCACCGTGACAGAGATGCCTTGCTGCAACTTGGCTTTCTGTAGATCGAAGTACTTCGACACTACGATCCCTATGAACCCCACCACCGATATCGACCCCAGGAGGGTCATGCATATCTTATCGTCGTGGGATATAGGCATGACTGGTCCGACTGAATGACTTGGTTGATGAGGTTGTCCGCCAAGTGATCGAGGGCTTTTCTTTCCCGGCGGCAGATCGTGAACTATGTCGAGTGTGATGCTCTGACAGGATCAGTAAGACCCGGAGAGAGATGAGATGCTTTATATACCTTGCTGAGTGCGGTGGACCGCCAGTGGCACAAAGTTTGAACCAAACAAGGAGCCGAGTCAAATACCAGTTGTTCTATGGTTCTTGGACGAACCTATCGCCTGGAGGCCGTCATCGTCATCGCCAGAAATTTTCCTGAGGACCTGGGAGTCTTGTTCGAGTCGACTTCTTTGTTGGGCGACTTCCGTACAATTGCGGTCTGGTGGTCACTGTGTGCCCTCTGGTCACCATATTGGCGAGCCCCTCAAGTTCATGTCATGTCCGCCTCCGATGGAGAAGCTGTTGCAGCATCCTTTGGGACTATAGTGACCCTCTTTGACCACACATTGCCATCTCCTTGGGCCCGATATATCACTTCTCGATGAGGATGCAGTCGTTTTGATGAGGACTCGATGGGATTTCGCCCCAAATCCGGGCCGCAGAGTGACATGAGGTGCCGCCTGAATTATGCCCGCTGCACACCCATCAGCGTTGTGAACATGAAGAAGTCTGCAACTCAACAACTCACCCCAGCCACCCTCGCGCAAGGCTTCCTGGGGGCCTCCCTACGACTCTTCGGGCAGAGAAGAGTCTGACGCAGCCGGTGTCTCACGAGTGCTCTGCGGGCGAGTATCCGATCCACGCAGAGCAATCTCTTGTGCACGCTGGCGCTGCAGCTCCTCTCTGATAGGATCGACTACTCTAAGACACCGTCAGTATGCCAGTCAGCCAAACAAGATGGAAGACATTGGTCACGCACGAGCCGTAGAGGATGAGGGCTGTAGCCCCCAGGAAGAGCGCGCTTTTAAATAAGAATGGACCTAAATGGTCAATATGGATATTTATATCCAAAAAGATCTGGAAAGCAGAAAATTTAAAAAATACTCTATCGGCCATATTTATTAAATATGTTTCAAATAGATACGGAGAGAGAAAAAGGGGGTAGAAGACACGACCGGCTGCGAGAACGGTTTTGTTCAGCTCGAAGAACATCCCAGGGCAGGAGCGAGCGCCATTCAGCTGTCCATCGTCCATCTCTGCAAGAACTACCAGGGAGGAGCTCGTCGGATGAAGCTGGCAATTGAGCAGGTTAAAAGGGGCTGGCTCTGAGGGCAGGAGTAGCCCGCCGTTGATGGATGGGAACAACAGAGGGGGAGAAGGTGCGTGTTCATGGCAACTTGATCGTGCACGGGCTCTGATGAAGGATATCCGCTGCAGCAATTTGATCATGAGCCAACGTTGCGAAAGGAGTTACCTGCAGCTCTAATTAATCATCAGCACTCTTCTGCTTGGTTTCGACTCTCTTCTTCCACTCATCCCAGTCGAAGACGCCGTGTCCATACGTCCATGACCCAGGCTCCCGATGCGGAAGTACCACGCCTTCCTTGTCCTTGAAGAACACCAGGCCACCAGGGACTTCTTTCAGGGGGTTGCCTTCCCCTTCACCAGACCTGCCGACAGGTCCAACGTCAAAGCCACAGGCTTGGTAGAACCTCTCCTTCCCATCGGCGGCGATGACGCTGCACGCGACACCCTCCCGTTGTGCTTGCCATAGACCCATCATGACAAGGGCGCGGCCCTGGCCCTGGTTCTGATATCCAGGGTGGACGGCTAAGCATTCCAGGTACCACGACTCGGAGCGTTGGCCTGTCCAGATATGGTCGAGGTAATTGTAGGATCGTTCGATGATGTTCTCGTCTTTTGCCGACGCCGCACGATTGGGTGAAAGCCATCCAAGAAGTCCCACAATCAACTGTGTCATGGGTCGAAGCAAGCGTCCTATAATGCAGCCATTTAGCACCATACCTCAAAGTGGGGGTACGAGGAGTGTAGACATGTTTCAATTCCAGAGCCCTTTCCTTGCGCCAGCATCGCCAGCAAGACTGGGGTCTCGAATATCTGCAGACCTTGACACATGGTAGGCTAAAGGGCCGCCTTTGAATTTATGCAATTGAACCAATATACTGCAAACAACATCGTGGAGAAGCACTTACTCGGATCCCACCAGGCATACCCCCAGCCAGCCTTATAATTCTCCTTCCAACTGGGAGCCATGCGGCTCCAGTGTGCCACCCCAGTCACAATTTCTGCCAGCCCGTTTTTAGAACGTACTGTTGTCACGAGGAATATATGGCTGGGGTCCCACCAGTCGACGATGAACCGGCGATACCAATATTTGTCGACATCGCCAGGATATGACTTCCTATGCGGATGGATCAGGCGGCCAAAGAGTACATCGTCGTCAAAAGCAAGAGAGCAAACACGTGCCGCTGCAGAGAGGTCGGAGAAGCGTGCCCTTCGACAGTCGAAGGCACCCTGTGCAAGGAGTGACGATGGAGACCAGGACCGTGTCGTGGGAGCCATGGTGAGCACTCCCCTGTGGGTTGTACTACTGCTGTCGCGACTGTGCTTGGGCCAACTGCCCATGTGGCTGCTGCCTCAAGCTCTCCACACCTCACGTGCACAGGTTAAGCCACTGGAGGTTCTTCGCGGCTTGAATGTTGTTCGATTGGAATGTTCTGATCCCCCTGGGGGTTGCTGACGGTGGATATGTTGAACCACAAGCGGGCAAGATATGTAACCGGGAATTCAGATAGATGTTGGTTTTTGATAGGACCGCATGCGAATCCTTCGATGATGCCCGCGACTTTTTTGAGACGATTGCGAGCGAATGTGCAATAGTAAGAGCGATTATGGCTGGTATGCAGACAAAGCAGATGGACTTGTCCAAGAAGCTATGTGGTGCGACCGCTACAGCACTTCGCTGCGTTATTCAACGGGAAGAGACTCCGTACAGCTTTCAACGGCTCCTGTGGTGCGTGCGGATGAGATAATGGATGCTGGAATAGTGAAATTGGTCTGTTCGTTGTCTGACCTCAACGACGACGACAACTCCTCAATCAGGCTAAGGAGGACCCCGGACAAGTGTGCCACGCCCCTGAATCAAGCCTTATGTGTTAGGTGAGGGAAAGGCTATAATGATAATCGTACGTTGGAGATGTTGCCCGTTGGACAAGATTTTGTCGTCGTTGTGTATTCTCAGGGTTCTTGTGGTTATGGTTCGTAGGGTCCGGGTTACAGGAGGTGAAAAGGTATGAGTACGTGCCTTGCTGTGGTGGTGCGATGGACAACCCTGCATGCCCAGTCAAGACACCTCTTATCTGCTTGATTGGCCAGGGTTACTCAGGGTCATTTTGGCGAAGCCTTCTGCCTGCGAGGTACGGGGTGGAACTGCTGCGGCTGAGTGGAGATGCTGATCCACGGCCAGGACGGGACCGGAGAAGGACTTTCCAAAGGAGAGCTAGGCAATTGTTTGATGAGAGGGTGGTGAGGGCGAAGGGCTTCCATGCTCCGTAATGCGTGGCTGCGAAGAGATACGAACGATGTGCTATTGGTGTCACCACTTGAATGAGGAGGGATAGTCTCTGCGGAGAGCCAGACAAGTACGAGGTACATACATACTCGGTACGGAGTACAGAGGAGGGAATTCCACACCCGCACACCAGGCACAAACAAGGCGGGGCAAATCAACCTTTTCCCTCTCTCTTTTTCTCTCTCTCCGATCCCTAAAACCTTCTCGGAGTTCCAAGTACGGGTAACGCCTTGCCGCGGGAAACGCATGTAACCGTCCCACGCCCCCGTCAGAAAAACGGACTGCCTGCCTGCCCACCCAACTAACTAACTAGTAGTGCTGTGGGCGCCTGCGCCGGTTCGGTAAAGGTCGGCGGCTGGCCTTATTTGACATTGTGCCATATCGTTTTTGGAACTACCGGACAATGCAATAGGGAAGAGGATGGTGATGCATGCATGCATGCATGGCACGAACGAGATCAACTTGATCAGGGAAGACCAAGGTCACTAACTGGTGGCAGCCTCAGAGGTATTTGGCACATCATGTGTGTATCATACGCTCGATACCGTCGCAAGAGTGAATGGCGCGAGGTGTTGGCAAGAAAGCAATACCACAACACTCATACACACACAACCCTCTCTGCCCTACAGCGTCGTAATCCAATGTAGATAGAGACCACGCGTGTGATCTCATTATAGCCCATTCATTTTCGTCCCTTAGAACCCATAGAACCTCGCTGAGACCGTCCCATTTTTTTTAAAGCCTGTATACCACATCCTCCTGCGCCCCCCAGGACCTGCCTGATTTCCGCCTGATAGACCTTTTCCAGTGTGTGACCGTACCCCGTATAGAGCTGACCTGTACCGAGCCTCACGCCGGCCCTTGTTTTGTCTCGTAATGAATGTCCCATTGGGAGTCCTTGCGAATAATGTGGTCACGGCTACCGCCACTGTCGATCGAAACATCCTCCCTGATCACGGTAACCTTGTTGTCGCTAGCTTCTTGCTGTGGGACAATTGGGTATTGTTCGGCGTCGTGGTACGACTTGCCCGCCGATCTTGACTTTGCCGTGCCTTTGCCTGGCATAGAGTCCAGCTCGAAAACATTCATGATTCGCCCCAGCCGTCCGGACCCAGATCCAGATCCAGCTCCAGATCTCTGCCCAGAACCCCTGCCCGAGCCGTATGCCTGCGTTAGAGAAGGATCCAGTTGGATGCCGAATCCGCTGCTGAAGCTTCGAACGAATGACTTGAGGTTGGGGACCGTGGCTGCAATGAGCGACCAACACAACTGCACCTGTTGGATCACGATGACAGGCACAATGGCAATACCGGGATTGTCGGAGCCGGTGTATTTGGCGACATAATGGAGGTGGAGGATAGAAAGCGCGGCCACACTATGCTGTCGTTAGTACAAAATGCAACACAGATTGAGTGAAGTTGACTCACGGGAGGCGGAACGCAAAGGCCAGCACAACCTGGAATTTCATTGCCAGGGCCAGATGGACAGGCCAAACAACGAAGACGGTGATCAAGACCAAAATGCACTCGGTTATCACGTCAAATGCAGTGATCAATTGCCAGCGCAGGAACTGGAAAATCTCATTAGTGCGTGTTCAGCACAGCACTTGAATATCATTTTGCTCACCTGACCACCGCATCCCTCGCTATCTCCTTGAATGAAGCCCGGAAGAGAGCAGTTGACCGCCACGGCCACAATTGACAAGAGTCCCCAGAGAGCCATTGTGACCAAGACAGAAACGCTGATCCAGTATAGGACTTTTGACCGGAAATCTTTGGCTGTTCGTGGACCGACCAAGTTGAACAGCCTCATCATCAGACAAATCGTAGAGGCTTTTGCTATGGTTGCGGAAATGATGAACAGGATTTGACTAGTGAAAGTTGCCTGCGAGGGTCAGTAACGGAGAACTTGGTATGTCACAAGAGATGAGCTCATACTCGGCTGGCATCTGAAAGTTCGTCCTGATCCAGAAGCTCCTGAGTCTTTCCCAGTCCATTATCCAGTCCAACGATCACCGCAGCCACCTCTCCGACCTGGATGACCTATACCTCCAGTCAGCATCCCGCCCATAACCCGTCGTTCAAGATATCCCCTCACGGTTGCAGCCAGGGCCAGATAGTCGTCCAACCTGTACATCTTCCACCTCAAATGACCCCTCAACGCCAATGTGAGGATCGAGTAGATGAGACATAGCAGCGTCGCAATCCATACCGACGCAGCGTGGTTGTCAGGCGTAATCGGTGAAAAGCGATGGCTCCCCATGCTTCGTCTTGGTAGTCGGGGGAACGCCGACAAGAACAATCAAGAGCAGGATTAGATCGTGATGGGAATATTGGTTCTGAGTAATAGAAACACGGCCAATATTCGACAAAGTGCAACAAGGCTGGACTAAGTGTCTTCCTCCACCATAGCGCAAGTGCTTGAAGGATAGTACAAAAGTACGTTGGAGGAGACGTAGGGTTGATGTGTCATAGAATATCAACTGGGGCTCGCGGTGGTATTTGCAACTGTATAAGCTTCAGAGAATCAATGCTTCGAGACGGGACTGAATGTCCCATGTCCCCAATTCGATCCACAACCACCCCTGGTGACTACGCCGGAAGGTCACCTTCACCAGGTTTGTCCACACGCCTCCCACAAACTGTTTCGGAAGGGACCTGAAATGGACAGAACAACCCGTGTTCTCGAAACTCTGATAAGTGCAAGGATATGAGAACAGGTATGTTTGAGGTTGGAGGCATCACCGGGACAAGCGCGGTAAGCAACGGCCTGCCAGAAAAGTGACAAGGACACAAGTGGCGCATATGGCCGCGAGACTGAGGTTGCTCGAGGTGATGATCATTGCCCAGGAGGCTGCAGCTGGATGGTGCACTCGCAAGGAAGGTTTGGAAGGCGAAAAGGTGTGGCATTGTGCTTCTGAGGCGCAAGGGAGGGTCAGGTCGATGAAAAGAGGCATGTGCTCGACACTGAGACTTTTGCTTCTGCTTGGTAGCAAATTGTTGTCGCGGTGACAGCTGGTGAAGTGCCGTGGTCGTCGAATAGAAGATCCACACGCATCAGAACCAAGATATTACCCACAGCACCTTTGCCGAAGCAGCTAGCCCATCGCTAAAAGGGGCTGCTCACTATCCAGACAGAGGCAAGGGTATGTACTTGGACCCGTAGGGCCCGGGAGGAAGAGGGGTGGCGAGATGCTTCCCCGGGTGTCCTACTGCAGATCAGTCACTAACTGCGCCAACATGCAGGTAATGTATGTAGCGCACAGACTCAGTTCGTGTCGGAGCCACCCTTGATCCGAAGTCTGCGAGTATGTGTTTGAAAAAACTCTGTATACCCAGGCCTCTCTTATTCGTCCTCGATTATTCCGATCCGTCAAAGTTCAAGGGGAGAGTTTGACAATGAGCAACCTGTCTGGGTATGGCTGGACTTGAGCGACCCAGATCACCTCAACGCAACCACCCCAGATGACAACTGGTGCCATTTATGCCACATCTGCATGTGAAATTGGCCTGTCGTCTTCGTTCACTGATCGGTATCAAGGTGAATTAGGGCTGATGGGCAGGAGGGGTTTGCTGGTTGAGTCGTACCCTCCTCCAGGGTAATTTTCGTTAGTTCGCCACCAAGTGTATATACCTAACTAGGCTTTAATTGGCTTAGCTTCTACCACTTGGTGTGCATGCCATTCGCGTTTATCACGTCCTGACAGCG